CCTTTCTACAAACAATGGAATGAAGAAAAACAGTTGCAACAGCAATAATAGCATTCTCCCGGGAATTACAAAGTGCCTGAAAATGCCAAGGCCTGAGCAGCCTTTGTGCAAACCGTGTCCACATCTGCATCAACCCTGACACACAAGAGCTCAAGTGCTCACCCGTCCTGCCCCAGCGACATCCCTAACTAAAGACACAAAGTGAGCAATACTTTCCTAAGCCTCCTCCCTCTGCCAAAAATCTAACCCGTCACTGCTTTACTCAAATCTCATTATGGTTTGGTACTTTGTTTGGTTCTTTAAACAGATTTATACTGAGTGGAGTGTTTTTGACTATTTCTATTTTCGAATAATATAGTAAGCAGCACCAAACAATAAAAGCCACAGCTGTTCTGTTCCCATCTGCTTTTAGAGAAAGCATTTAATAAAATTCAGATCTCTATCATTTAACTAGGGCCTAGTCTAAGGCAAGTCTTTGTTGCTTAAGTGTGCAGTTAGTCATTTTTTTGTGTCTTATGTCACAGATTTTTTTTGTCTTCATCTTTTTGGTAAGACAACCTATCAGAGCTTTCCCATTTAATCCTGTATTATAGAACATATCAAAATATTCCAATATTCTTAACATTCTACAAAAAAAACACAACTTCCTTCCAAATTAATATCAGGTTTCATATCTGTCTTCCTTAGGTCTAATTAGAGTCAAAGGGTAAAACAACAAAATTCAATTTGCTTTCCTGCATTTCACAACATGGCTGTTAGGATTAAAAACAGCCAGCTGGTTCCTAGGCTGGCTAGCTGGTGTTAAGGTTACTAGATCCAATACTTGTCAATGTAAGAGACACCCTCTTTCCCGCTAACCAAAAGACCAGGCTTCTCCATGCTCTGGCACAACTCCCTCCACACTCCTCGGCACCCTCTGCAACTTCCCTTGCATTCCTGCAACTTAGGCAACAAATGGTTTAGGTGAATTCTGCAGTTGACCACTGCAGGACTCGAACATCTAGTCAGGCTACTCAAAGTGCAAGTCCTACTTCATTGTGGCATTTTCCATTACTTTTGTTTCCACAATTCATTGCTTTAAACACTAAATAAAATATGAGACTATTCATCTGCTGCAGAATGAAGCCACTATCACTGATGGAAGTGGCAGAATGAGACAGGTAAGGATGCCATCAGACTTAGAGCTATGAAGAATAATGGCATGTTCTATTTCTACAGGTTTCAGAACATTTGAACTCTCCCAGTATTATACTTTCATCTCTTTTTGGTTTTGGAAATCATGTTAAAAATGAGGAAATTCATGCAATAATGTCAGGGCAAATGGTGTTATTTTGCATAATTATTATAAGCATAAGGCAGAAGATGGTTTTATATTACAATATGGAGTCTTTGAACAATCAGTTTCTACTATGCCTTAAATTCCCAGTAGTAGTGAGATAACTAGAAGCCAGGAAGCAGGGTTCCCAGTCACAAAATGCAGAAGGCCTCAGGGAACAACTATGCCTATAGTGCATCTGTCTACAGTATATAATCCAGTAACTGAGATATCCAAGGTACGTGGTCTACATTCTCCTTTTCTGGACTTGAACATCACCTTGAACAGACCCTCGGTGAGTTCTGTAGCTCCTGTATAGCCTTTCCTCATGCCTTGCAGGTAAGGCTGGAGGCTTGTTTACCAAACCTCATTTGCCCCTTGCAAATCCCAAGTAATTGGGATGCTCTAGAAGAACGGGAGATGACAGGCTGCACAACAAGCATCTCAGACTCCAGGTTGTGCATTTATTCATAAAATGTTTCCTTGTATACACATTGCTCTACGATGGCCTCCTACGAAACAGAGGTAGGCAGAGAGCAGCTCAACCTTTGCAGGGTACACAGAAGGCCCCGCTGCCCAGCAGGCTGGTGGTGCTGCTGGCTGAGAGTGTGAATGAGCAGCTGAAGGGGAAGCACCCAACCTTGACAGTTGGGTAGCAGATGGGTGGAATTCCCATGGGAAAAGCCTTTAGGAGAGGCAGCAGCACTGGCAGAAAAGCTGGTGTTGTACTGCACTTACACATAGAAACTAGCAAAAACTATGCAGTGATAATGCTCACAGCACCAAGGACAGAGTGGTTATGGAAAGGGAGAAAGACGTCTATTATAGCACTGAGTAAACTTGCGTGTGAGGGAACAGAAATGTGAAACCAGCTGTGACAACTGACCAAGGCATGCAGCTCTCACCAGGCAATAAGCATGGAAAAAATTCTTTACGTATTAGTCTTTAGCCTTTCTCTTGTATGCTAATCTCTGTACCCCACAGCTGGTAAGTGTGTGCACTGAGTGTATTAAAGGAGAATAAACAACAAAAACTAAAAATCCATCAGCTTTTTTTCTTCCCTCTATAATCTAATATTAAGTTACACCCCTTCATCCCAACCCACTACATTTCAGACACAGATAATGGAGATTTGGGGAAGCAGGGAACACACGGTGGCAAAACAGTTTGCAAAGTTCAACTTGAAAAGTTATGCTTCAAAGCATGCAAGGTGCCCTATATGCTTTCAAAAAGCTAGTTTATTTATTACATCTGATAACATTTAAATAGTACTCTTCCATCTCTGTCTCCCTTGTAACCATTTTTCTTCAAACCTCACTGTCTTTATCTCAGTTTTAAACTAACATAAGGAATTTACACAAGTATCATCAGTGACTTCTTGTTTGGCATCCGAAGATAAAATTGCTGACAGTCTACATGCTACTGTACTACCATGATATCACCAATATCAGACTGGAAAATAGGCCACAGAGACAGTCTGAAACCCTTCCTTCTTGCTAAATCGCTCTTTTTACTTTCAATATTACTTTAGAGGAAGAAAAAGATACATAATTAACCACCACCAACATGGACTGGCTTGTGAAGGGATATCTAAAGCATGCAGAGGTTTGGACTAACAGGTCTAAGGTGAGTGAACTGCCAAATCATTAATGTAAGTGCATTGACGGACATTCACATAAATTATATCACCATAGAAAATGACATTAGAAAAGAAATAATTTATTTTGGTATGCCGAAAGAGTAATATATATCTTAGTATCTATAACACCTCCCTCTCGGTTGACAAACATAACCTTGAAACTGTATACTAATAAAGAAAACTATGAATTGAAGAGAACGGATACTTACGCCAGCCCAAGACCTGTGTTTCAGACACTGAAAATGTTTTGTTGACACACACAAGTCTTTTCAGGAAAATGTTTAAGATATAAGCACTGGAACATTTTCTAAGACGGAAGTTTTGTTCCGGCTTCTCCAATAGCTGCATTTGGCCAGGTGGTGCTCAACCTATGACAACTTTTCCTTTGTAAAAGCTCAAATTATGGCATCCCAGAAAAGTAATTCTATGTAACAGCAATTAATATGTTTGCATTTTCTTTTGACTGTTTTGTTTTGTTGCATAGGCCAACACATTCTACAAAAAAAATCATTTAATTGTAGGAAAAACACTCTGTGTAATGGCTTTTAAAACCTTACTAGAGCAGGAACACAGGACCATGCACTGCAGGTTTTTTAAATCTGAAAAGAATTCTGTTTTAACCAAGTTCTGACTCATAAGCTGCACGAAGTGTCTGCCACTGCTCAGATTGCAGGTTTTCTGTAATGTTTCTGGCAAATTTCTGAGTTTTCACCTTGTTCTGTTTTCTGCTGCTTACGCCTATGTTTTGGGTATATTCCACTAAACCACGCTAACTATTGGTAAAGCATAAACATCCGCCTCACTGCCAAGATGCTATGGAGGTTGCTTAATTATTTGCAGGACACCCATAGAAAAGATGGTCAGCTCCAGTGCAGGCTGGGAGAGTTGCTCAGTTGCACAGGGAAGGTGTGGGTGCAAATATGTGAGCACGCACACAGACATGCACACAGACATGCACACAGAAACAACCCACTGGGGAGATCAAAATATAAGCAACTTCTTGAGAAAAGAGAAAAACAAAATAACCAAATCATTAATTCAAAATAAAGACAGCTTTTAATGTCAGCAATACTTTTATTCTAATGCAATACTTTCCAAGGTGTCTTATTGGTTGTTAAAGTTTGCAAAATCCTCTTGTTCCCACATATAGTTGATATTGTTAAAGTTGTTACAGCATTTTTTTATTTTAAATCTTTTTTAGAATTGCAGCATTTTTACGAGTGGAATTTTTTTATACCATAAATATCTCATTCTAAACTCAGAGGTTTTCAGAGTTGTTATTAAAAAGCACATAGACAAAATATTTTATGGTATCTCTAATAAATGCGAAGAAATCAATACAAACAAAACTTGGCTTAGCAAACTGTACATACATAAATATGTTCTTTGTTTTTCAACTTGACATTCAACATTTTTTCTTCATAAAACCTTTCAAGATCTTATTTATTACATCAATTTTTTAAACCTTAAAAAAGTGCTTCTCAGATTTACAGCTTGTGCATCCAAAGCAAAGGTTAGAACATCAGGCCCGAAAGACAAACAAAGAGAAATAATACATTGCCATACAAGACCCTTTAAAATTGTATGTTACAAATACTCTAAAATTTCTTTAGCATTGGTTATTTTGTATACTGCAGATATTGAGAAGGAATTTAACAATGAGTGGCTAATGGCTCATTTAGAGCTGCACAGAAAGGGTCTACAAGGACTATAAAGCCCTTGGCTATGCATAGTACAGGGCATATCTGGAAACAAAGTGGCTAAAAGATCCAGAACGCTGTACAGAAGGACTGTTCCCACACCGTCCTTCATGCCATGGATGCAAGAACTGAAGCAATGCAGCGCCGGTAACACATCGCGCACTTCGATGCCAAGAAGAGGATGAGTTATTAGCTGAACGCCAGTAGAGAATGATATGAACACAGCAGCTAAGCTTAAGCTGCACCACTGAATGTTGTAACACTTTAAAACAGGCTCTGTCCCCCAACCAACCTCCCCCCTCACTTTTTCCCCTGCCCCAGTAATGCCCCCCTCCTTCTCACAGCTTCATAAGGGAGGGGGGCCGTTAGTATATTTGAGCATGGGGTGGAAAGAGCGGGCAAAGTTGTTGGCCATCGCGCAGCTGTAGTCCTCCCGGGTCATGGGCACCAGGCAGGCCAGGCCCAGCAGGAGCAGCAGGAGCAGCTGGAAGGGCAGAGCAGCGCGGAGGACCCGAAGGAAGAACGGCGGGTGCTGATACTCTGGCTCAGCCTCAGAAGGGCAGGAACCTGAGCCACCTCTTGTGAACCTGGGGAAAGAAGATCAACAGGAGAACAAGCTCAAACATTACTGGGGCGGGTGTTGCTTCCCGGAGCGGCTGCTTTAGAATTAATGCGGGCTTTGGTTGACAAAGGGCAGAGGTAGTTTTCACTGAACATGTATTTTCCCAGCTTTCTTAAGAAACTTTGTGTTCCTAGACTAGACCAAAATGATCACAAGGTCTCTCATAGCCCCTTCTTGAGCTATGGGAAAGATTTTCTAAGCACTGTGCTCTTGAGAAGGGGAGAACAAAAGGTGGGCCATACCCATTGCTTGTGTTCATTATAAGCTGTCTAAAAAGGAAGCTTCCTTGCTAAACTGCAAACCAGAACAGCATTTGCTTTGCAGAAGTTAACAAATTCATCTCTTTTGGAACAACACAATGTAATTCGATTCAGTTGATCAATATTCAATTAATTAGTACACCAATGTTCGGGTGGTGGGGACTGATTTTCTACAAAGTACAATGTATTCTGAATTTTGCACTGTATCAGCAACTAAAATCTACTTATCTGGCTGGGGGTCCTCACATTTTGAGTAATTTTCTCCTCTATGCCTATAAAGCGCTGTCATGAAATATGCTACATCTCTATGGGGAAGGTGACTTAAGGCAAACATTTATGAAGGGACACTTCAAATCTAGCACAGAAATCCAATCTACTTTTCAATACAGGATAAGGATGCAGCTTTTGCATTTCTGCTTTTGACTGAAACTCTCAGAACTCCAGTGAGAGGATGATAGATTTTGACATAAATAGATCACTAAAAAGAGAGATTTTGTAAATTACAGAGTGGTCTGAGTGTGCTAATTAAATGGTATGAAAAAGTACTGTACCTTAGCATTAGCCCTAAAGAAAAAAAAAACAAAATTAGAGGAATTTAAAGCCTTCACATCGCTTGCATCAAGAACATTAAGATTTTATGTCATCAATTTTTGTTTTAGACAAGGTTGATGCTATAAAATATCTGCATGACAGCTACAATTATGAAGCCCCGAAACAGGGTTTGCTAAGGTTAAAAAGATAACAATGGACATGTAACAATATAGATTCTGTCTCAACTTGAAGGTGTGGGAGAATAGGCCTGATGTCATATAGTCCCCCAGAAAAGCTTGGGTATATGGATATAGATTCCTTTGTGTCTCCTTCATGCCATCCTTTTGTTCTTTTTCCTCCTTTCTCCCAGATCAATTGGAGTCTGTATGAGAAGGCATGCAAAAAAATCAAAATGCCATCTTCAAAACTATGCCAAGTTTTGCAAGACTTCCCTACCCAACATGATGAGAAAAATTTATTTCAACAGCTAGAGGCTGTTTCTACTGGCCTGCTCACATAAGTGTATCATCCCATTAAAAGGACCTCAGGAAAATCAGACAGTTTACTGAGACAACCGACAGATATATAAACACTCAAGTATGCTAAATGATTAACTTCACCAGAATATACCAGGAAGAAGGGATGATTAAACTGAAAGATTGCATGTTGTTTGAAACCACATTATTAGAGCCCGGATGGAAAGCCGCTTATTCTTGCATTATGTAAGATCATGTATTAATTATAAAGAACATGCTGAAAGGATATGGCACATTTAACAGCATCAGAGCATTCCATATTAACGTTCAATTAGATCGGGACTTCTTCTGTGAGTGCCAAGACGGGAAGTTAATGGGCTGAGGTAGGAACAAAGGGAACATGGAGTGCTTAATTACCTTCCAAGCATTTGATTGCAAAGTCCACCTATTTACGTGTCCCTCTTTGTGCAAGTGTTGTTAATCACAATCAAAACCCGCTATACTTCTGAAGTTGGTAAATGTTTGATAATCGGCAAAGTCTGAATTTTCTTGATTAACAAAAAGTTACTCCTGGGCAGCACTGGATGTGTGAAGGGGAATTTCTAAGAAGCAGAATCAAAGAATTGCTTAATTATCCTTTTCTTTTCCTCTGAATGTGGTAGTACAGTCCAGCAATTTTTGTTTCATGTTTACTAAAAGAAAAAAATGAAATTATATGCAAACTGCACAGCTGCTCTCGACAGGGAACACAATAAATTTTCTTTCAAGAATCGTGACAGCTCCTAGAAAAGTGTTTTAAGACACTTTTTCTGCCATGAAGCAGAGTGTTGAACAATAGTTTCTAAAACTACAGAAAATAACGAAACATTATGAAAATCTTCGGAGGGTGAGTACTAAAAAGTTCAAGTGCTATACTGCCACTGTTTTTCACATACTCCTGTATAATAGACATAATTGGCTAAAAAAATGGAATGCTTAGCTTAAAGTCTTTAATGGATTTGGTAAGGAGAGGTGGTTAAAAATATAGATTGTTAACGAAAAAGACTCACTATTAACATATGGCAGAACTGCTATTTACTGCAGCAGGAAAAGGCTGAAGTACTGCACACTTTTTCAGGGAAAAACGTAATTTATTTTTCTTTAGCTTGCATCTCCTGCTTTCTCTCTCTTGACTACTCCATTATTTGTTGCATTAGCAGCTGTTTAGAGGAGAAAGAAGTAAGGCCAGCTGTTACTCAGCTCATACACAGTTCCTACTGTCTAGATAAGGGGAGGGCACAGCTGCAAACCAGACCGACTGTAGCTTCTTCATGTCAAGAAATTTCATAAATGAACCTACAAAGGTTTGGGGGGCTGTGATGTCAGTGAAATTGGAACTTTTCCTGAGCATTTCAAGAAAGAAGCTACTTTTTATCAGCCAATACATCAGATGGGCAAATTGAACTTTAATTCCAGCTCACATATGTACTTTCATTTACAGATGACTGATTTTTTTTTTTTTTTTTGACAAGGAAAATAAGATTGAAGTAATCTATTTGGATTGCAGTAAACATCTGAAAGATTGTAACAGAAGAATTTATCATTTGAGATGAGCTGATAGAAATAAACATAGTGAATTAGTGGGGAAGGAAGTGACTAATGGAATACGGACTATAGGCTGCTGGGCTAGTTGGATATTATTACTAGAGTTCATCAAGGATCAGTCTTGATTTAATAACTTTACAAAAAGTCTAATGCACAGAGCATAGGAACAGCAAATTTAATTTGTATGATGACAGAAATTGGAAATTGTTCCAAACACAAAATAGGATTGGCTTATCATGCAGAAAAAGGTGGTTGATGCCGAAGATCAGAAATAGGTTTAGAAAGTAGCTTAAGAAGTCTAGGATAGCAATAAATTCTTCTAGAAATTGGGGAGTTGATATGCTGCAGATAATGAAGAGAAAAATCTAGAGCAGTTAACCAGGATAGCCATGAGCCAGCCATTAATGGAATAAAACTGAGAAGAGGAATAAAAGTGGTTTCAAGACACATTTCAGTTTGAGATTTCCAAAAAAGTAAAGTGAGTTGTGTTAATGATGTTCTGTAAAGGCACCAGTGAGATTGCATCAGGAGTAGTTTGCATTATTTTGGTTACCATGCTTCTGAAAGATGCATTCAAATGTATACAGGCTTGAAGGAGTCACAAATGTAGTATTCTCCTAGAAAAGGAGGTAAATACCAGGAATCATCAAAGAAAAACATGAGCAGGACTAAAACCTTGTAAAATAGTGCAGAACAGACACAAGGGAGGGAAAGCAGCTGTTTAGATAAAAGGGATAACTGGCACAAGAACAAATGATTATATCTAACCATGAACATATTCAAGGTGGAAATGACTGTATTTGCTCATAGGCACAGAAATTAAGTTTCCAGCAGACTTTTGGCCCCCACTGCTTCTAAGAGTTTAAGCTGCAGCTTGCTGAAGTTCTCAAGGAGATGGAATGCCATTCTGCAGGGGAGAGCAGGCAATGACTCCTCCTGGTGACTTTGGAGGTTTCTCTAGGAACTACCTTTCTTGGCTGTGTCCTCACATCACTGCTCTCTCTCAGCATCATATCATCTCAAGCCCAAATCTGTCTTCATTAAAGATGATCATATCCTTTTTACAGGCAATTAAATATGAAGTGTAAGCAACAAGTTTTAAGTGAGAGCGCTGGGCAGACCTGGGAGTACAACCCTGGTGATCCAAGGGCAACCCTCGTCTTTAAACCACTTTGTGACAATGACTGTCGTTATGTGTCCAAAACCAAAAGGAGTGCTGAGGCCTCCCTTGCTCCAGGAATGACAAGTGACCTTTACACATCCACTAGTGATTTGGGGGAGGCTCGGAAAAGCAGGAAATGGAGGTTGGCACTCTGGCACCAAGACTCGAACAAAGCTGCTCAAGAGAGACAATGTAAACACCCCTGAGCAAATTGAACAATTATTTTAATCTTTTTAACATTTTAATCGCTTCAAAAAACCCACAGGCACAGATCCAGGTATTCATTTATGAAAGCTCTGTTAAACTGATGAAGGAAGGGAAGGTGCTTCTTGGATTTGCCTTTCCTACTTAGCACATCATTGCTAATAATCCCGACTGTGTGTTTAATGGAACCCACAATGTAACATCCTGGTTAAGGTTATACCTTAGCATCACATGGGATATGCTCATCTTTTTGCTATGATAACGGGGAAGGCAAAGTGATATCAAGCTTATTATACACAAAACACTGTCCTGATTTTTAAATGAACTTTAAAATGTTAAAGTTCTCCTACCTGATAAGCATTTTAAAATTGACTTTAGTCCTCCTGTATACCAAACTCTAACAAGGTTTGCTGATCCAGTGCAAGATCAAACACAAAGTACTCTGATCAGAGGCATGTCAAAATATTAAAGAACACAGTGACAGCTTGTACCGCTTTATCAGTTAAAACCACATTATACATCAACCACAACCTGTCTGGCTTGCGCATTTGATTAAGTTTCCTATTCAGCAGTGAGTCATTCGTATTCCATGCTTGTCTGCATGACAAATTGAACATTGTGTTGTGCTGCTACAAGATGTGTTAATAAACAGTGCTGGAAAGACTTGATGTGAAAGGTGCCGCACCAATGCCACTGCTGCAAGAGAGGCTGATTGCCAAGCTCCAAAGCAGGGCTAGCTGCACCCGGAGCCAGCGGCTCGCACCTATGACCAGAAACCCTCTCCAGAGGTTGGCTGAGGTGGTCTGAAGGCACAGGAGAGCGGAAGAGCACACGTAATATATCTTTTGAGTGCAACGTTGATAGTGCAAGCATGCTTATCTGCCCAAGACATCCTCCATTCCTCTGAGCTGTTAATGGCTGCAGAGTAAAGCCCCACTCCTCCCCTCTCCCATTCCCTATAAGAAACAGAAGGGCAAGCTTTAGAGCAGGCTGCAGTTGGAAAAATTAATTCTCAATCTCCATCAAACAGAAAGATGGAGTACATGCCACCTACTTCCTATGTGTTTTCAATTGCTATCCCCCTTTCCCCAAATACGAGTCCCATAAACAAGGCAGCTCTTCATCATCAATGGAAGCAGTGAAGAATATTCTATACCTTACAACTGCTACATAGTATAATTTTAAAGTGTTTATGTAAACATCTATACAGTAGGGACTTTTTTAAAAAAAAATTCATTCATATTTGAGTGCATTTTTTTCTGAAAAAAATACCCTGAATTTGCTTAGCAAAAAAATAATAAATTTGAGGTATGTTTTTGGCTGCCCAATTAATGATATTGATTGCTATTAAAGCTGGTGTTGCTCTCTTTCAAACCCAGATCTTCAATAGAAGTTATTTTAAAAATAAATTAGTGCATTTTTGCTAAAGGAGAAGAAATAAGATTTAGGATTTATAACAAAGCTATATTCTTCATACTTTCTGGTTATTTTGTAACACAAGATACTGGAATAGCAAAGGACTTCTGCTTCACATATAATGGGCATACATATACCCATGCAGTTACTTTTTTTAAAAAAAAATCATTTCATAACTCTGCAGGCTAGTGAACTGATTGGTGAAAGAGTGAAGGGACACACATCACAGTGACAAGGACAGAGAATGCAGAAGCGCTGTTAGCTGCGGGATGACAGGGTGCTGGAGACGAGGTGGGAAGCGGAAAGCCGGAGCTGCAGGTCTGCTCTCTACTGGCCAGCCAGCAGTGCTCGGCCGGAGGCATGGCAAGGTTAGCAGGGGATATTGCCAGTCTTCTGATGCGGAGGGAGAGGAAGGGGAAGTGACCGCAAATTCTAAAAACCTCAATTTCTGACTTTTAATTTCAAGCTATAAGCGCTGAAAACCCACAAACTGAACAGAACATTTCAAAGGAGAAGATTAAAAAAAAAAAAAAGAAAAGAAAAAGAAAAGGAAAATAAAAGGAAAGGGATGTTAGTATGTCTCATCCAGATCTGTGGGTTTTGTGAATTCTAGAATATAGTATTGGCCTATAACCTGCCTTAATTTACTATCTAGAGGTAAAGAGGATGATAAAAAGTGTTTGCCATGAATCTATTGGTATTTCTGCTAAATTAGGCCAAAATGAAATGATCAGTAAGCATCTTGAGTGCAAACACACACACACAGTGATCACGAGTACAAAAAAATAAATGTTAATTAACTTCCAGGGATGCAAAAGCTGCATGATCCAGGACTTAACCAGTATTTCTATTAGTTTGAAGCAATTGAGACTGGCTTTTGCCAAACTAGTAACAAAGGAAAGTTTTCAGACTTTAAATTGTGGCCACTTGACAGAGTCGGTGGGGACTGATATCATCACGGCCAGTTTTCATCATCCTCTTGTGGTTCTAGAACAGAGTGCAGAAACCAGGAGAATTAGGTACCTGCTATGTGGACTGCTGACAGAGGGTCCAGGCTGTGAGAGACTACATTTGCCCCGTGGCTGTTTGCAATGAACAGGGGGTAAAGAAAGAAGAATGTTCAGTCCAGGCAAATAAAGACAAGCTACTGATGAAACTAAATCAAAAGTGCAGCAAAGGAACATAAAATAAATAAATAAAATGAAGTGACCAATACCCATGAACCAAGGAAACTGGCTTTTCTTCGCATTTAGGTAAATATGAAAGTGATTGGAATACACACAGTGAACTTGGAAATAACTTTTTGTCATTACATTTATGTGCAGAAGCTCTGGATTAAAAAAAATGCTATAAATTTAGCTTGAATAATTCGTCCATTAAAATAGAAACTGAACTAAATATGAGCAAATATAAATATTTTAAAATGTAATTGCAATAAAATTTGTATTCTCAGGACAAAATATAAAGGTCCAGGCACTTCCTTTTAGAAGTCTGGCCTCTTCTAAACCTCTCTCTCCCACAATTTTTAAGGTGGGAGGGTAGGTGCATTCCTGCACTCACAACCATTTTCCAGAACATTTAATACAGCTAGATGATTATCAATCTGATTGGATTTTTAGGTATTAGTACTTATTTATTAATCATTGGTATATTTGGCACTGGAATTCTAAACAATATCACTTCAGTCTCTGAAACGGGGGGTTCCAAAAAACCTGTATGTTTGAAAACCAGACCCCAAGGAATCACATACATCATGGACAAAAATAAAAAGAAGGAGTCATGTACAAAAACACTAATGTATTAGAGATAGACAAACGCATATTAAAATGTTAACATGAAGCCTATTACAATTCAACATACTCTTTAGTCAAAGTTGTTTTAGAGTGAGATATTTCTCCATTTCCTGCAACGGTCAGGCATCATCTAGTCAAATCTTTTATGATATCAGAGGTTTTAGTCAAATCTTTTGTGATATCAGAGGTTTTATTAGTAATTTAACTCTAAATTTAAGATGAAAGCATTGGCCTCAGAAATAAAATATTCAGTTTTATACTGTTTCTCCCTTTGAAAAGCCAGTATTCCTTTACATTCTAATACTAGCATCTAAAAGGAAACTAGTGAATGTAAAAAATAAAAAGGAAAAAAAAATCAATTTCAAGAGCCATAAAGTTTATCAAGACAGAATTCAGAGCTTTACAAAAAGTGCAAATGGAAAAATAATGATTATTTTAAGAACTAAAGAAAAAGAGGTAATCAACCAATAGTATTGCAGAAAAAAAAAAGAAAAAAATAGTTCCAATTTGGGCTCAGAGTATGGAAGTGTTAAGTATTAGGCATGTATTGCTATAATTCTTGAATTTTGTGCCAGCGATGTAAACAGACAACACCAGAGTTGCTGTCATATAGCCATTGATTAGGTCCTGTTCAACTACCTGTTTCCAATAATGCTTTATGCCCTTCAGCTCTAACTACTCGTTCATCCAAAGTCTCAATAAGACCATCTCTAACCTTCATGAGGAATGAAGAAGAAATGCTTATTGAGATTCTTGATGAAGGCTCTGAAGAGAAGGCCAAACAGAAATGGAGAACTGATTATAGCAGACAAGACCAGACTTTGGGATGCTGCCATCACTAGAGCAAAATACAAGAGACACAACATGCCATATCATGGTAAACCAACCACACTGACAGCCCTGGTTTTATAGAGTATTTACCAATTCGAATTTCATGCAGGATGGGATATGCAGCAGGGTTGGGGAAAGCAGCTGTGTTTTGTTTTTTGTCTTGGTTTATGCCATTTCCTTTCCTATCGAGTGAGAATGTGGGCCTTTCAGCTGGCTGAAACTACTGCAGATGTCTAGAGTTCCCACCCAGGAGGCGGCAGAAGGCACATGGCTGGAAATTACCGTTTTCTGTCTGCTTGGAGTGCTTCTTCCAGATGCAGGACTCACTGAGCCTGAGGTGTCCAATTCATCAGCAGAGGACCATGAAGACAAATCCTAAAATTCAGGAGGAATGGAGCTCAGAAAACTAACTGTTCAGGTGAAAAAAAAAAATTCAAAGAAACTCAAGAGAAACCCCCAAAACCCAAGACTGAAAGTGAAATACCAGCAAAATTAATTCCCAACAAAATAAAATAAAACAGTTAAATTTTGTCAGTAAACTCGTAAGATTAGACCATTGCATGTTTTTCCAGTGACCGTTGCATGTTTTCTTAGTTAGCCCTAATGGAGAAGAAAAGCAAACGAGTAGTTAAAGCAAAACTGTTTTAGATAAAGCATTTTCTAGCAAAGTTAGTAGAGGAAAAAAATACTTGCTGTACAGTTGCTCCAAAAGATGGATACCACCAAGATTTTACTGATGCAGGCAAAAATCCACTAGTAGAAGCAAGAAGCTGAGGTCTCATGCTTTATAAATTGGGTTAGTGCAAGATGTGGAAAAAAAAATGGTGGAGATTGAGACCAATGGCGAACGCTGACATCCTTATTTTACACTTGCCAGTCAGTGAAGATATGTACACATCTCCCTCTCAAATACTCAGAGGTACAAGATAATTATTTGGAATCCAGCTTTAAGCTCAGAAAGCACAATGAGAGATATTTTAGTCTATTAAATGATGTATATTACATCCTTTCCTACAGCAGAGTGAGCATCATCTTCCTTTCAAATGAAAATGGACACATTCCCAATTTTTGATCCAGAAACTAGAATAATTATTTCATATACTTTGCTACTTAATCAAATCCATAATGGCAATATAAACAAATCGAGATGTTCAATTCTTCTTGTTCTACCAAAACAAAACAAACAAACAAACAAATAAACAAACAACAAAACTCCACAAATGAATAAAAAGGAAAACAGACACACTGCAAGGAAGATGTTTATGTTATGAAGTGCAAATTACTTCACGATATTCAAGATTACAATACTACTATCTTGGTAAGTACTACAGACAAACAAGACATTGATCAGAGAAAGACAAAGGAATGAGAAACGTGTGCCTAACAAATGTCAAGGAATAAAAGATGACTTACCAGTTGACTACCTGAAATGTCGAGTATTTTCTCTAGATCTTTTATGTGACGTGTGACCTCTTTCAAAAGAAGCTTCAGTCTATTTCCAATGACATGAACCTTTTCTTTGGCTTCAAGGCAGTCCTTGCCTTCAGCATGGACTAGCAATTGGCAGGACATATCTTGCAGTGATGTCACCTTCAACTGAGACTCCTGTAGTTCACGTCTGATTTGCTATTATTGCCAAGGTAAGCACCAAAAGATTTTCATTGTAATTATTTTGCAATGGAAAAGAAAGCTAAAATTCACAAAAATGGGCTTCTGAAATCAATTAAATGGAAAGTATAAAGAAAAGGGAAGCAATAACAAAATATAATTCTGAGAAACTGTAACAAGAACTTCTAATGCTTCATTTGCAATTTGAGGAACAGTTGGTAGTTCATTCTGTAATTGTTTAATGTCTCTGATGCTCAGCAAGTTCCCACCAAAGACAGACTTTCCAAACACCAAACACAATAATATGACAAGATGGATGAAAGTCTAGCTGTTGCCTATGAGTTTTTCATTCAATTTTGATACTAACAAGAGTGATTGGCATTAGTTAATTTAGCTCCTGACCTTACTCCCACAGTTGTATATTAGCACACAACATATAACACTAACCCTCATGAACAAAGGTAAATCTGATTGGCTATTTTCAGATGTTGTGAGAAGGGGGTGATTATAGCCCTACCATTAGAAGTCGGTTATGATCTTGCAGAGTTTCTGAGTCCAGGCTTGGATTGATAGGCACAATCTCATTCTTCCTTCTGTCAATATTCTCTAGCCAAAGCAGCAACCCATGGCTCATTTCATGGAAATCCTGTAAGTGATGAGTGATTATTTTAAAAATATAGCAGAAAATTCCAGTCAGATTTAGGATTTCAGTTTATTCTATGATGAGTCCTACTGGCTAAATAACATGGTTTATAATGAAGTGCAGAATAGTAGATTGGAACACTGTTCCACATATGACAAGCTTTAGAAAACCTTCAGCTTGAAATACATGCTTCAGTTAATAGTCCTTCAGAAACGATTTTACCAAAGTTGTATTTCAGTACCTACGGGCAAGTTTCAGCTTGGATAACAAGCACACCACATGATGATATGGATTCCATCTTTGGTATGTGGGATGCTGATAACTTCAAATAAGCGCAATACAGACCTGGCACTGCATTAAGGCATCCTGCAACGAGCAGCGCCACTCTTCAATCATACGGCATACACGTTCCCAGCGCTTGTTCATCTGAGACAGGCGCTCTTGAAGAGTCTTGCTCTCTTTGCTCTCAGACTGAGTGAATTCTGAGCTGCACAGATTGATGGATAAGATGATCGCTTTGCGGTTATCAATTGCTTTCTGCAGCTCCTAGATGATAAGACCAAGTGGGAGGGGAGGAAGAAAGAGTGGAAACATAAGATATGAGATTGCCAGAAGAGCCAAGCAGAGCAGGCACCAAGGAGAATGCAGTGATTTGCCATCAGTAACTAGATACTCTGCCTTACTGTACAAGTGCCTTTGCTTTAGACATGGGATTTCTGTGGTAGCTTTGATATAACACCACAAATGTTCACTCTTTAACATCTACTAAAATTTTACTGTGAACATAAACTAGAACAAGCCAATTAAACTTTTAAAAGTCTTAAAAGCCTGAAGTCATAGTTGAATTTTAAAGATCAGAAGAACAGGCTCATGCCTCAGATATTTTAAAGACAGGGAGGGCCCAGGAAAGATGCAGGGCAATCCTACTATAGCTCACAATAAAACTTTTGCCCTCACTTCTCAGTTTTGCTGATAAACATAAAAAGCAGCATGTTTTGCAAGTTGAAACTGCTGTCAACAGTATTTTAAAATAAAAGCTTTTACTGAGGGAATATAAAACACAAAAAGAATATAAACAACTTACTCCAATTTATAGAAGCAGGACATGCATAAAAACTCTGATTTGTTTACACTGGAAGCCACAAAAGAAACCCCACCTCTTTTGGTTTGGAGGGCACTAATGGGCTTTCCAAGAGTGGGTGAGATAAGAACATGATTCTTATGAAATGTCCCCTTTTCCACCTAGTTTACAGCATTTACTTAAAAGCCCCATGTCACAGTGACCTTTGTACTACTTATGGCAGCTATATTTAGATTCCAGCAAAGATCAGCATTAATATGCTTTAGATGGATCACTGCCGGAAACTGTGTTTACTGTCTGTCCACCCCATTCCTACCACGGAGCACAGTGCATTTTGACATTGGCTCCACATTTTTTTTGCCCAAGGTTATAAGATGCTAATAACTGAATGTGAAGTTGTGGAAGATCACATTTGGAGACCTTGTAGCAGGAAAATACACAGGAGATGCTCCAACAGCAGGGTTCAAGACATGATGCATCTGATATCACAGGAGAAGGGAATATTGCAAAGGACACCAAATTCTTTCTGCTCATAAAACTGATGTTGTTCTAGGTGACATCAACGAGTAGGCTACAGTTCTTCTGGGCATCTCTCTCTCTTTCCATCACACAAAGTAACAGGTCTCTGTGATCTACTTCTTTAAAAAAGCAATACAAGTTTCTTTACAGCGTTTTTTTTTAAATTGGCCTTTCCTCCCTTCCCTTCCCTAGTTCAGCTGACCTTATCTGTGCATTTTGGAATTATAGGTACATAATATACATATTTTAAAAATGCACTTGGATTCTGTAATAAATGCTAGTGGCATATTTTTCAGCCCATAACTTGTCTTATGAAATCACTTTTCCAGTTACCTTCTTCAATTATCAGTTCGAGTCGCCTCTGTGTAGCATGGAGCAAACCAACAGTACCTATGGGCTACCTCTCTAACATGGATTGCACTGAGGACTGCTCATAAAGTAATTCAGAGGGGGGGAAAAAAAAAATCTCACTTTCAGTTTCTTAATCCTGAGCTCGATAGTTTGTATGTCAGTGCTGAGATCAAGACATCGGAGTTTCTCCAGCTCCTCTTCAGTTTCTCCGAGCCAAGCGCAAATGCTGTTAAGGTCGGAGTTGAACTGTTGCCATTGCTGAAGGTTCTGTTTCATTCTCAGCTCCTTGCTTAGAGCTTGGGCCTGGATTAATTCCCATCGGTCAATTACACCTGGAAAAGTAAACATAAAACTCAACAAAGGAAAAAAATTAATGAGCCTCAGCATTGCATCAGCTGAATCCTGTGCAGTACCAAGAAAAACTCTATAAAACCCAGAAAGCTCAAAACTGCTGAACACCATGCAGAAAACTAAGTTAGTCTGAAGAATAAGAATTTACAGAGAAAGAATGAAGAATCTGAATAAGTTACCATTGCTTAGAGAAATACTGACTTTAAACTGAGAAAATTGGTAACTATTTCTTCAAGGTATTTATCTGAAAACACTATGACTTAGAGAAGGACAAATTATATCACTACATGAACCAAAGACAAAAAAAGAAATCAAAAAGAAAATAGACTGTGCAGATAGCATATCTGACCAAGGTGAGAATGGAGAGGCTGCCATTGCCTTTGCAGCCTCTGGCAGAAATCCATGCTTTCGCAGTTCAACTCATCTGTTTTACAGCAGATGCTTAAAACTCATCAGCTGAATTCAAAAACAGACTGCATCTACAGGGACCTGCCCATAGGCTTAGGGTTGTATCTCATGATATGAAAGAAATCTTTAATTGCACTTGTATGCCCAGTGTCTTTAGATGGTATATGCAAGGAATACTTGCTGACTTATACACAGTGATTTAATTGACTTTAAACAGAACATGGTAGCAGACACAGTCCTTCTCTAGATCTTACCAGCCGTTTGTGTTTCAGTACTGTTCAAGTCAATGAGTCCAGATAACTTTTCTTCTTCCTCCTTTAGTTTATATCCAAGCCTTTTTACCGAGTCTATGCTTCCACTGCACTCACCTAATAGTTTCATCTGTGTTAAAATAAGAAACACAATAGTTCACCTCAATGTGCACTGTACAAAATTAAAGCAATTTCCAGAAATTTGCAATAGTCCAAGTATAAAGTCTGTTCCTCTAAGAGTCTGCAATGATACTGACAGCAAAACTTACATGGAAGCTTAAAGCATATGCTCAAATTAAACAGAAATAACTTGGTTGTCATTGCAGCAAGAAGGGATATCTGTACCATGATTTTATTCTAAACATGATATTAGCATTGGTAGATGCACTAAAGCACATTAAGAGTAATTTGAAAATTTTATCTTGCCTTCAAGCACTAATCTTTCAATTCTTTCTGGAATGAAATGTTTAGAATAACTTACAGAAAACTTCATTTCCAGAAAACCTCTCTGAGAGATCTTTTTAATCATAGATTCCCTATATGCAACATTGGTTACACAATGCATGTTTACGATTCATCTGTAAAACAAATACTGTGTATCAGGCTATAAAACCTGCTTTTAAAACTAGAGGAATTTAAACAAGGGTGTTTTCTTTAAATGGATAAATGGATCTTCAAATGGATCAAAATGTGTGTGTGAGAAAGTCCTTTTGGACATCTGCAAAAATGTAATGAGAAAATAAACTCCCTAGAGTCATGTCCCTGTAATCTTATTCTATTGTAAACACACTAATAACATAAACAACAATAGCATGTGATTAAGGGTAGCAACCATGTGAGTAAGTCTGATGAGCAATAATATCTAATTGCGTTGTTGCAACAGCTACACTTCTTTCAATAGCAAATCTAGGCTTAGAGTACTGATTTGACTTGTGCACCAAAACACATCACCATGCCTAAAAAACAGCGATTTTTTCAGTGTTGTGAGCATGTGATGAGACTCAAGAACACGCACATATCCTTTGTAACTGGAATCCAGCTCTGATCCTGTAGGTGTCTTGCTGCGGATGATGTTTTCTGTTTGCTGTATTTGGAAACGGCTGGTGTCTAAGGCCTTGTCCAGCTGTCGGATATGTGTTTCCAGGGCACCAGGTTCTCCTACGCCAGAAACAAAAACAGTGATTGACACTTAAGTTTCCCAGTTTTTTTCAGAATCAGCACTGGTTAGACAGTAAAAGATAAGTGTGATTACCACTGTCAGAGTGGGTAAATATGAAAACAAACTTGCAATGTATTCTGAAGGGCACAATTCTTGGTAAATTGTATGCTATCCTAATATTTTGGAGAGGACATTGCTTCTTTTCAGATTCAGATACTCTCTAGCAGCCTTGTATCCTGAATTCCTGTCCCATGATTTGTGTTAACATGCGATTTCTTCTTATTATTTCTTTTTGCATTACTTCTCTGCATTACAAAGAGTAGAATTTTGATGAAAAGATTCTATTTCTATCAAGCTTTGACCAAAAAACTAAATGTATTTACAGTGTTTTTCCAGTTAAGGATTTGACAAAAATAGTACTTAGATATCTGAAATTTGCTTCATGGGTGGATTATACTCTGCTCATCCAAGTTTGGAACTCCTAGTAATGTTTCTGAAGATCTTGGGACAACGACTAGCCCAAAAGTTTACATGTAAGTAATAATTCAAGTTGTGTCTACGAAAAAAAAAAAAGTATATTTGAATAATTAGGCTTTGCTCACTGTCTTTTCTGTCTGACTTAATCTTTAGGTATCACTCTTCTCTCAGAGAAGTAGTGAAGTATTCAGTCCTGTTAAGGGACTCAAGAAAATCTGAGCAAATCTGAGGCAGTTTGAGCAAAGCCCTGCTCTGCTTAGTCTAGCTAGCCAAGGTTCCCACCTTGCATCTTAGACAATATTTTAAATTTTGCTATTTCATCCATATATCTAATACTTTCAAAAATAGTAGTAAAGTAGGATATTTCTACGTTTACACGCCAGTGCCATCACATAAGAAATATTTACTTTGTAAGCTGAGAAAAGCATGGCAGATACCAAGGGAAGAGAAAGATGTTATGCTTATGGACTGTAGTACTTGCTTCTGGCTATGCTTAGTCTTTTTTGATGCCTACCAGAGATATTTCTGAGTGTGTTTTCTTTGAGTATTATCACTGTGTGTTTTCTATGAGGCTGATAGACCTCAAGAGTTTCAGAGATCTCTACATCTGAAAAGATTAAAGCACAGCGTAAGTTGACAGCTCAGCAATGGCTTTCTCCTCACAAAAGGAGTTCTCTTCCTCAGATAGGTTCTAATAGCAATACCTTTTTTGAAGAAGTAAAAAGGATTAAGAGTGGAGCATAGAGAGTCTGCTAAAAAAGCCTTAAAATCAAAGCAAACCTGACTCTTTTCAGAACAAAGCAATGACCTGAAAACTAAAAGACATCCGTGGGATCAGAGAATTATATATCAGTAAGTCTTCCTGCAGAATAAGCTGTATTTGCGCACCTTCACTCACAAGATCTATTATACAAAGTAGACACACTTAGAAAGGATTTGTATCTTCCTAAGAGAGCAAGATCTGAAATCCTACCTCAGGTTAAGCTCACAGGTACCAAAACATTTGAGTCTTGCTAGGGAAAGGAATGAGTTAAGATTCACTTAAGCAGTTCATAATTTGGTCTCATTTGCGATCTAGTCTCTCGCAGATTTTTTTCATTCAGTTGTTTTCTGCTTCTTGCTGTATCCAGTATAGTTTCTTCTAGTCAGAATAATGCATTAGGCATTACTACTACAGATGACATATCCCATCTGGCAGACCACAGGCACAGAGACACAGCCAATTCCCTGTCATATCACATATGCCTCTGAGATATTCCAAGGCTGCAGTCATGCAGGAATCTCCAGCACTTTTTCTAAGGTCAGAAGGCCAGTGGGATCACTTAGGGAAAGCTATTTAAGATCTTCAGAGGCTATTTAAAATATTTTTTTTCCATGAACTCCTTGGCAAAATGGTCACACAAGCAATATTTTACTAAAAGAGAATAGACACAGATTTTGCCACCATACCTGCTACACCAGCTGCTCCTGGAAGGTAGAAGTCTTTGTCTTGTCCTTCTTCTTCCTCAGAGTGTAGTGCCCGTGAAACAGCCGTTTCCAGGTCTCGACTGAGGTCATAGTCATGATCCCACTCCAGGGAAATGGAGTCCACGCTTGCAGGGGTATCCCGCCCCGATCGCTCGCTTCTCACCGTCTGGGCGAGGGGCAGCGAGATGTTGGAGGCAAGGCGTGGGGAGAGAATGCTGTCCGCAGACTTGTCATGCCAGTGTATGTCAGAGAGATCTGCTGATTCATCCAGATCCACCTCTCTGTCAGAGAGGTCATGTTCGTCATCGGTCAGCTAGAAGTGTAACACAAACGGAACCGATCAACGCAACGTGCAGAAACACTGCTTGCTCATCTAGGGCCAGTGAAATAAAAGTGCCAGTAGATGACAGTGAGACTGATGGGCTTTCCATTTTGTACCCTTCTTTTGCGCTTCACTTTCCTTACTTTCAGATGCAGTAAAAAGCTCAAATATCAGAATAAATAAGAATGCTTGTAAAGTCAGTTTATCCTAATTGCTAAAGCACAGTACAGTCTCACATCAAGCAAATGCCTCCAGACTTCATACTGATGCAACTTGCAATGCAGACAATGAGTTAAAGAAACCTTATGGAAGCAAGCCATAGCAAGTCACTTAAGTGACCTTTATTGTGCTCATTAAATTCTTTCACATTCTGAAAAAAAAAATGATTTTTTTCCCTTGTTCCTGCAGTAGGATCTGAGCTACGAAAACATTTTGCTCTTGGATCTTTGGCTTTGTGTTCAGTTCTGGAGACAAGAATCTCAGTTCTGCAAGAGAAGAATCACTCTAGCATTTTTGGGTTTTAAATAAAACAAAACTCAATAATCTGCTAATGAAACTATCTGATAGAACAGGGAGATGTTCTTATCACTATTACTGCACTGTTACCTTTATTAATAAGTTTATAAATCCAGAGATTTAAATTATAAATATACATCATTATAAAAACAAATTATAAATCCGGATCTACTTGCATAGATTTGCATAGTGATGTACTAAGATTCTAGATCTGGTGAGTTTGTTCTTTGAACAAGACATAAATAGCGTATAATGAAGGGACACAAATGGTCAAGTATATAACAAAACTAAAACCACAGAATTTTTGGAAGATGTTAGAATATGCATATTAGTGCATTCCAACATCTTTCTCTCTCCTAATTCTCAAATTTGCAAAATGGCAATAAAAACAAATAGACAAAAAAAATACTCATGTATGGAAGTTTACACACAGGAAGGTGGATCAGTTTCTTGTGATAGCGTTCCACACGGCCAAAGACTTCTTGACAGTAACGACGCAGTTCATCGAGGTCTTCCTCAATGACAGCTGCATCCATGGGTTCACTTTTCTCAATTAGTTGCTCACCCTGTGCAATGGTCTGGTCAATTTTGCTGTTGTTCAGTGAAATTTCTTGCTGAAAAGCCTGTATAAAAAAAAAACAAAAACAAAAACAAAAACAAAAGATGAAGGTTTTTTTAATGAAATCAACGTTAAAACAATATTAAAATGAAATTAGTATTAAAAGGAATCAACAATTTGAGTTCTAGCATTTTTCAGCAATACAGATTGATCCAAATATCCTGTCAAGAGCAATAAAATGAAAATAAACTTAGCATTCCTCAAACAGCCTTTCTAGTCAAAAACAGTGATACTTGATGGTTTACCATCTCATTCTTCATTTGTTGTATTTGGAAAGAAAATCCTTCTCTAAATAAGCCATGCCCATGACCAAATGTCTACAATGGACAGAGATGCTAAACCTAACAGGCTGGAACTTTGGATAACAATGTGTTTCACATTCCACCTTTTCCTCTCCAAAATAATTCCTTTCTTTTTTTTTTTTTTTGGATGCAAAAATTGTTGACAAATATAGAAATTATAATGTGGTAGAATAATGGAGGCTTGATATTAACAGTTTTCATTGCAATTTCCCCTTTTAATCAGGAAATAAAGACCATCACCTTTGCTTTTTGAAAATTTGTCATAGGACAAAGCACTTTGCCTTTTAAAACTTGGCCCAAAAGCTCTGAGGTAAAAGTCTCAGTCTTCAAGAAAGGCATTGTATCTGGCTGCATTTTTGCATGGTGTTTCTTATATTTTTTCCCTCTCCCACTAGAATTTTTTTTTTTTGCATCTCTCTTCCTTCACCCAATTTCTATGCAATCATTTTTTTTTTTTTACCTTAAGTTGCTTTATCTTTGCTTGGACATCACACTCTGAGAAATGCTCAATGTTGGTCAGCTGCAGGTCCATCTCCGTTAGCCATACCAGGATGCTGTCACGCGCTGTCTCAAATTCCTCACGCTGGCCAATAAAATGCTGCGGGAAAAGATGAGAAGCATGAAGTGATCAGACGACTCCCCTAAAACAGCAATAGTTTTCTGTTTCTCTGGAGAAGCAGCTTTCATTTCTTCCAAATCTAATCAGCCCTCAGTACTGCTTCTTTCATTCCCTCCATGCTTTCTAAGGTTCCCTTTTCATTAACATTTTCTCCATTTGCAACTAGCAGATTTGTATAAGCTAGGACAGTTTTCACTGTCACAGAAGTCCCTGGATACATCCTTACAGATCTCCTATTGTAACTACTCAAAAGAGTGAACAGATTAGCTCCCCAATGTGTCTAAATGTAGAAAAATGCCTCTAAAAAACATGCAAATATATTGAAGCTGAGGCTCCTGTTATTCATAAACTATAGTGAAAGCAAAGGTCTTGAAAATGAAGAAAATACTTTTAGCCTGCGCAGGATGGAAGTAACTCTCTTCTGTAGGTTGTCCCATCTCTGGTTTCCTTCATGGACCATCTGCTTGAGGCTGCAGTCAGAGTCTGTGCGGTTCTCGCGGGCCAAGCGGCGATACTGTTTGTTAATCAGCTCCAGCTGAGTCAGACTTTCATGCACCTGTCTCTGGAAAGCCTAAAGGAGGATCAATAAAAGACATCTTGAGAATTTTATCATGAGAATCAGGAAAAATAAGAAGCTTCTCCCCATACGATGATTGTAGAATCTATGCACAGCCCTGTGTTAGCTGATCTTTAGGAGTTAGACTCTATGAGGGATGCAGATACCTACTAAGTGAATGAAAGGCTTCTTCCTGATTAGAAGGAGGCCCCACTGCAAAAACGTAACATAGTTCATTAAGTGACATACTGCAACAAGCATACTTGTTCTAGTGACTAAAAACACCCTCCAAAAAGACAGAATGGCCTTTCTGTTCAATATTATGTTCTTGCATTTGAGAATGGGAACAAACAAATGAACTGTGAAACCGATTAAAAAAATAAAGCCAAGATTCCTGTGGTTTTGTTGGATTTCCCTATGCAAACTGAATCTACTATAGTATGAAAATTGGGTAGGTTTAAGAAATTGAATTGCTTATTCTGTAATTTACAGAAAAACATGAAAAAAATGGTGTTGAAGATGTTTATCTGGTGCATTGGTATACAAATACGTTTTATCTTAATTTAATATGGAAAGAAAATGCCACTAACATCCGCACCAACTTACATGTGTATGTTTGTGCCTCGCGCTTTCAGTGCCTCTACTGTTACAAAAAGCTCAGCCATTCAACTGGAGAGCAGAAACAATACGTGGCTTAGTCATCAGTTTAATGCTGTGACTAACAATCACAAAGCAAGGTAGAGAAAGCATGTTGGAAGGGAGTTCACTTAATTAATCTTTTAAAAAGTACTTGTTTGTATGCTATCACAGGAACAGAAAAACACACAATCAAAAAAAAAAAAAAAGAGAATTTTTAACCAGATCTCTCTGTAAGCAATGCAAAAGTGAGCAGTTTTTGACTCCCATTGTAGTTCTCCTTTTTTTTTTTTCTCTCCTATTTCTCACAATGTAAATAAACAAACAATTCCTTCCAAAACTAGTCACTACCCTTGATAAGAAATGCCAGAGTGTGGTAGGCAACACACTTCTGTATAGAAACTATCATTAAATTACCAGCAAAGTATATCTGTAAACACTATATACTATTCATATTGTGTGAGTTAAAAATGGAATAAGCATGTTTCTGTACCAAGACCAGAGACAAAATAAAAGAGCCTATTTGAAAAAAAGGAAAAGATCAAAGCCTGCATGGTCCTCTCTGTAGAACTATTCTCTGTCTAAATGCAAATTAAATTGGGGATGGGTCAACAAACAAGGAGAAACTGGGGTTGCAACTGGAATGAAATCCTCAACAGAACTGACTTCAGCTAAAATTGCATAGGGGAAAAAAAGAAAGAGGAAGAATTCTCACCGTAGATGCACAAACATGACTTTATATTTACTAGGCATGTGAATCTACGCGTGTGCCTTTTTACACTTGATGCTTCACCTGTTACCAAGCCTTGTCCAGCAAAAGAACAGCTGAGCATTTGTTTTCCACTTTTTTTTTTTTTTTTTTTTTTCAGTTCAACTACACAGGAATTATCTTTTGCCTTCTTCCCGTAACCTCTTCTCACTTATCTGTGCTAGTGGAGAGACCAGCAGTTTGACTGTATTCAGTGAAGCCATTTTCTCCATGCTCAATGAGAGAAAGGTTCTAACACAGTCTGTTGTTCTCAGTAACTTTTTAAATCCAACTGAGGATATGGAGGGGAATACAAAATTCAGAAAAAAAAAAAAAAAGTAGTTAAAAAAGAAAACTACTAAACCACTTCAGTTAATAGACATAGATAGTCCTCACTTTACAAGGAAGTTGGTGCATTCCCCTGAAATTGAAGATCAGAGCAGTTGTGATTTCCATCCCTGCTTTCTGGTAATTGTAGAACTATGTACTCCTTTCCTCTGCCCTTTCCTCCCACTCACTTCTCCTCACAGAGAGAAGCAGAACCAAATTACATGCAAAGCAATCTTTGGAAAAGGCTGCCACACTGTTCTCTTTACAGCTAATTCCGCTGACCCTATGTACACAGTAAAAATTCCATGAGCCTGCAGGAAAGGGAAGGTCTGTGTAAAAAGCAAGAAAACACATCAGTGGAACAGACTTCGGGCAAAGCCAGGTCAGCTGTGAAAAATCAAAAGCAGCCAAGACATTTTTGTGCTGTTTCCCATCCATTTATTCACTACACAAGAGATCAGATCCTGATCACTGCATGAAGGGACAAGGGGAAGAAGGTCTGAGACACTGTATTCATTGCCAGCAAGCAAACATCAATATTCTATAGCAGTTTTCTATCTCTCCCTAATTAAGTCTGGTAGTGTTGAACAATAAAACCTAGCCAGCATATTCAAAAATGTCAATGGCAATAATAAAATTTGACTCTGTCTAAAGTGTTCCAAAACTTGGCAGTTCATGTTTTTGATCAAGTAGTTAGATCCTATTTGGATCTAATTTGGATTAACCAAAAAGAATTTTTAATCATAGATTATTCAAAAAAGATTAATCAAAAAAAAATTGCAGTTCTTCTTCACAACATATACCTTATAGCATCTGACTCTACAGAATCCTCTAAATAATGCCCACAACTGGTTCTCTTTCTTTAGGATTATTTTTCTCAACTGTGACTGATCACACAAGGACTGTGTGTGTGTGGGGGGGTGTTCTACACACATATATCCCTTTGTAATTATGTGACTAGCGTCACACAGTAGTTGAGACAATGGAGTCGTGTAACTGTAAATGCTGTTAAGCATTGACTGAACTGACAACTTGTCCATTTTCAAACATACACTTAAACTTTCAAGTCAGGGGGGACACCATGTGGACATACAATATCACTTGCACATGGATGCCTTTCAAGGATCTGTCTCTAAAATGGGGATTTTGCACATAATACAGAAAAAAAAATTAAAGGGTTGGTTTCAGACTAAAGTAAGGGGATGAAACCACAGCAAAAGCAAAAGCACATGACATTGCATATGAAGATGGTATATGCATTCAAGGGAGACTTATAAATGTTTTGGAGCACCTCTTCACTAGGCATATTTGAAAGCTACAGAAAAGTTACTTTACTGAACAAATGGCATGTGGGAATGGATTGACTTATTTGTGTTTTCAGTTTCCACCTTCCATACTCCTTTGTCCTAATGACCTGTCAACAAGAGCAGCTGCAAAATCAACTCCAGTATTTTAATACAGTGTCCCTGAGTGTCTTATGTATGAAAACGAAGAACACCAGTTAGCTGCTGTAATATGATCAGGAGATATCAAATTTCAAGCAGTATAAGTCACCTCAAATTTCTTTAGTTCTTCTTTAGCAACCGTGTAAAGCACACCAGAGGAGCTCGGGAAGGCAGCTGTCCTTTCAGAGATTTTCAGCCACTCTTCAAATCTAGAGTAGTCATCCAAAAACTTTTGCCATAGACGCCATGTCTCTTCAATTCTGCAAGAGATAATGGAAAGATTAGGGAATGCTTGGACTGCAGGCCAGCTGACCTACTGTGCTTTAACTTACCTTCTGCAAGAGTGGACCAGCACTGCACCAAACAATATCAGGTTCTTAATCTAACTCAGACAGCAATGTTGATAAGCAGGCAACAGAAAAGGGTGGCTCATTCCAGTGTGTGCCGAGATAAGATGCTAGCAATCTTTTTAAGTGTGCTGCATATCACATTTTGGAATAAGTATAAAAGGAATATTATAGCACACTATAGAAGTGTTAAAAATCTAAGTGTAAAAGAGTGTAGACTAAATAACTTCAGGAATGCAGTCCAGTATATTTACCTAAACAAATATTTTAGAGATGAGAAATCTCACACTATCTACAGCTACTGAACCTTTATTATAGAAAAATAAAAGATGCTGAAGGATGTATTTTAAAGCTCTCAGTCAGCATTCTGCATTACAAAGTGAAATGAACTTTTTTTTGCATTCTTGTATTTTTTGCATTGCATGTACCTTGTATGAAAGTATTTATTAATGTAACCCCCTATTTTTTTTTTCTAATATAGCATGATAACCACTTTGTTTTATTCAAAGTATGATCTTTTCTGGTCATTAAAGCTTTTATTTCAGTACTGCAGTCTTGTCACATAATTCCCACGCTGTATTGAAAGAAATGTTTGTAGGCATTGTAGACTTACTTAAGTCGCCTTTCCATTGACATTGCACAAATGTTCCTCCATCTTCTATCCAGATTCTGTGTGGCCTGCTGGATAGAGTCACACTCTTTTTCTGTGGCACAGGCATCGCAGTCGTGGAGGAGCACTTCACACAGGTTGAGAACGGACGCCACTCCAGTGCTGTGCTTCTCTATGTCCTTCTGAAGGATCTGCAGTTAAAGAAATTAATTCTTAAGAAAAATTGCAAAAAAAAAGCATATATGCAAAAGTCTTTTTTCTTCTACTTGCTCAAAACTAAATTTAATGAGGTTAGAAACAGGAAAAAAAACATCAGATGAATATATATTAAGAGACTGCATCTACACAAGTGGTGTTGCAATGTTACCAACAAGACTAGTACTTTGCAGCATGCACAGCTCCCCCGGGATATATGAACACCAGAACATCACCTGGCATAAACTGTCAGAGCCCTACATATTCAAGCTGAGGATCTTTCCCTTAGATTTAATGAAAAACACCACTGAATGGTGGAATTACTCCCTGCCCTTTCTCATTATCACAAAGAAAGTAAAGTAGAAGTTAAGATAAATGTGACAAGAAAATATGTTCTTCTCTACTGCACGCATGTGACAAAGGTACCCTTCCTGTGTCTACTCTTCCTCACATAAGCTAGCTGCACAGTGGCATGTTCAGCATGAGGTCAGCAGCAGGACCTGTCCAACAGTGCATCTTCAATAGGAATTTGTTCTTCTTTCAGTTTTGCAGTTTTATAATGTTTTCATTGGAAATAGCAAGGGAGAGTCAAAACAGCTGAAGAAAATTCACATTATCTTAGCACTTATCACATGTGCTCAGTATTATTTCTCAAATTTTTTATTTGATATTGCTCATTCTGCTTTGATGTCGATGTTTCAGCTTGAAATACTATTTCAGCTTCTATTTTAACTACAGGTTCAAACACAGACAAACCACAAAGGTAACTTGCTGTTTATGTCGGAAAAGTTCAAGGAAAAGAAAACCTGTTTGTCTTCTGATTACATTTCAGTGAATCATTAGAATATAAGATGGACAAATTAGGATGAACACATGCATGGCTAAGGCACCATAATCTCAATAGTGGCAGAGAAGTATTAATGTCACCATATAAAATCACATCTAGAATACTGTATTAACTTCTAGTTCAGGTAAAGGGAACAGCTATTAGGATTACCAGAAATACGGAAGTTTATTTAGGGGAGCAAGAACTTGGATAACTTAAGGCTGAGTAGGGATAAACTTTATAATTTTATTAGTGAAATAAAGAATGGCATACAAGAGAAACTGGGAAAAATAGAAGAACACCTGTTTGCCATATGTCTACAGAAATTTAAAGTCTATAGAAACTTTTCTAAAAATTTGCAATATGAAGTTCATGCACTCCAGCAGGAAATGAGATCTATCTATCTAAATGCAGAATCTAAAAACCCAGCAGTTTTGAAATGGAGCTAGCCCAACTTAAATCAAGCATCTAATTGTTCATAATAACAGCAATTGGAGTCAATTACTGAAGTGATCCACTTCCTCCTCTCATCTATAAGACAGAAGGGATATTTTGCTGCGACCACTGAGTGGAAAACTGCAGTATTTTCTTCTTCTGTGCTGGCTGAAGATGACTTTCACTTGCCTGCAAATTACTGTCTTTCATCATGATGTTCAAGTGCTTATTCTTCATTCTCCCTATCCTGAGATATTATATAAGTGTGGGTACTATAAATACATGCAACATTCTAGGAAGTGCAATCCAAACAGCTATGAAACCTGAGAATAAGCCAGTTCAGGTAACACAATCTCCTCTGTACTATTTTGGAGGAGAGCGGTAATATGAACTGCAAAGTTGTTGGTCCTGAGGATACCTAAGGACTAAACTCCTCTACCACCCACAGAATCCTTCTATGAGTGATGTTTACAATGTTTTCTGTTTGTTTGTTTTTGTTTCTTTTCTTCTTCTTTCTTCTCCATAGCCTTGTACTACTTTGCTATCTTCTTTAACATGTTTATTAGAGAATAATTAGCCTTTTGGTTAGTTATCACAAGGAACATTGCTTTTATGCACTGCTGTCTTCCACATACAGTATCCAGATTCCAGATCTTTGATCATCCCCAAAACAAATACTATTTTTTCACATTTCAAGTCACAGCGGATTTAGAAAGTAAATTAGAAAAAAAAAACACTTGAAATGCAGCTTGCAATGCTAGGAAAATGGTGCAATGAAGTTATAGTAATTTCCCCAAATATCCAACTTAAACTGTCTGTTTCACTACAGAGAACAGCAACCACAGAGCTGATTCTTGGCTGATGCTTGCCAGAAGAACATGATGCTTGAAATTACAGATATAGGAGTTGACCCTCCACTACAATATCTTATTTTTAATATAATTTTGCATATAAAGAACTAATAGCAGTGTGAGCAGAGAAGATAACATGGCCTCAGTTGGCAACCAAACATGGAAAAGAACATAAGAACATTAACCTGGAAGAAGAAAATGGGATGAAGTATTTGAGAAAGCAGCCAATATACTGTTTTTTTTGACTCTATTCATGGCAGTGAATAGTAATATAGACTGCTGGTCTTAAAAATGCATGTTTCCATACATTAAATGTTTGCTTGTTTGTTTTACTATCATCATTGCCTGTAGCTTAAAGCTCATCCCTACTTTTTGCCTTTGGAGCTTGAATGAAACTGCTTATCCTGCCAGAGAATATTACTGCATTCTGTCACTGCACAGGAACCTCCATGAGGAAAGAGCAGAAAACAGACATACACTAGTGTCTCCAGAACACCTCTCATAAGGAGGTTTGGTAAAAAATGTGGAATGTCTGCATAGGGATGCTACTAAAAAAATTCAAGTATCTAGTTCACTGCTAGGAACATTGAGCTCTATAGAGGTCTTTAACACCTCAAAACACATCAGAGATGATTCTTGTGTATTATAAATTATTAATCCTGTGTAAACTGCATATAATAGTTTAATAAACTGTTCTGCACTGCCACATAGTAAATCAGTAGGGGATCCAGAGTGATACTGAAGAAATTATTGGGTTCTTGGATACACCAAGCCCCCAGGCTCTGCCTCAAAGATCAAAATGGCAGTTTATGTATTTTATAAATTAACTAACAATCCCCAAAGGTCCTGGCACTCCTCTTTCTGTAAATTTCTGTACTCTGGGGGAAGAGTACTTAGGAGAAGTGCATCTAACTCATCACCAGTGAGGCTGACACTAACTTCGGAAAGATCTTCCTGCTAAGGAATAAACAATAAGCCTGCAACATGGGATGTAACAGAGCAACAGTCCTCCTAGGTCTGTGCTTCTAAGTAAAACTACATGCAGCAGTTGACATATGGAGAGCCCACATTTTTCCTTCTACTGAATGGAACTAATACTTTTCCATAATCACTAAGGCACGCACATAATGTAGCAGTGAAGTGGAAGAGGGAAAAAAAAGTATGGTAAATTTTCTTAGCTGGATTATTTACAATAACGTCAAAAAAATGTTTGACATAACATTTATCTGCCCCTTCCAGTGTTGACTGCTTTGTTCTAGCGCAGCATAAAGGCTTTGTGCATTGTAAAACAAATGTACAGTTCATGCATCTTTGCGTGCAAAGTGATTCTCAAACGTGTTTACAAACTGCAAAACAAAACAGAGTTAGAAAGGCTGCTAAAAAGTCTTTTTTAAGCATGTGCAAAATTTGCAAGATGTAATAGGTGTCAGTTTTGCCTCTGGGAACAGACAAGGCAATTCAAACAAACAAAAAACAATTCTCAAAAGAAAAACAATTGCAATAGCTTGTTCAGGTTACGTCTCTTGGTGCCTTACCTTAGGAATGTCAAGCAGCTCCTGGTAGATTCGTAGTCAAAGCCAGCAGAAGGCTGTATAAGTGACACAGTAAGTACCACTTGCCTTGATATTTAAAGACCTCTTCTTTGCCTCATGCCCTCTAAGCACTGAGGTGAATACGGACAGCCCTAGGACACTCTTTACTTTGGTTCTTTCCATACTATCATGCACCTGATAAGTGTGGTGGCCATGTCAAGATTTTTACTCTTCTATCTCATTTTATCTTTTACCTGCTGTTCATTTAGCTTCCTTTGTATCTCCTCAGAGTTGCAAGTTTCATAGACGATAGGTTTGGACAGCTCTGACTCAATGTGGGATAGCCAAGATTTCAGGCTATTCATGTTCTTCTCCAGCTGCTGTACTGCAACCAAGGTCTCCTTCAACTTCTTCACCCTGTAAGAAAAAGAAATAGGAGCATAAGTAACCACAAAGGAAAATTTCTCTGTCTGTTTCAGGAGGATTCACACTAGAGACAGTATTCAGTCCGCGAGCTGTGGGCTAAATTCTTCCTTTAATAAATAATGGAAGTATGTTACATATACAAATATTGCTGTATTCATCGGCTCTGGTTAAGAAAAATTATGAACATGCTAATACTCAAAGCTTTCAAAACTTCTGCACTTTTATCAGTTGAATTTGATGTTTATTACGGAAAAACTAAAAGTAAATACACACACAAAATCCCACAACAATCTAAATAATTTAGTTATTTGACCTAGAGAAGGTCTTCCTAGACCAGGAAAAAAAATAAAAATCACATTTAACCAGTATTGGTGGTAGAGGGGATGAACTGGGTTTTCTCCTCCTGGTGAGACACTGAACTATTTTAATAGGGAACTGTAAGAGTAAGTTTTGTCCTTGAATAAATAAAATTTAGTGAAAGGATTTGAACTAAGAATTTAGTGGGAATCCCTGAATCTCAAGGGCTGCTTTAAGCTACTGTTCTCAAAGGTCATCAGATTTAAACAGATGAGACTGAAATGTAACTTCATAGTGATTTCTAGATAGTATATTCCTTGTGACTCTAACATGTAATGACAATGGTCAGAGTTTAATTTCATAGTATGTTAGATAAGAGAGCGGGGTAAAGATGACTAAACTTTCACCCAACCCCCAATATTTTTTCTTGTTTGTCGCAACTGTAAAAATGTCTTGCAGTAATTTCCTTCTTTCTACCACTGCATTACACAAAATACACTCACGCATTTTGAAATTGTTTCTAATCTTTCTTTCTTCTTCTATGTACCACAAACAATTTTGAGTAATATTCCCTTTCACGCTTCTATTGCTCTCCCACACAAGTGTTTTGATATCAGAAGGCCTCAGGAGATGAGTGCAGCTGGAAATGTGCCAGTGAATCTGGGTTGAGAAATAGAAGATTGATGGATTTGTCAAACAAAACGCCACCTTACTAACCTATATTTAAGCAAAGTAATGTGTATTTTTCCATAATATTAAATGACAAATTTACCAAGTATTTCCAAAGTCAATGCAGTAGTTGCAGTCATTAAGAAGCTAACGTGGATGTCCTTTCCCCATGAAAGTTAAACGCAGAGATCTTAACATCAACTTTAAAAACTTTAAGACTTTTAAATCTTTGAATTTTTCATCTCTTTCCAGATCACAGATGATCAAACTGTAGCTCATAAGCAAACAGTTCAAATGCAGCTTCAAAGCCAGAGTCCCATGACCAACAGCTGCAGAGCTGTAATCTGAAAAAAATGTGGGTAATCTGAAAATACGGCTACGCAGAGACTCTCGTCAACAGAACCTGCTGAGAGCCTTCCCCATTTCAATTCGCTTCATCAGCTTACCCTGAAACACAGCTACAGGAAAAACAGCCATGGAAAAATATTCGGTGAGCAATCAGTGTCTGATTTTACCTCTCCCACTATGTGCCATACATGCTGTACTGTGTATATTTAACCAAACCAAAGTTGCACGTAAGGTGCATAAGACTGGTTTTGTATCTCCTGAGTGTCAGAGACAGCTTTTCTGTCATTGGCATTAAAGGCAATATGATTAAAATCAAGCCCCTTCTACTCTGAGATTTGCAAGGCTGGATGCTTTGACCTTTTATATGTTTGCTGGAGCCGGAAAGGGAACTCTGAGTCACACACTTGCACATGTAACACTGCTCCGGCATTTGCACACCCAAGCTGTGGACCAGGATTTTCTTGTTTACAGCTGTAAAATCCAGTCCCTCACGGATTTTAGCACCATTTTGTCTGCAGCACCTGCACAACTGCAAGTCTGCAGACTGTCCTTTTGAAAATACCCTCCCTGGCAAGGAGTCTGCATTCCCAGACTGCATGGGAACACTTCCCCGACAGAGCAAAAACGATGCCCCCAGTAGAGCTGTTTTTGGTATCATTACCCAAGTTAGTCATGTCAAGGAAAAAAGAATAAATAGCATATTAAAAAAAAACTTGAAACAAAACCAGTGTTTACCACTAAGCCTGCCCTCCCCCTCAAGGATGGTTGCAATTTGTAATTATACTTACATCTAAATTCCCAAAGGAGAAAAAATATACCAAAAAAATGACACCTTCCATCCTTTTCACACACACATTTAGGGTTGTCATACTGTTCTCTATTTATATAGTCTAGCACAAGAGGTTCCTTGTCCAGGGCAGAAATACAGACAAAAAATAGTAGCCTCTTGGACCATGCTGTAGTTACTATTCTGACTCAACAGTGTTGTGCCTCTAGCTACTCTGAAAACACATCTGCAGACAAATGATACGTCTAATCCATCACCCACAAGTTTCTTTCTGAGTTTGTTCATCTCACTGAACATTTTGCCTGCATACAAACAACTGCATAACACGTGTGCCAACAAGATGTATCTTTTCCTTAAAAATACCCCAGCTCAGAATCCCACCTTGCCATGTTAATGCTCGGAACTGAAAGCTGATGAACTGAGACACACTTAGACACAAAGGCCAAATTCCACCCTAGCCAAGTACGTGGGAACCCTGACCAAGCACAACTGTGACCTTTTGAAATTTCATTTACAATACTGTGTTTAAAAAGTTTAACATTCTGGTAATAATTTCTTGCCTTTCTTGCAGCATTAGGTAGGATACTGCAGAAGGCTTGGGATATTTCCTCAGCTTGAAAATGAGTATTCCACATTCAAAACAAAATTTTGGACCCATAGCATTTTAAAGGGCATATACATTTCAGAGTTTCTAAATTTTACAAATACCTAAGGCACTATTGCTTCAGCATGACCTTGCTCAGAAGGGAAAATGCTGTATAACTCAAATGTCTGTTTCTGCAGTTTATTCAGTAAAACTCATCTGAAAATTTAAATCAGCTTATGATACTTGTGTTTCTACATTGCAATTTCCATACTCCAGCTTCCTAAGAAAGCAACATATTTTTAAAATGTCTGTTTTACATTCAGACGAGGCAGCTGGGGAACATTTTTGAGCTGAAATTAAGTCCGAACTGCTTTAATTCAGCCAGTTCTACTCTAAATTGCCTCAGATTCCACTATAACCTGAACAGGAACAGCAGTGTAAATCCATAACAATGCATCATATAGATCTCATAGCTACCCCATTAGTCATTTAGACAGCTGGTTACTAAAATTAGACTTAAACAATATCAAAACAGTCAGAAAGACTATGTTAGCTACGCCTCTACAAAGCCAGTGGAAAGCAGAAAAGTACAAAAAATCTACTTCAAATTTGAGACAGTTTCAAGAAACACTTATCCTACGAAACTGTACCAACTACACACGCCTTTCATGAACCTAAACAATGTAAAAAAAAATTTCATTTCAGGATATTTTATGATTAATAAAAAGTATTGTCCAAAACATGAACAGTCTTGCCAGTTATATTTTCTTGTTTCCCATTTCAAGGAATAAATATACAGACTTAGAAACAGCGAAAACAGAAAACCAAGAAAGATAATACGAAGAAAAAATAGTATTTGAATAAAAAAAATACAAGAAGATGTGGACTGAGCTCACAGTTGAGTTCACAGATAAAATGTTACATGTAGTTACAAAACATTAATTAAAATGTAGAGGTCAGCCCAGCCTCTCTGTCTCTCAAGTCTGAAGTACTTCTATACAGTATCTCTCCTTCTCTGCCTTTTGCTTGTAGCCATGCCCCTTTGATGACACAAACAGCGAGCAGACAAATACAAAGTCTGCTTTCTCTCATGTGTACATGTTCTTGCGTTTAAAAAGAACCGTAAAACCAGTCTAGAGTTTCTTTCAGATGGTTAACAGATTTTATTAGTCTGTGTCACTTATGAAAAGTTATTCCAGGATCCAAAAGGGCTATAGCTCTAAAACAAAGTAGGCTGTTATCACTCTCCACTATTTTTAAAACTGAGCAGAAAAGAGTCATTTTTAGTTAAGGCAGTGGCCTCTACATATGAGTATTTCAATTAATTTCCAAGCAAGCCAAGACTTCAGCAATCACTGTATCAATGAAAAGGAAACAAAAGGAGCTGCCTGCCTTGTGATATCACAATTACAGTCTGGGAGGTCTGAGTCCTCACTGCCGTCCTCCGCCATCCGCACGGTGCAAAAGTCCTCCGCCACCACCATGAAACTTTCCAGCATTAAAAAGAAGAACTTGCACTCCAAAAGCCTGCAAAGACTGTGCTTTGGGCAGGGGGGAGGGAAGGGGACAAACTTCTCTTTGCTGGTGAGTACTGTACCGAAAATGCTCACACGCCAAACAAATGCTAGCAGACGCTGCTTGATAACATGAGACTGAATGGTGACAAGTGGTCATGTTTCTAAATAAAACCTGCATTCATCGACATGTGCCAGGCCTCATCTCCAGGAATGCAGACCATGAGCACTACGGGAAGGGAGAAAAAAACCTGCAACAAAGCCTCGCTCACAAAGCTCGAGCGCTTGCAGCTGTTTGCTCGCTGTAAACATCTGCAGCTTTTATTTTTTTTTATTATTTTTTTATTTTTATTTTTTTTTATTTTTTTTTTTTTTTTTTTTTGCAGCTGCCCTGCATATCTGACTATTCTGAATGGAGGAAAATCTTAGAGGACAGAAAACATCTCTCATGCAAGATAAAGCTACTTTCCTATAGCTGTCTCTTTTGGCAGACCTTAGAATGGAGGCAAATAAGAAAAAGTGGGTAAGGAAACAGAATGTGAAAAAGAAAAAAGCCTCTGTGGGTTGTGGGTGAGTGGAATAATTCCAAAGACCAAAAATTAGCAGTTAGGGATTTAGATTGGAAACATATTGGAAATTTTCTATCAGTTCACTGCTGCAGGAAACAAATTATTACACACACACACACACACACACAAAAAAAAAAAAAAAAAAAAAAAAAAAAAAGCCAGGCAAAGGATGGCTGTAGCTTTACAAAGAAGTAGAAAAATGCACAGGCTATAATAATTCATTAAAGCTGCCAGGGATTCAGAATATGGAAAGGTGTGTTTTATTCTCAACACCATTTACTAGCTGAATGCAGCCAAAACTCATGTTACTTGATATGTTGCAAACTTCAGCTCAAAATGTCGAAATAGGAACATACCCAGCTATCCAACACCACATACTGCAGGGACTCTGGAGGCTTTTAAAAAATAGCTTGGGGGATGCAAATATTTTTGTCCAGTGGGAATCAGGCTTTCACTACAAGCACTCTGTATATGTTAATGAACAACTATAGACTTTAACTGTCTAAGCCACAATCAAACTAGCAAAATTTCCATATGCTGGTATCAAGCCTGGTATCAAGCCTCTCCAGTGCTTCTTCCTGCAACTTCACCAATGCAACCCTGAAACCTGGCAAAGAGGTGTAGTTTGTTGTAATTTTTTGTTTTGCTTTGCTTCAGTAAGGTCTGGCATGTAAGGTCTGCCATGTAAGGACTTATCTACTTTATTGTGTTCAACAGTCCTGAGCATTCTACCAAAATAGTCTAACTACCTAGCAGAAGTGATCTGACACTGAGAGAAAATGACTTTTTATTAGAAATTAGTACAACCTGCTTTATGGAAAGTGAAGAGAAAGCTTAAGAAGTGGATAGTATTTCTCCTTATACTTTCCTTCCCTCTAACCCCAGCAACGCTGCAGAATCCAGAAGTCTCACGTGTCTCACAGAGGGTACTGATCACCAAAACTGCACAGCCTATAAAGACGTTTTAAAATGCCTTTGGCATTTGTGTATGTCATTACTTTTCACTAGAAACTTCTTTAAGATGTGATTTGAATGTAAAGAAAGTACATTATGAGAATAAGAAATTTACACAGATATTTCAAACCATGTATGGCAAATACTTGTTGTTTTCAACAACCAGTGATGCATCACATCCTCTGCAACCTGCAAGCTCCTTGTCTGTAATGCACCACTTCCTCACTTAATGTTCTCTAAGAATTATGTAGCTTTCAGTGCTTCAAAATGAGCCACTGTAAAAGGAGTTTACAAAATGCTTCTGCTTGCATAAAACTTACTGTTTTCATGCTTACAGATTGCAGAGCAAGAATGCAGTAAAGCAAATAAAAAAGACAGCTGCCCAGTGGATGAGAAAAGGAAACCAAATTAAACAAATCTTTTTGTTGCAAATTTGATTGAGAATGTATTACATCCACATGTTTTCCAAATCACAGAAGTGTAAAATATTTGGTACATATACTTTATATAAAGTTGTGCATATACACATAAGTGTAGTATAACTCACTGCAAAAAGTGTCTAAACGTAAATAAATCAGTGTCTTCATACATACAGCAACAATTCTGCTATTCTTTAAGTAATAAAAACTGTTCAATTACATTTTTGACCTTGACTAAAAGGAACCTTTAGGTATTTTTATGTGTGTATACATCTATCTGTCCTTACTCTTCTCCATCAGTTAAAAATACTGAGGCAGAAAAATAAAGATTTAGTTTTGCAACATGTTTTTTGAAAATACATGTCAAAACAACATATCCGCTATTGCTAAGATTTAAAAATTGCATTTGTACTTAGTTTTAGGCATGCAAGTGAAGCTAAAAAGACTGTATTTGATCATGATTTACTAAATCTGACTGTAACTAATTCTGTCATTCTAACTGGTTCATGTTTTGAAATGGATCTTGAACAAGGAGAATTTCACTAAACTAGATTAATGGATGAGAAGAAATGCATTCACTGTTAATATAAACAAGTGGAGAAGATAAAAGATTTTCAATTAACAGTATCCAGTTCCATTAATTTGTCCCATATAACCCTTAAAATCAAACCTACGGTTTTACCTGGCTGCAATGAGATCTAGAAGATGCTGCCATCTGTCATTGATCTTGCTGAGTTTGTATTCAATTTCTGATGCTTTGCTCTCATGACTAGCTTTAGCAAGTCGTTCTCCCATTTTCTGGAGCTGGATTTTATTCTCTTTTGCTACAGCAATTTCTTCTTGATAATCCTGGTCAGCAAAGAGCAATCAAGGGTGAGGGTTCAACAATACAGGCAAATTTTAATATGTTTTTATTTTTCTGGTATTTAGTACAATGGAGAGACATGCTCTTAAATATATAATCAGGTGTTCATATAACTATGAACAATTGCATCAGAAGTATGAAAGAAACTGTTCTTTAAATATGTCTACTATAGCTAAGATACTCTTCACATGCAACTCTGATTGGACATTTACCAAAGGAATTGATTGCCTTTGATGTGGCATTCACTTAAACAACTTTCTAAAATCCTGAAAAATCCCACCTTGAGGAAGATAGGAGAGGAAAAGAATACAAACAAGTCGTGTTTATTTGAATGTAAAAACATCTAGGCCAGGTCAAACCTCCATTTCTGCTAATTCTGTACCCACTGTGTACCACAAACCAAGCAAGCAGTAAAAGCATAATATGGAAGTGCACGCACAGAACACTATACCTTTTTAAGTTTATCAATCATTTCTTCTATGAGGAAGTCACCATTTTGAGAAACCTTACTTTCCATCTGTGTCAGCCACTCACAGAGCTCCTTGTTCTTCTCACTGAAGACAGCCCACTCATTCAGTCTCTCACTTACTTGCTGCCGACGTAAAGAGACCTTGAAACATTTGCAGAGAGTAAAAAACAACAAATTACTATATGCATTGACGGGATGGTTGAAGCACTTTGTATCTCCAGATGTACCTCTTCTGGTTCTGCAGATGTATTCCTACCACTTACCTGCTATTAAAGCAAACCGTTCCTGCATGACCCTGTGAGTTTAAAGATAATGTTGATCTTTGGATTCCTGCTGCATACTAGGAGGTATCCAAGACTTAGAATCTCATGAATATATTCTTTTTGTTAATATCTCTATTCTCAAAGGTTTCATTAAGAGAAATAAGTTTTCTTATGATTTTTGCCCACTTATAAATGCTATAAAGTATTTGAAGTTATTTTTTCTCCCGAGACATTAGAGAAAAAAAGAAAAATATAAATGGTCGATTAAAACACGGACTAGCTATATGCAGAACAATATCTAACTCAGAAAAAACTCTAAAAGATTGAACAATTTGTGCATGAGTGTTATCTGTAAGCAGAGTTAAACCAAATGTACATTGTATTTTTCAAAAGCAATTTTCTACTGGAGTGCTGATATACACATTTCATAGATCACAATTTCTGTAGTACTGGTATGACAACTTCAGAGATTCCAAAGAATTAAGGTATGGTGTGACACAGAGGAATAGGCATTAAATGTCAGTTAAAACATATGAAGCTGTAGCTAATGCAGGAAGAAGAAAAACCCAGCTCTGTTGAGAAATTGCTATAGATGTTGTATCATCTCAGGGTGAGGTTAATAACAGACAGGGAAGGAAACTGAAATCAAAAGAGTTGCACAAGGTTAGCACAAAGTCATCTCTCATGTTTCTGACATATGTACAACTACTTACTTTGTCCTCATTGCAATCCCAGTTGTTTCTCACTTTATATCAGAATCTCAACTGAGAAAATGAAGATTGCATTTTCATGATAAAAATGATTACTGTATTCTTTAACTACAGTGCTAGATTTGACAGGAGCACAAACACGATCTCACATTTCCTTTCTGTGGTTCTAAACTTGATGGCAGCTCTCCGGAAATAAGCAATGACTGAACAAAGTGCAGCACTTCTCGAGGTTACATCCTGAAACACTCAGTATGCACAAACCCAAGATAAACTTTCTGCATTTGTCTCCCTCCTTTGCCATAAACATCTATATGCAGCAACTACACTGTAGCTTAGAAGTTTCCAGGTGGGCTCACTCAAATGTAGCTCATCATATGCTCTAAGCTATCAACTTTAAATAATTTCCCTACTTTTAGAGTTTTTTTGTGGTCCTCACAAGTGCCTTACATGAGCTAACTATTTCTAAGTTTGTCCATTTATGTCTGCACTGCAACCGCTACTGCACCACAGAAATGAGGATAGTCTGAAAATCAGGATGAGGGAGGGTCCATTATCAGGTTCTCTAGGTGCAACAGGAGGCAAGAAATGCATTGAAGATCATACAGTACAGCCAAGTGCAATTTGCAGCCACATATATTGCCCTCAGTTCAAGAGAAGAGCAAAGCTGATGTCTGAAAAAGCAGAAGCTATGAGCAGCGCAGAAGTTCTGATGAAGCCAACGTGGGGAGGGGACATCCTTCCTGCACCCAGCTCCTCCCACAGCAGTGAGCTGCTCTTGCTCTGCTCTCGCCCAGCCAGTCAGGTCACTGCCCCACATTGCACAGCCAAGACTACAACTTTTTGGCTGTTTTCTCAAGTCTGCTATGACCTCAGGGTTGTGACAAAGTTTGAGAGATGCAGAAACACCAGTGGTAACTGCAGCAAATGCTTCAGTGAAAGCTGACTTGATCCAGTAAGAACAATGTTTCTTAATGGGAATTTCTTCTTCCTAATAGAGCACGTCTGTGTAGAGGAGAACTGCAAAGTGCAACATAGGTTAGGACACTTCTCCCCTTTCCACACCTCATGCATTAGGCAAACCAGGCAGTTGGTCATCAAGGGTTTCCTCAGCTGTGAGGAAGACCGGGGAGGTGTGCACGAGAGGAGACTCCTGCTTGGAATCACCCTGGAGAAGCCTCTTTCACCCCCACTGGCTCTAGAAAGACTTCTTAGCAGCTACAACAGGGCTAACATAGGATCCATCTGCTCACATACCAACATATGAGCTAGAGAGCTAGACTCATTTCATGGTTAAATAGCATGTGCCACCCTTCACTGCAGTTCACCTTGTCCTACAGTTAGTTGTGAAGCTGGCTCACTGTGCATGGTATTAATCTCACCCAAATGAGAGTTTCATAAAGACTAGTTGGCGAGACAAGAACTTGTTTTAAACAATTATGCAGATTGTTACATTTCCAGAGTAAAAGGAAAAAAGAAAAAAGGAAAAAAAGAAAAAAAAAAGAAAAAAAAAGAGAAAAAAAGAAAAAAAAGGACCACATACATATCATATATACATATTATACGCATATCATTACCGTGTCATTCCCAGCATCCTTCCAGAAATTAGATTCTTGACTATCACTTCACCTGTTGGGGACTTTTTATTGTTTTCCACAGTTTGCAGTCAAGCAAAATGTCATTCTTAAAGATGGATTTTCCCTACGAACAGGCAGGCTAAGCTTAAATTTGAATGGTACCTGTCTCTACATACATCTTCTCCTATAGCTGTCACTTACATTCAGTTTTGACTCCAACACTTTTTTTTTTTTCCTACTTTGCATGAGTAACTATATCAAGGCTCGGTCCTATACTTGCCTGGTGGCACAGCTCCTCCCATTGTCTCTGCAGAAGCTCTATGCGCTCACTGAGGATTGATATGTCATCTGCGCTGATATAAGCAGACAGTGTATCCTTCAGCAGAGAGAGGTGTGCAAGATCTTCTGTCCATCCTTCAACAGCGTTCTCCAATTCCTGATTACAAAAAGTGCACAAATGAAGAGGACCAGTTTGCTAAGACACAAAAAATTGAATGTGTTCAAGAAGCTGGCAGAGAACATTGTTATCCCATTGAATTAATGAAGTTTTATCTGAGTATTGCAAAGGATTATTTCAATCAGTTTAAAAAAGAAACACCAAGCCTATATGTGTCAGCACTTTCAGAATTGGAAGAGAGGTACCGTCTCAATCGAGAGTGATACATCAGTCTTCTAACAAACTATCAAAACAGAAGTACCACTCAAACATCTCCAAAGTCTGAGGGCATTTGAGGCTCCCAAGTATTTGTTTGGATTTTTCTGTAGTGAGAGTATTTTGAAATTTTACCATGTTTCTAAACTGCAGTCTTAAAGTAGTATCTGAAACAAAAAAGCACTAAAACAACTGTTTAGATACCATGTGCTTATTTTTCCCACTTAGAAAAAGCTTTATTTCTTGAAGAAATAAACACGCCTGTACTGAGCACTTTCACAGTGAATTTCAGATCCTATTCTGATCTCATTTTGATAATTTGTTTTTCTTTATCCTGTGGGATTTACACTGCATTAAGAATGTCCAGGTGCACGGCCCAGCTGCTCTACAGGTAGTTTCTTAAGTTGTCACAGTGAAGGCTTGCTGGTTTGGCTAGCCAATAAAGACTACTGACAGTAGGAGATGTTGTATATAAAGCGTGCAGCGACAAGGTAAATAGTCAATGGACAAGTGCTTTACCTTGCAACGAATTTGTTCTGTATGCAACTCATCGTGATGTTCTGGCAAAGGCTGAGAAACCTTTTTCTTGAATGATCTTAGCTTCTCCAGGGAATCTCCTATGTTCTTTTCACATTTCTCCCAGTCCTGAAAGCAGAATAATTATTATTAGACTTTAATTTAGATCTCTACTATACTAATGCCAATCGATTTGACTAATTAAACCACTAAACATCCAATAGTTCTGCATAATAATAGCATGACCTAAAATAGTCCTCTACATAACAGAATCAGTGCTTATATCATATATACAACAATTTGCTATTGTTGTATATATGATATATGTATATACATACGGCAAATTTTGTAGAGCTCTACTAATAAAAACACACCTAAGTCTACTATTACAGTATTTTCTAGATCTTCTCAGTAAAGTTTCTCTCCCCCAAAACCATTTTCCACTTCCTCTCTTGAACGCCCATGTTAAATAAGCCACTTTAATTTCACAAAAGCTCCATTCAGATACATCATGCTCCAGACGAAAATGTCTAGGGATAATGGTAATTCAGATCAGACTGAAATACCTGCAGTGCCCCTCTAAATTATGCTCAGCTACAGGTACCTCAGTGTTTGCATACTTTCAAAATTTTAAGTAATCACAACTTACCAATAGTCACCAGACAGAACCATTTTATCTGAGTTATCTGTGTATTAAAGATTATTAAAAGAGTACTCACAGACAGAAAAATCTGTTACAACCCAGTCAACCTATAACAAATACTAGCTGTGTGATACCACAAGACTGTGTTTTCTTAGTTTTCTGTTTCAGTGTTACTTTCCTTCTACCACTGCCTTTCTATTTCTCTCCTTCCATTTTTCCCAACTGAAGCAAATATTTCATGGTCCTTGTCAGGATGTGGAATTACAAACAAGAAGTCTTAAAAAAACCCTCTCTCATTAGCATCTTTTTTCTTTTCTCTTTAATGGTCTTATATGATTGTAGTCTATGATTTCCTTAATGACAAAATGTATTGTTTTAGAATGTACTGCTTGTGCTTCTCATTTGGTCAGAAGATCATTAAAAAGGCACAAAGATCACTTAAAAGGCATATATATAAGGCCAAGACAATATCATGCAAAGAAGGAGTGATATCCATGAGGCCATTTGTATAAACTGCATGGCAATTTCCTTTCTTATTCTCCTTCAAGTATCAAGTTTTATATAATATTTAAACAAAATAGCACAAAATACCACAGACTTCCTTGATTATACCAGAGATTAGATTAAAATTTGGCAATCTTGGCAGAAGCTCAATTAGAAGCTGAGGTAGAAGGAACACAGCCTGAAGGAGGAAGAATGACCTGCATGTTTGAACTTTTCTGAAATAATACTTCATTTTCTTGCACTGTTTTGCTTCTTGTTACTTACAAACAAATTTGTGTCTGTAATTCTGTGAGACCTCTACAGTTGTTCTCAAAATCATTTGCTCTAGTTTGTTTAAACATGCATAAATTTTTCATTGTTCTCTCCAGAATGAGTAAAAGGGAGGAAAACACAGGCAAAAGTTAAATTTAACGTATCATCTTGAGTGTTTACAGTGAGGTTAGTAGGCACTATGGATACTGCTTTCATTAAAACAAAGCTCAAAGCTCAGGGCAGAAATTTACCTAAAATAGCAAATACTGCAGACACTGAAATGAATCACAAACTACTTGATGGCTAGATAGATCTCGACACTGGCATGTAGAGAGAATAAGATCTTATTTTCAATATAGCATGTAATACTATATAACCAGCATACTGCAATGTAAAATACACCTTTGCTATGTGTTGAAAATGGATCTTGCAGGAATTTTTAAGACAAGAGTTTGGTGGTGTTATTTATTGGCAGTGCTGTAGATATAATAAAAATATCAACCAGCACGTACACCTACTGTGAAGAAAATACTATTTCTTCATTATAGAAACGGTAAGTTCATGCAATTCCTCTATTTGCTCTCATCGCTTGAGAATACTTCATCCAGATTCACTATGCAAAACTGTGATCTCATAAAAAGAATAAGTATAGAAGAAACCACACACTTACTTTCAGTACCAAAGCAAACTGTTTCTTTTGCTCCTCAAGAGAGATGCTAGCTGTCTTCCAGCGATCCTGAATTTCGGTGAGCTCTGTTTGCAGGGCTGCCTCTGCTTCGCTGTCGGCACAGAGCAGTAATTGCTTCCCTGCTTCCACGGTGAGGATATAGCTCCCTTGCTGCCTTAGGAGAACCTTCTCTTTAAGCTGCAAAGATAATGACTTTCTTTCAGGTTTGTCTTTTCAAGTGAAGTTAGCAAGGCAGTGTAATTCATCCTAAAGCCCATATTTTACCAATTAACTTTTAACTACTAGATGGAGTATCTTGGCTTAAGCATGGACTATAGTTCAAATGCTTTATCCTTTTCACAGTCACTTACCACAGCACACTGTTAGATAGGATTTTTTTTCCAAAGAGATAAAGATTTTACTCCTTCCTCATCCATACCAGTATCTCAATCACACCTCAAGAGGAATGCTGTCTCTGAAGCCTGTAATGCTCATAAGCTTTATTATTATACAGTACTTTCTAGCTAAAATACTTTAAGATACTAAGCTGCTAAATAGATACTGCTAATCCTCCATTAAGATGGACATCAAATACCCAAAAGTCTCCTTTTTCTTAGCTGGAATTCATCTTCAGAATGGTGCATCATTTCTGTGCACTTATTCATTCAAATAAAGCTTCATTGGGGGGTCAATTATAAGCAAAAGAGGAACAAGCAAGGCTGCAAAGAGAGCTCCTAACCTCTATACTGCATAATCTGTTATGAATTTAAAGTTCCTTTCCATCAAAGGGCTGCTCCTGAGGACAATTCCAAAGAATGACCAACATCCAATAAAGCAGACAACCCGTATCCAGTGCACTTTTAAAATCATCAGATCTATGTTATGAAGTATGAAGTCTATAAAAAGGCTTTTTTTTTTTTCCCCCGTTTCTCTTTCTTTAAACACACTAGACATACCAGCACTTCATCCAGTAAAGCTCTGGCTTGCTGCAGTGGGATAGGAGCATTGCCCAGCCTGCTCACCGGCTGGCAGGACATTTCCACCAGCCACTTGCGCAGCTTTTCTGCCATTTCCCTATAGCGCTGCCACTGGTGGATCTGGCTGTCAATGATTCCCCTTCTCTGCTGTGCCCGGCGAATTACTCCCTGCCATTGGTTACTGAGAAGGGTCAGCTTCAGATAAAACTCATCCCTGTTTAAAAATAAATAAAATGAATAAATAAATAATAAAAATACAAACACATAGTAACATCCGTGTTTTGATTCATCATCCATTTCCTTAATGAAATAATAAAACAGAACTGGAGGGAAAGGGAAGATGTTTTCTGGCTGCTTACTATGGAGAAAAATACAATCAATTCTCATAAATGTTGGCTGAGGTTGAGAACCCCATACCTCACATACATGCTCCAATTATCAATACTAAAAATACCTCAAACCCTTCATAGATGGGTAAAACTGCATCCTTATCCCCAGGAGTACACAAAGCTCTCCTAACATCTCAATAAGCACTTTGTCTTATACGAGGACCATGATATCCTTAGCAAAGCCAATGCATGTATACAGTTTTGAAGACATTACTTTGATTTTCATTCATTTGATCACAAGTGTCTAAAATAAATTCTCTGAGACATGAATGACTTTTTCTTCCATCACATTTGTGCTTTAACTGATCTGAAGTGTCAAAAGTCCAAATGGCTTAAGTCAAGAGCAGCTCACTGCAAATCTGTCACTGCATGCTCATTTGTAAAAATAACATTTGGGTGGTACACAGAGAAATGCATCATTTATGAAGATCCAAGACCAGTCTTTGTCAGAAATCCAAGCTGAAGGCAGCATTTTTTCAAACTACATTTATGTATTCAACCCATAGCATCCTAAGGAATACTGACTTTTTGTCAGGAGTAAGACCTGACAAGTCAGTAGCTTAATCACATCAATAGCAGCTTCCACCTGAGAGGGGTATCACCTGAAAAGTGATATGCCATTTTCTAAATTTAAGTCACTCACTGGTTAAGTATTATTTCACATAACCAAGAGCAGCAACAACACAGAAAGCTGTACCTGTCATCCACCTGTCCTTGTTCTAGAAGGTGCTGCCCATCAGAGATAATTGAATGCAAAATTTGCTGGCGGCTGAACATCTCTGCCTGGAATAGCTGTTATTCAGGAGACAAGGTGTTAAAGCAAGAACTTACATTTTCACTCCATGTGTTTGTACTAGCAAAGATGAATTTTCATTTATTTAATCTTATTGCAAATGGATTCAATGGGAGTTTTATAATGAACTTAGAAAGGAACATATTTAATAATTTTAGTGATGGACTGACTGCTTTTAGTATTTTTCTTAGGTTTTTTTTTTAGGCACTACATTCGAAAGCTAAATAATCTAAACAGAAGCAAAGTAGGATGTTTCTTTGAGTACAGATTCGTGATCAGCACTGTAATTTTCAAAATAATCTGGGTTGTGTGTTTACTGCAGTAACAGCAAGGGACCTTTTTTTTCTGATATATTTAAGAATATTACAGTCCTTTGCTTTGGAAAATCGAATTTATGCCTGCAGTTTGGAAGAGAAAGTGTTATTAAAACTTTCAATGCAATATAACACTCACAGTAGAGCCTATTTAAAAGAAAGGAAACTTCTAAAATGAGAATGTGGAAATTAATTAGCCATTTCATTTTTTTCCACAGGTCACTGCCATTTTTATAATACATTTAAAATCCTTAAATATTTTAAGCATTTTAAAAATATTTAATTATTATCTAAATTATGAGCAAAACACTCCTAAATGCTACTTAAATAGGCATCACTTTTTTATATATATATATATATATATATATATATCACTTAAATATGTTTTAAAACACCTCTTTTCCCTTAGTAAGAAACTTCTGTTCCTATCACCTCTATTTCCATCATTGCCAAGAGGCAATGAATGTAGCATAGGAGGCAATACCTATCTGTATTATTGACAGACTGAGATTAAACAGAGTTCAACTGTTAAACTGTGACCTTTTTTTGAAAGAGGACAGATGAAACAAAAGCTTATTAGGCATGAAGAACAATCCTTAGCATGGATAGAGTTAATCCCTACCCAAAACAAATGAAATTTCTGTCAACCTCAACTTGTTCTGTGCATGCCCATTAATCATCTTTGTGCATAAAAGGGATAATCCATTATGTGGGACCACTTGCTATTGTAATTTCTTCCTATATGTAGATCACTAAGAAACACAGAAACAGAGACCAAAGGCCACAACCAGTGCACAATATCAATATATTTGAAAAAAAGCTCAGTAATTGAGTTGACAAACAATATGTCCCAAATTTCAGCACTTTCTCAAATGCTTATTGTAGTGTATTCTCACCGCGATGGAGTCCTATGCAATGTTCTAGCAAGCAAATGGATATCTGGAGAAGTGGAAGAATGCCTTGAAGACTTCCCTTACAGACAGGGATGCAGATGTCAATATTAGTGCATTATATTTGGAAAAGGCATCATCACCTCCACGTTGTAGGTCTGGTTTGCAGTCTTCAGTGGGAAGCTATTTCTAAGTAAGGCCAATGAGGTAACTGGGGTTATGTTTGAATAAACATTATCCATGTCACGAGTCAGCACTGGAGAGCTGATAACACAGCTGGATGCATCCCAATATCTATTCTGGGAATGTCTGTAGAAACAACCTATTTTCTCATTATCTTCAAAAATACAAAACAAAGCAATCTAGGGTGTCATCTCAAGAAGTTTAGACTTGACCTTTCTCTTTCAGCTGTGAAAGTAGAAAGCAACTTCCTCATGGTTATTAGGAGGCATTGTGAAGAACATTGCATGCTAGATACATACATTGGAGTAATTTAAAATACAAAAAAAATATATGTGAGTAAAAAGAAAATGCAATTTACAATAGATGAAGGAGCCAGAAATTAATTCCCTAAATTACAAGCCAGGACTCCATAGTTTTAAGAAAGAAAGCTTTCAGAAGTACCTCAATAATATGTAACTGTCTGCTCAGATCAGGTTCAAGAGAAAAATTTTAAGACATGCATGGTTTTGATATTCCAAAATATCTCACTTAACCTTGTAAGAAAAAGCAGAGCAGTGACTAGACCCACCGATAGCATGGATATATTCATTTAGATAGTGATGAGTTCTGGACATATAAAACTCTCCCATAAAACTGAGATTTCTCAGATTTCAAAGACACACTGTCCTATCAAGGCTGACAGAACTGAGTGGAAATGAAATAGATGACATTTGTGAAAATAAATATTATTAAAGAAAATATATGCTACCTTAAGTTCTAATGATTGTGAACTACTTTCTGATAACAGAAGTTGATTCAAAAACTACGTTGTGAGATGCAAGATGAAAAGAGAGAAGGACATGACTTCCTCTCTCATCTGATCCAGAAGATCTGGCCTGAATCTATGGGTGGGTCAGCTAGCATCTGAAAAAGTTGTGGGAACTAAAAGTGCTGAATCCACATGGGAGCTTTGCTGTGAAAATTGGCTTGTCCTTCTTGATCTTTACCAGGATTCTTGGCAGTAACAATATATGGGTGGAGAAAAAAAATGTGCATAAAAGTATCACAAGGGCATCTTTCAGTAAAAATTGAATCAATTTGTCCTTGTAGAAAAAGCCGGGCTTCTTGTTTACTGTAAACAGGCTTATAGACAAATGACTCCAGCACAGAATGAACACATAATCAGTTAGTGCTTCAAGAAAACATTACCAAAGGGAACACAAATGGTCACTCCACGATGAGTTATGCAACTCAATCTTTCACAGAAAAGTATTCCTTTAATACGCTCTTTAGCTGCTGCTTACTTTGTCAATATGGTAGCATGTAAGCAAAAACAGATGAACTAAAAAACAGGGACTGAAGTGTCTTCTGCAGTCAGGACTGAAGACAAAGGGCCAAAGTGCACGAGGACAGTTAGGTTTTATGGCAAGAGCAAAATAACCCCTCAGGTCCCACTGGCACTCCTTGATTCCCCTGTTAATAACCTGAAGTGTACTAAACACACGGACACACATGCAGAAATACTGATGAAAGTTTCATACACAAAATGCTAGGCACACTTAAATCCTTTCCTAAATTGGGTATCACCGATATTTTTGCATGCTGATGTTTTTAAGTTAACTTATATTCATAGTTAACTCATATTCATAGCCCATTTCAAAGCATACTATTACACTGCTCCACAGAAGAGTGTGCATTCCTTTTAAGTATAAATAGTATGTGCTGTAGTTATGTATAAATACACATTATGACTTGCCTCGTGTGCCCTCTGTTGCTCTAAAAGGCTCTGGTAGTTTCCAGAAATCTCTGCAGCCAGCTTTTGCTCAGTCTGTAGTAATAAGTCCATCCAAGTCTCACACTTCTCCAAGAAGGTCTGCTGCTGCAGCAAGAAAGACTGAAGCTTACTGAAAGAAAGAAAGTTGAATTCAGTTAAGGTTTCCTGCACCTACAAACAGCGTCAAGAGAGTTCGGTAGCAAGTTTTCTAACAGAAAACCGAATCAGACAGTATATTTCTTCTACTATTGAGCTCTCTTGCTCTATTTGTTTAGTTTTCACTTTGAACTATATGTTTTCCATCTTTCAAATTCTACTCACTTGTCACAATATCACCATTTCAGCACCGAGTCAGTAGCTCACTATCTGTTTATAAGGGCACCAATAAGAAGAGTTTTGTTTAATGAAATGAAAAATGAAATTTTAACATAGAAAGCTTTTCCTCTTCTGCAGAAGGTATACTTTCTAGTTAATGCAACCCAAGAAAATTATGCAATGTCTTAGCTGTCCTCACCTGAATCTCTCTGTAGTCTGAGATGAGATCACAGACCAATGTCTGTTCAGATTCTGCATTCTTTTGATTTCTTTGTCATTCAGTGGAAGTCTGTAGCCTAGCTCATTAAGGCGGTCCAGATCTGGTGCCATGCTGCTGAACTTCAACATCTGACTCTACAACGAACAATAAAAGTGATAAATACATAGTTCCATAATAATATTATCATAGTCTGCAAAATTACAAGCCAACTCATAACTGAACTCCAGCTCAACTAAATTTGGAATGGCCTTGGTTGCCACCAAGTGGTAATCAAACCCTATGCCAGGGAAGAATTCCATTCTCAGTTTTGAGCCTCTTTGGTCCCAGCCCAGAAAAAGATTTAAACATAAGCTTAAAGATGCACTGAGAAGTACTTAAATTGCACTTGCATAAGTGTTTTGCTGAACTGGGGACTTTTATCTCAGAGCTGCAAAAGCAGGTTACTGATTGAACCTGCATGTCTGTATTGCCAAAACAGTGAGCTTTTCTACTTGTTTGTTAATCTGAGTGAAGGGCTGGCAAATCCACCCTGCTCATACAGGTCTTAGGTTTTTGTTTTGCAATATGGACTTAATTGGTTCATTAAATAAACAAATGCCCTGTGTTGCTAGCATGTCAAAAGTGGTATCAGGGATATAGTTAATTCTGTTAGAAAAGAAATGGAAGATTAAAATGAGAGTAAAAAGCCTAGATAGCAAAGTTTGTCAACTTCTTATCAGGGTCCCTAAAATGGGAGGAAAAAGCAGGCAAAAACTAAACACAGAAGAGTGCAGATATATATTACATTGTACATGGCATGAATGTCCACAGTACCCATTCTAACTATTGTAAATCAAAATATCCAAAATGAGTAGATGACTTGGTTCCTAAACTGACACAAAAATCACATAGTTTCAAAAAAGTAGAGATGAAACAAAACGAAAGAAATCTCCCAAAACCTCTAAAAATTGATTTTCAGTCACATTCTGATTTATTATTCATTTTAACTAATTTGCCTTTTTATTGCCTCTTTTCACAAACACAGTAACATGGACAATCACTCTTTGATTGAGTGACTGAATTACTCTCAGTCTTATACTTTGCATGAATGCTAGGCCTTTAACATGCACTGAATGAATGTATGATTTTTGTGGAAATGTAGTACTAATAGGCCACCATCAAAAATGAATGTTTTCTACAGCTATTGCTCACTTTGAGTTCCTCCATCCGACTCTTAATTGCTGAGAGATCAGATGAGTGACTCGGATCCTGTCCTTTCAGTACTTCTTCTGCATCCATTATCCAAGCCTCAAGCACTTGCAAATTCTTGGCAAAGGTTTGATAGTCCAGTACTCCAGCCTTAAACAGAAAAAGACCCACAATTGAACAACTTAGTATCATGCCACTTACTGTCCATATTGCCATTATCCTTGTTACTCCTATATCTGAGAATAGCTGTTTAGGAGCATTTGCTAATATGAGCAAAGTTTGTTTGTTTTGCTCACAAACTGAACAGTGAAATTAGGGTTTTGTTACCAGAAGGGCACTGCTACTCCTTTAGAGTAAAGGCTACCTTAGAACTTCAAAGTGCTTCCTATGTATGAAACCAGGACTTGATGATAGGCAAAAGGTAGCATTTCACAAAGCACGCTAGGATCTCCTTGCTTTGAGATAGCTAATCTTCTCCAATCTCCTTCTACAAAACTAAAGTTCTCTGTTTAATTTGCCTACTAACTGAGCTATTGGTTTCAGTTACTTAAAATGCAAAATCTCTCTTATGTTTTGCATTTTTTCATAGCATAGAGGTTTTATGAGCATATTCTAGACTGAATTTCTTGGATAACTCTGCTTGTCATTCAAAAAGAAGTTGCTGTTTTCTCACTCATATGCTTTCCTGTGGAACATATTCCTCCTGTTTTTTTTTTGTCCATTACTCTCTGATGAAACTAGTAATTAGCAACACATACTGTTTAGATTTGGAAGTAAATAATACTTGTCAGTATGATCACTGACATTAACAGGAACTGTTCAAATCAATGCTACATAATTGTTATGAATCTCTGCCCCCTTTTTTTACCACTAAAGAACCATCTAGGAGATTATTTTGTGTAAGCACTACTCCTGTCTGCCGAAGTACCATCCCACTTGGCATTTGAGGATGGACACATTCAGCCGCTGCCATTGCCTCTGAGGTTTGCTATCCTCTTTCTGGATATTTTATTCTCTCAGATTTGGCTGCAAACTCCACGGAAACCTTCCAAATGCTGACGAACAGGTAATTTTCTCATTGAATTTTGGCTAATCTACATGCTATCATGTACAATGGGATGATCAGGTGCAAGGACTGAAAATACTGCATATACCTGAAGCACAGCCTGTTGTTTGAGTAGAGTCTGTTCTAGGGCTGACAGATTTTGCTTTAGAGAGAGTTGATCAGACTGTATAGCTGCTGCTGCTGAAGCTTCCACTTGACTTTTTAGCTCCTCTCCCAGTTCTTGAAGGACAACTAGTGACTCCTGAGCTGTCTTCAAATCTTTAAGTAGATCCTGTGGCAACATATTGAATAAAAATATAAAACATTTACCTGGGCCAGCTCAAGTGATATCACCTTCCCTTGGTCTAAACAAAGAATGAAGTGAGTGAACCACATCACTATATCCAGAATTTATATTCACTACCATATTTAAATGCCGGTGTCCACTAATACTCTGTATGCAAATGAAATGATATGCAGAATAAAAACTATGCTGAAGTATTTATGTGCAGAGGAACAAGCAGAAAAGACTGCTCACTCTCTTTGAGCAAGTCTTAATTACTGATGAAGCAATTCTTGTTGAAAGACTCATTTTGAATCTACTGGCATGCTGTGCCTATGTAATGGAAGCCTTCACTGGGGATTCAAGTGGATCTGACTAGGCCTCCCTCTTTTTTCCTCTGGAAAAAAAGCTGGGGGAAAAATATCTTCTAATATAATGGCAAAAGAATATGATATCAAGATGTTAAGAAACCATTTTGACCAAACAATTTTGCTTGCCAATCCAGCAGACTACGGCAACAAATGCTTGCAAAGTTCATTAATGTGTTTATTCTTCCTCTGCAAGTGTTCTTTCTATTCTAAGACAATTACCATTTTTCTTTTACTATCAATGACATTTAAATTAAACTCAAAAGCCACCAAAATCTAACCATGAAGAGAAGATAAATTCTCCTGCTGCCTTGAGACTCAGTCCAAAAAATGAAGAATCTCAAAATTTTAGAGTTAATGGTGTCCTTCTGCAATGAAGGATAAAGAAACTCACAATGCTGAACATATGGCAGCTTCTTTTCAGACAAAATATGCAGACTTCACTGGTGCAGATACAGTCTAAATATTATACATTTCCTTCAAATGTAAGGAAGTCAACAGACTTGATAGAAATATTTTCCTGAGCAAGAATCTCTTGGATAGGCAGAAACTTAAGATTGAATCTATTGATACAATTTACTTATCTCCCGCAGAGATGACTTTTGATAAAACTTCTGCAATAACAAAGGAACAATTAATAAAGGATAAGTGCATTTGATAAGTCTAAGAAGCTCATGAGCTTTAGGTAGCAGAGGTAAAGGTCTCTTTCTTGTGCCAAAAGGTCTCTCCACTAAACAGAAACACATTTATTTAAGTTCCAATACATGAAGTATACAGCTAAGTCTTTGACAGCATGTTGCTGGTTTAGCCCACAAAGTAACGTACATTGCAATCCTGAATCCAAACGGTAACTTGATCATCGGCAAAGTCTTTGCTGGTGGCAGACTTCAAGAGTTCACTGGCCTGCTCTTCACGCTTCTGCACTGTTGAAGAACACTGGTTATAATAGTCCTTGTATCTCTGCCAAAGCTGAAGGAGACCCTTAATGGCACGTAGCTGCTCTGCAATCTCTTGCAGAAGGTTGTTCCACCTGGTATCCAGGTAAAGAGAATAATGAAAGTCTGTAAGTTCATAAGAACTATCTCAGCTGCTCTTCCTCATTCCTATTTCCCATGGACTTCTAGCTATTAAAAAAATTGGTACTAACCATGATTCAGATATGTGGGGAAAAAAAATCTAACTCAACACTTTCACAGCTACTTGAAATGTCAAATCAGGTTGGATCTGTGGTCCCTCTTGGGTGTTGTATACTAATGTCTGGGTTCTGAGCAGCAGTGTATTTCATCTGCCATCTGATGGCAAACACGGATACTTTCAAAAAACTCTCCAGACAGTTCACATACCCCTATTTAGGTAGCCCTCCGTGATAGAAAATTAAAACAGTTGATGGAAAAATACAAAACTACAAATAAAATAAATTCCCAAAACCAAACAATCAACCTCCCAAAACACAGGCTTTCTACCTCATATTCACTTCATTCAAAGTATTAGTAAGTGTTTCAGTCACTGGTGGGTGACATTCTTTCAACAATTGATTGGTCACCGAGCCAAATTTCTGTAAGCTATGTTCTTGTTTTTCCAATTCATCTTGTAGATTCTAAAACAGAGCAAAAAGAAAAAGATACATGAATTATTTCTATTGTATGAGGTAAAAATATGGTATATATTAATTATATCACACATATTACAAGTGCAAAACTTGATTTCATGTGTTTTTCACTTAAATACAAGGTGATAAATGTAAACAATATTGTTAGGTCAAATTGATTCAATATTCAGGCATACTGTTAGGTATTATCTTCTTAAAATACCTTGCAAAACAAATGATTCTAAGCAAACACTCTTGTATAGGAATTATAAATTACAGGACTTCAGTGTTTGTAAAGCTTCAGACCTAAATAGTTAATTGGTTAATTGACTGAAGAAAATAAATAAAAACAGTTAGAAGAAAAGCACGTATTTTTTCCTGGTTTGAATTAGATGAAAAAAAAGTAATATAATCAAAAAAATCTATTCTCAAAAACAAAGTTTTTGCTCCTTTGTTTATTAGTCTGAAGTAGCTTTAGCAGTGAAAATCTTATTTTCATTTGTTTTTAGCCTTTTTTAAAAATTTATTTATATTACTACTGTTTGAACAGCCTGGAAAATCACTACCTGGTTAAAGAGTAAAGATTTTAAAAGACAAAGGTATTTACAATACTTGTTGTTTTACTGGCTCTGCTTCCTGATATGTAAAAAATGAAAACATGGGAGACTGTAAAATGCATTAATGGATGCTCTTTAAATCTTCGTTTGGAAATTGCAGTCATATCTGTCTGGACTTCTAATCACACCAAATATTTAAATGATAGTGTCAAGTTATGTTTGCTGGTAAATATTAGTAAATAACTTGTTACTTTAAGCATCTGGAAAAGTTTACCTAATTATTTTTAATTCCAAAGACAACAGCCTTTTTAAAGCAAAAGGTTATTTGTAAGAGCAGACTCTCTATTTTATGATTCTATTACAGTGCCAACCTGGAAAAAGACTTAACTATATGACTCAGCTCTGGGTGACATTCTTTGTTTTGTTCTTCAACATACTGCAACCACAGGTTTGAAAGCCTTTAAAATATGATCCCAACATGCACCAGTATCTAAGAAGTTTACAAGGGCAAAAAAAAAAGCTTTATCTTTAATAGTCACCAGCATACTTTTGAATACTTAATAGTACAGTTAAAAATTTAAACAGTATCAAAAAATCCAGAAAGAAAACAATAAAAAAATTTTTTTTAACTATATGAAAGATGCAACAACTATCTGATCTTGTTAAATTAAAGTTTTCTTTCAATGTCAAATGATTTTCATGTGACAGCGTATCTCTACTTCCACTCTTCATGAAATCTCTAAAAATCTATAGCTAGCTAAGGAGGACAAATTTCATTCTTAAATCTATCTTTAGTAGGTGAAGTGGCATAGGATTGCTTTTCACCTGCAGGTTATCAACTTGGACTTTCACAGCTTCCAAAGAACCAGTAAGAAGATGAAAACGAGACAAAGAGTATCGGGCTTCCATCAGGTAACTATTCAGTTCTTCATATGCCGCTTTGTAAATGCTCCACTGATCAAGAACAGATTGTAACTGTATCTTCAGCAGGTTAACCTAGTAAGAGGGAGGGACCAAAAAACGACAGTGAAAAACATGCAAGAGACATTCGCTTTTTGTTTATATTACTTCCTCCTTTTTGATGTTACATATTATTTGTTATACATGGCTAACCTCAAAGCTGCTGGAGAAAGAAAAGAAAGTATTTTGCATGACTGTCACCTGGGCTTACCCTGCAGAATGCTCAGTTTGACTTTACCAACCTATAGAAGAGGAGGATGGAGGAGACTGATACACAGTTTATTCTACTTCTTTGCAAAGCAGAAGCAAGAAATTTTGTAAGACTATGCAACACATGTCTCTAATGCAGAAAAGACAACCTATAAAGTGCAGCAGAGAGGCTAGCACCATCACGCATTGCATTCTTCTTGAGATGACAGACGCATTCAGATTTGGCTACTGACAATGAGTATTAATCTCTTCTATATTCCATATATAAGACTACATAACCTGTGTGTTGGAGAAGAGAATTCTTTACAGAATATTTTATGTCTTTCAACTAAATATTAGGAAGCATCTTAAAAATTTCTGTTAAAAAATGACTTTTCCCTGAAATATGAATTATTAGACCCATTTTATGTGTTTATGCTAACTTGGGACAAGGGACTAACAGGGACACTATTCAAAATCTCTTCCCCCAGCAGACAGAGGAAATCCACCAACTGCATATCAGAAATACCCCCTTCTCCTTCTATGTCCTAGGCCTGGAGCTACAGTTTTCCCCTTGATGAATCCTTTACCATGTGATCCAAACTGGCCCATGAGTGGTTAATTTCTTGCAGTGTTTTCATTACAGCAGAAGAGACTTCTTCCTTCTTTCCTTTTATCAAAGAAAGACCAATCTGTTCCACACGTTCTACTTCTTTTTCCTTTTCTTTAATAGATCCTTCCAATTCCTGAAAAAAAAAAAAAAAAACACTAAGTATTTATATTTGTTTATTTGGATATACAACGCCTTGAGATAGAAGAGATGCCCATAAACTTTTGTACAGTGTCAAAAAATAAGGAAGTCCTGCTTATATGCTTTGTCATTTTACTCTCAAGAGGACCATAACTCATCGGTAATTTTATTGAATATTTTATGTTTCCTTTAAATCACAGTTGCTTGTCTTTAATGTAGAGGACCTGCTTCTATTTAAATTAAATCTCTGCGAAATAAATTTGCTCTCAAGTCCTAAAAGCATTAAAAATAGGATAACAGTTTTAATACGTGGAAATACTATGTTTCTTAGTTTGTCCTAAACACTGAAAGGTAATTTTAATTAGTTCAAAACTGGCTCAAAATTCTGGAAAAAAATGAATTTTGTCACCCAAGGAAAAAGGACAAAATAATTTCCTAAGGCAAGATGTCAGATTGCCATGCCTTCCCCCACTAAAGTGGAGCCTTTATTCCTTTGCCAGGTCCCAGCAAACCCTTTGCTCCAGGCCAACAAGCCTTCCTCTTTGCTAGATGACAGTCTCATTGGACTCCAGCCAAAGACAACAATAAAGGGACTGCAGAAATTTTTCTTATTGCCTCCCCAGGTCTCATATTGTCGGGAAGCATTAGTGAGCTCAACAGCATTTTGCGTTCAGCATTCCCACACCCAAACCAAGTAAACTGGAAAACAGTTAGTGGTTGACGTGAAAGCAGGTGAAAAAAATGGGGCTGAGTGTGTAGCTGCTGAGGTCTTGAAAGAGTCAGTGCTGCTTCAGGTAGGTGCCAAGATGATCCTAGATTTGTTATGGAAATGGTGAAGCAAAGTTCTCTCTCTCTCTCTCTCTTTTTTTTTTTTTCCCCTTCATTCTCTATCAAAAAATGAAGCCCTGAGGCTCTCATTGGTAATATTTACTAGCCACAAAGCCTATGATTCTCCTCATGCCTCAGCAGCACATGAATGAAGTTACAAATTGAAGTACTGAGGATGAAAGGGCTTGGTGTTGAACTGCTATTCAAAGAGCGTACTCCATTGAGCACCTTCCTAGCCATGGATCAGTGAGCGTGGTTTCATGGCATGCTGCAGGGAGGTGCGAGAAAGTCATGCAAAGCTCTTGCTTGTATGGAAGCTGTGCAGCCTCGGCTGGTGCAAATGCTGAGTTTGAGCAAAGTCAAAGTGTTTAGGTCAGCACAACTTTATGTTCACATGTCTGGAGATACATCTTTCATGATTAAGTATTCACCATGATATGGAAAACAGGCTGTGGGGAGCTGGGAATGAACTAATTCCTACATTAATTATTACATGTTGGGTTCTAGGGTTACCCTTGCAACTTTATCTACACTCTCCAAGCCATACCTATTGACAGAGCTTAGTCATCAGGGAAAGAAAACAAACCAGCAAAACTCAAAGTAAACTGAAAATCCATGTTGTTCAGCGAAATACTCTCCCTAAGAATCAATCAATTGATCAATAAATGAACCAATGCCATAAAAAGACTTTAGATTTTAGATACCAGGAAGAGTATTTGGAATCAAATTCTGCCCTGCAACATTTGCTATTAACAGATTTTATCTCTGCACACATATAACACATTTCTGTCTGCACGTATAATAAATCTTATATGCAAAAGCAATTTTCTGTACTGTTTATTCTTAACTTCTTCCTCTGTATTGTTTCCTATTTCCTTTAACTTCCAGCCATGACCTTGTTCCACATTATAGTCTTGGAATAATATATCTTCTTTTTCTACCACATGACACCAAAGCAAACACTTTTTAGCTGCACAGAGTAAATTTGACTTTTCAAGCAGTGGATTATAACAGTAAAATCATATTTAAATTTGTAAAAAGTTGTTTCAAAATTCAAAATGTAAAGTGAGCAAACACCTAAAACACCAATTTATTGCTGTTTTTTCTGACTGTCTGTGAAAGGAGTTTTAAAATATTACACTAAAGTAACTAAATTCAAGATACAATGTTTCTGATCTGTGATGGAAAAACATAGTTGCCTTCACTTTTAATTAATATGACACTAGGCAGCTACTAGCATTGGTTAATAAGTAAGCTGCAGCTTTTGTAGTTGAACCGGATACCCGGGAGTGCCTGATGCAGTTATTTCTTAAACAATTTGTTTCTCTACTGATCAAAGTTTTGCCATTCATAACTGACTCCCCAACTGTATTTGCTAACTTCTCTGACCAAAGGAAACCATGAAGGTGATAAATCAGACTGAGCTTTGAACCCCAGCCAAACACAGCCTACCATTTAGCCTACCAGGCTATGCTACCTACACTTGGTTCAGTGATGCGGGTTTACTGTGCTGAAATCGTATAGATGCTCGAACTGGAAAGAGGTATTTGATACAGTTTGAAAATTTCTGAGTTAAGAACTTGAAAATAAAACTGACTTTTGATATCTTGCCCTACCAATTCTTTGCCTTCACAGAATCAAAGATGGATTGGAGATATTGGTAAATATAGAGTTAATTGTCTTACATATTTAATTGGATAGATTTCTTCTGTTCTGAAGACACAGCTATAAATGGATCATACTCATCCTGTTCATTAAATGCATGGGGGAAAGGTAGCCACACCAAGATAAGATTCCCAACTCTTTCTTAAGAGGATGAGCACACCAAGAAGTACACATCAAGTCTATGGGCATGCAGTTGTTCTGACAGAGTTTAATTAAACATTTGCTCTGGTGTGAAATTTATGATTTGGCATCTGGCATTATTTGGCACTTTTAAACAAAAATCACCTGAATCCAGATAGCACGCAGAGGCTTTGTTTATGAATTCAGAACATGTGAATTTTCCCTGTAGATCTATAAGACTGAAGTCTCATTCCCAGAAGCAAATTGCTGAATACTTAAATACGTGCTATTCCTAGTAAGATATTCAGAGTTTCTCGTGATTCCCTATTCACTGCTGTGTAGTCCTTGCATGAATTAATTTTACAGGAAAAACTAAGGGGGTTCCAATCAAGACTATGACATGTAGCCAAGCTTTTCCTTTCTTGCCATCCTAATCATGATTCTCTTTTTTTTCCTTTTGGAAGGGAAAGGGACTTCAACTCTACTTGCTTCTCTGGACTCTTTGAATATTCTCTAGAATCTTTGAATAAATTTAATTCCTTACACACTTTTAACAAGAACTTAAAACCTCCTTGCATTCTGGTATCTTTTCTTGAGTGGTTCTGAGGAAAGGAGAATATTGGAGATGGGAGATGGAAAAATGGAAGAAAAAAAAAAAAGAGGAGGGAAAGAGAGAAAAAAAAGTACTAATGAGATAAAATAAAACCCCAAGTTTCTGAGTAGTCAAGAGTGCTGCTCATGATATCAAGTTCCATAAAACAGGCCAAGCAGTTTTACTGATCAGTAAAATTATAGCTCAGTATGCCTAGCATGTCTGGACGCATCCACACTTTAACACCAAATGCATAGGAATAATGGATTTGGATGCTTTTGAATGCTTTTATTCCCTGCATTTTAGGAATGAAATGTCTTTGTCATTGAAGTGAAGGGCATTATGCCATTTACGTCACTCATACCCAGATTTCACATGGCTTTAAAACCTGTTTCTACTGCTGGAGAGAGCATATACAGAATATTCTTATTTATAAGGTGACATTACTTGACAGTCTTTTAAAGCATTCTGCACTGAAGCCTGGTCTCCAATTTTCTGTTGTTTTTTCAGCCTCTCCTCTTGGGTTTTAAGCCAGTTTTTTAGGCACTGCACACTATTTTCATACTGTGTCCAGGATTCCTGCAGACTTTCCAACAGCTGGATCTGTAAAGAAATATGAGTATACATTACTCATATAATTATGTCTAATGTCAGGTCAATTAATTAATGAGCAAAAACAAAATTGACCACTGTCTTCTCAGATAAAACTCACATCTTTCAAAATTTAAAAGCAGTATATGCATTCAAGCGGAATATATGCAAGTGGAATGTACTAGTTGCTTGTAAAAGAGTACATATTAAGAAACTTTGCTCCATCTGAGAGTAATTCTAATCAGAATGCATCTTCAGATATTAAGGACTTCACTGATTTATTTAGGATGTGAACACACATTTTACGTCCCTTGCTTAGGAACTGTGATAAAGCAGATGAATATTTTTAGTATCTCTTTCTTTGTCAACTGACCAGTTTACAATTATCTAGATTTTCTGATTGCTCCAGATACTATTCAGTGGAAAACCAGATAGTATTTACTGCTACAGCAAGGGAAATTCTTATTGGACATAAGGGAAAAAAACCTGTTTGCTGCAAAAATGTTTAAGTACAGGAAAAGGCTGCCCATAGATGCTGTGGAATCTCCATCCCTGGAGATTTTCAAACATCAGCAGAGAAAGTCCCTGTTCAATCTGACTTTAAAGTGTTTTTAGAGCAGGATATTGAACTAGGTGATCCTCAGAGGCTTCTGATCATTTTTTATTGTATATTTCTATTTATTTTCAATGTTTTCTACAGAACAGTAGCTTTCTCTTTACCTTTCCTGTTATCAGGCCTTGCAGAATCTGCCAACGTCGGTTCATTGCTCCAAGCTGTTCTGCAAAATCAGTTTTGTCGCTACGTTTGCTTTCAACATCCTGGCTGCTAATCTGTAGCACCGATTGGTTCACAAAGTCTACTGTGAGTTGTTTGCAATTTAAATCTATCTTAAAGCCCTGTAGAAAAGAAGGAAATAAAGGAAAATATTGTATCAGCATTTCTCACCTTCCTGCAGAAGAGAGGATAAAAATATTAAAAAATTACAGCTCCACACAATTTAGTTAGAAGTATTTCTAGCATTTGAACAGTTTTTAAAAGCATCATTGGTCTTTTATAAATATTGAGAACAAAAATAGCAATTCACCACCCCTGCAATAAAGAAACTCTTTTCTCTCAAAGGGAGGGGAAAAAAAAAAAAAAAAAAAAAAAACAGTAAACATCAGTCTCAAGGATCAGATTCAAGAAAAGCTGGACATTGACTACTTCATTGGTTTTAGTCTTAAATTTTCTTACTACAACAACAGTTAATACAGAAAGTATTGCTGGATGCAGACAGGAATAATAGGCAAGAATAAAGCCATTTTTTTTCAGGAGACTAGTGAGAGCTAACATGAAATATGTTTTTTGTTTAACGAATACCAACACCTGGAATTACCCTAAAGAATAGGGAAGAATAGTCTTCCAGAGAGTAAAAGTGATTCTGACACTGGGAGAACAGTCAGTGTTATAAGTGTATTACCTACCCAATACCAACAAGAGCATCACTCTTTATACGAGTATTAGCAATTTGGTTACTGAACTGAAATTTCATTTTTATCTCTTCTCATTATTTACCTGAAAATGCAGGTAAATGAAAATTCTTAGTTTTTGTTTCAGACACAGATCAAAATTGCCTTGATTGTGGTTTTGGATGAAAGTCAGTCCTAATAAAGTTTAATCACATGATATTGCTTTGGATTTATCTGGAAATTAAGGTAAGCATACTAAAAATACATCCCTGCGATACATAAACAGCAGAGTAAGAGTAATTTTGGCTTCTCTTTTATTGTATCAAATATTAACTAACTATCCACTTTAAATAACATATAATTTTAATCTATTTTAAATTATATTAGTATTTTTAAATTGGTATGTATATTTTTCTATTATACTTTAAAGATACATATATCTGTATATATAGATACATATAATATACAGATATATAATATCTGTGTATACATATATCTGTAAATTAGAACAGAAAAAATATAAATGCATATACATTTATGTATGTATATATTTATTGGGTAGTCAGAAATCTGCAAAAATTCCACTGTATACCTTGTACTTCTGAACATAATCCTGAATGACTTTCTGCCCTACTAAATTTTCTATATTCTCTTCATCCTGCTGAATAACGTTTTCCATCAGAGAAATCCAGCTCATAATTTCAGTGATTGCATGGCGTGACGGAAGTTTGTCCATCTGGAGCTGCAGAGAAAAAAAGACTTTAAATGTGCGTTGTGAAGGGAATGGATGAGAATTCCTTGCTTTGTGTTACCATAGTTCTTTCCAGGATCTTATTATTATGTTATTCTGCATTCTTAACAGATCATTGTCTACTTTTCTGGAATTTTGTATAATAAAAAAGTAATTTAAAAAAAAGTAAAAGTAAAAGTAAAAAAGCATATTACAGGAGATATAATATATCTTAATATACTATATCTTAATAATATTGTAAATATATGAAATTTAGTTATTCAAAAATAAAATGTTTTCTCTGAAAGCATCTTTAGGAATGCATTATGCATTACAAGAAGTTTCAGAGAAATGCTGAATGACATTGTTTCTAACTAACAGAGTAGGCACAGTTAAAACTTGTCTCCTTCCTCTCTCCCACTATGTCTGGATGACATTACTAACTCTGGGAGCATTCCTATTTAGAAATTGAAGTAACTGTATGGACTGCTAATCTCATAGTAACTGAAGGCTATACCGATCTTTAGACTAATATAATTCTTTAATATCAGTGTTATAGCATTAAAAAAAAAAGAAACCACATAACCCAAAATCTCTTGCTCCCACATACCCTAGCAGAAACCAAATATTGTGATTCTTAGATTAGTTCTGTCTTTCACAGATTTGAACCATATTATTTGACCATAACCAAGCTCTGCCTAACTTCTAGGATATGAACTGAATATTCTACATATTTTAAATCTTTAGAAATAAATTGTTCTATACTGCTGCAGTTGAAATATGTAATTAATATGCTAGAACTTTCTGGAATATTAAAGGTTATTACTGCACTAGTTCATACCTGATGCAGTTTCTCTTGTACTGCTGGGATTTGTACGAGCAACTCTGTCCACTCACTGTCAATCTGGGACAACCCTGCATGCAGTGCTGCTGTATCTACTGTCTTCAGCCTTAGTAGCTGGTTCCCAGTACTCAGTACAGAAGATATCTGTGATGATTTAGCATCCACTTCTTTTGAAAACTCCTGTAAACAATGCCATTTTAATGAAAAGAAAAAATTACTTGTCAGTGACACCAGCTATACTTCAGAGTGAATGAAAACAAAAGTTGTTTTCAGTCATTAAACCTTTTTTTTGTTTGTTTTTAGAAAGATCAAGTTTTGCAATCATGCACAGCAACATGGTGCTGAATGTGCAAACATATCAGGTTTTTGAAGACAGTCCATCTATAGAAGCAGGTTTTTTTTGTCCATAATCACTGCTTCAATGTTGAGGTAATGTATTCCATTTGATTGCTCAACTGTTTATCTGTAGGTGGACAGAAAATGTGTCCTAGGCTAACAAACTCTCTTACCAGGAAGGAATTCAGGTGGTCTTGGACTGTTTCCAAGTTGTGAGGGACTGTCACTGACTGCTGGCTCCAGAACTTGAGCCGTTCCCTTGCAGATTGTAACCAATGTGTCAGTTCAGTTGATTTACTCTGATACCTGTAAAGATGTTTATAGAAAGTTTAAAAACAAAATCTAATGAAGGACTGGTAACTAGGAGTAACATTAAGCTACCAAATCTACGCTATTCCTCCCACATACGTTTCTTTCACTTTCAATTAGAGGGCTCAATCTTTTAAAAACTAGAGCACAAGTCAACTCAGAAATCTAATTTTTTTTTAGAAACTGTCTTCTTGTCATTCCATATCCAAGACAACTAATCACATGTCAAAATGAGATGTTGAGGACTTCCTCACAAACTTTATATATACAATCCCTTTATGTATCTCATTTGGAAAGGCAAGCAAGCCAACAAATCAGGGACATTCATTCATGTTGTCAACATACATGAATAATACAGACCTTGTACATTCCTCAGATAACACTACTTTGAAAGCGGCATATAGTCATTGCTAAAGACAGCAAAATGCTGTCTCCCCTATATGCCATGGCACAGAGCTGTGAGAAACCGCAACGGCAGGTCTCCCAGAATATGCTGAGGGTACTCATGTCATCTAGCAAAGCACCTGCCCTTTCCCACCACCTGGTATGGACACTTACGACACTTCCTATTTAATAATCTAAAATAGGTTATCTGCTAACTTCGTCCCACCAGTCCTTGTCTGGTGCACATTTTATTGCCAATTAGTAGAGTGGAATGGCGCTTGCATGGAACAGAAGTAAAATAGTGTAGACTTGTTTGGCAAGTCAAACCATCACATGCATTTCACAGTATTTTCTTTCTTTTAAATGTGGAATCTAATGGTTTGGGGATCAGAAAGACCCATATTTCAAGAGCGCAGGCAAGTAAGCTTATTGTGCTCATCACACTAGCATTACCTTGTCCAGTGTTTCAGTATTGTTTCCAGTCTGTGAAGCTCCTTAGTCACCTTATTGGTGTTATTTAGCCAGCGCTCGCCTAGTTGGTTCAGTTGACTTTCAAGATCTGAGCAGCTAACAGAAAAAAGAAGCCTCTTCCCATCATCTAGCACCTGGTATAATTTGGGCTGGTGTTCAGTCAGGTTAGATTTCAGATGCTGTAATGACATGGAACAGAAAGTTAGATAGCTCTGCAGCTATCTACAAACCTGCTTTCTCAATAACCGTCAGGATCTGATGTATTTTACCTGGTATCTACTATAACCAAGCCATTTTGAACAATGCAAACTACAGTGTTAGGCTACATTAGGAGGAGTGTGGACAGCAGAATAAAGTTGTTATCCATCTATTTGGTACTGATGAAACCACATTTAGTGCACCTTATTTTGCTCTCCACCCATCTCTTATGCAATTCAAGAGAGTTTTCAAAGAACTGGTTTTCAAAGAACTCTTAAAGAGCCAGAGGAGAGCTATCAAAGACGGTTGGCACCAAGAGCACATGCACCACAAACTGGGAAATATGCCCTTATTTGGGGTCTGGCAAACAGGGGGTCAAGGTCTATAAGTTCTAGTCTAACAGTCTACAACTATTTCAAGGAGAACCACAAAGACGACGGAGGTACTACTTTCCTCAGTGGTGCCAGGCAATACAGAAAGAACAGTGGCCACAAGTTGCATCATGGGAGGTTTGTTTTTGGAATGCTGGACTATTGTCTGGATTATTAAATAGCGGACTATTATTCTGGATGATTAAAGAGTGGGATACTGGACTAGATGACCTCCAGAGATCTCTTCCAACCAACTTTTCTGTAACAAATGACTAGAAAGCACCAACCTGAAATAGCGTAATTCGGTCTGTAAGCCTGTCCTCGGTTTCTTCCACCAAACCAACAGTGGGAATATTACCTTCAACAGATTCCAGCTGTCTGGTAAGCTCCTGATAATTGTCATCCAGGGATATCCAGGTCTGCAAGCATAATTTATCCATGAATATAGCAGTGAAAATTAGGCTTGATATCTAGATATTTTATTCCTGAATAAATTTTAAATATATTACTGTTTTATTTATACGCAGCTGCTCTACTGTGAATGTACAGAAATAACAATACAAACGCCCTGACAACTGACATCAACTCTGTGTTCATCTCAACTTTTGGTAACAATGCAGAGTTGACTTATGACTAGATAAAGCTATCATGTCCTATATGACAGCTAAAGCCAAGCAGCTCTTTTAGGTTTACTTAACCACAATTTGTATTCCCAAATATTGCACTGTCTAGGAACTAAAGTTCCAATATAAAGGTAGGAAAGATTACACATCATCCATCAGTCTCAGTTGGGCATGATAAAAGGGACTGATGTCTATGAGTTCTCCCCAGAAAATACAGGACTTGTTCTTGGTTCATTACAATGGCTGTACAGAGGAAAAGCACAGAAATTCTCACCTCCAGAACGTATTCCAGCTCCACACCTCGTTTATGGGCCTGTTTTAATATCGTTGAAGCCCGTGCCATTAGCTCTGAATGTGACTGAGTTTCTCGCAAGAAGGCAAAGCTCCTCATCTTTCTAAAGAGTGTTTCTGTCAGGATTGTGTGAGACTCCAGCCCCTGAAAATATTCCTGAGAAGTTTTTGAGAGGTGGAAGGATGGAGAAAAAAGAAAAGTAGTACAATACTTGAATCATTACAACTAAACAACATTAAAATTTATCATTAAAATGTGACAGCAGTATTATCAAATAAGTATCTGCAGATATAGAATTAGATAAACTTTTTACCCTATCAAGATTTAAAAAATCTGCCATTATAAAAAAAAGGGTGTCTTTCATATGAAAAGTGGATCCAAATTGACACTCTGTGAACAAAATGGTTTAAATCAGATAAACACCAGCATAAAATTCTTCCTAAGATGTGTATCATTATATAGTGGAGGTGTTATTTGAAAACTTAAATTGCCAATGGAATTGGTAATTCCATTGCCAATGTGTATCAAATTGCTCTGTGGCACAGCAGCACAAGAATAGGAGACTTGTTATTAGTATGCGGAAGCAAATACGATCCTTTCCAGAGTTCACCTGTAGTGGAGCCACTCAATCAGAACAGTTCATTGACTCCAGTTTAAACTACAGTGGTTTTTAAGGCATCTTGATGTAGTACTAAGCAACTATTCAGAAAACCTCCTGAACTTTTCGCAATGAAAAGTTATAAACACAGTGTGCAAGCTTGTAGTCATGACTAGTCTTGAACTACATCATGAGTTCCTACCTTATGTTTGTCAAGTAACAGTTGGACCTCTTCTTTAGAAGCAACAAATATTTTCTGGTCCCCAGTCATCTTTTCTTGGCCTGTTTCTACAAGGTCAGCCAGGTCCTGCAAAGCTTGCTCATATTGCCCCTTAAGAGCCAGATTCTGGTTCAGGTCACTCCGTCTGGATCCAATGATCATCATCAGCTCATCATACATATCCTTGGGGGTAAAAAGCAGTTACAATTAACCATATCTCACAACTCACACCTCTGCCTAGATACCAACTTATTACCTCTGTGTTCCTTTCTGAATGTTTGCAGAATAACTTCAACTCTCAGCTCAGAGAGACTGCAGATACACTGACTTAATGGATAAATTAACCATAACATTGAGAGAAAGAAAAAAAACAAACAGCACCCTGCAAGTTTCCTACTGTCTGTATTCAGGAAAAAAAGTTAGCAGGACTTGCTTTATATAGCAAAGAAGCAAGGTGATGGGACTCAAGTCATGAAAAAAACAGACTAGACTTTCCCGTATGTGGATTTTAACTTATATCTGTACAGAATTAACCTGAAAGCTTTGCATCAGTGTGCATCTCTGTACACTGGAAGGGACACACTGCAAGTATGGCAAGACAGCCAGTAACACAAGCACTTCCAGGTGCTCTTGAACACTGCGGATGTGGTTTACTTTTTGTTTCTTATAATGCAGGCAGGTTGGATTGACTCCATTATGGTTCAAGCCTATAGCATCTCAAGGCCAACTTTCTTCCCATCAATTTTGCCCAAGCACAGGACATGATCTGATCACAGCTACTTGCTTATTTGGCAAGCAAGATGCACAACCTATTGTAAAAAAAAGTCAGCCCCACACCAACACTCTATTTTATACAGAAAAAAAAAAGTATTTTTATATTCTGTATTTATACATTTTACTGAGAGTGTCCCTATTGTCAATTTACACATTAACTGGAAGCACAGTTCCTGTGTCCTCTTTCTTATTTTATGTATCCCAACCATAAAAATGAGAACAACAGAGAAGCTTTTCCTTACTTAAACAGGATTATTTCCTTCCTGTTCTGGTTTTGAGAATTTCAGACTTCTGTTCTCAGAAGATGTGTCTGACTATGAGGTTTTTGATCAAAACAAAAGTAACATCCAGAAAGCAAAACTACAAATATCGCTAAAGCCACTCATAAAAGGGAGAGTTACAGCAAAATAATCACCCTCTGATTGCAGTTGGGTCTTGCAGATTAAAATACACCACTGTGAGTAGCACAACTGTTAAAAAAAAAAAAAAAAAAAAAAAAAAAAGAGAGGAAAGGCTTCTTTAAAAAATAAGTCAAGGAGAAGGGGAAATCTGCAAATAATAAAAGCAGGAGGCTATAAAGATGCAAGCACAAGGAACATACCAATATCTTTGATCTCACTAAACAGGTCTAGAGGGAAATGTATGATACCTGGAGCTTCGATAGCTCTTGCACAGAAGGTTGGTCAATTTGCAGCTTGTCTCCACGCTTCTTTAATTCGTTTATTCCAGCATCTAGTTCCTTCAAGCCTTCCTCTGCTTGCAGTATCACCTGTATCAGCAAATTATATCATTTAGCTTGAAGTTTTCATAGCAGATCTATAGCTGTCATAAATTATATATATTTTTCTTTCTTTTAAAGTCTGAAGTTTTCAGTCCTCCCTTTTTTTATAATGAATTTAATCTACAGTGAATAAGTATAAAGAAATATAAAAATTAAAGAAGTATAGAAAAAATAATAGTTTAAAATTGCTTGATTTCGAAGACAGTGTGGAATGTTTTGTCACAAACTCTCTTAGCATTATATGTTGGTTTATACAAAGCTTTGCTGTTAGGTTCTGTGCTTCTAATTATAGTACTGGCACCAGACTATTACTAATTGTTTTACCATCTTTATAAAGCATTCCTTCTATTAGCTCACAGTAGCTTTTATCTGAGCACTAGACAAAGACCTGTGACAGCAGAAAACATGACAGCAAAATTGCTTCTCTTCTCTTGGTTGAGAGGGTTGTTTAGAGGCCAGGATGCGGCCAAAATTATAGCCAAGGAAAAATAATTTGGAAACTCCCTTTTGTATAAGGAAAAAAACAACTTAACTATACAGGTTGGTATTTGCAAGTTAATGTAGATAACCACCTTTTTTTTCCGATAAAAATATTAAGTACCTAAAGCCCGATATTTCTGTTTAGCTGAAAGATCTGTCATTTTGGCAATAATAGAAGCAAGAAAATAAGATATATTTTGTCTCTTCAATTAATTTTAAAGTTAATTGTTCATCAGGCAATTCTTAATACACAAATATTTTTGTTTATTACTCAAATAATACTCAAATTGTCTTACTCCAAATGAGTAAGAGTAGATTTTATTACAAACCAGTGCAGAAGAAAACACCTTTGCTTTTGAATGAGGTCAACACAGCCAAAGAACTGGCTTGAGACATCTGGTAAAGGTCTATTTCTTTTAAATAGTGCCCATTTTGTGTATAACCAGGTGAGGGGGAAATAAAGACATGTCATGTTTCTTTTAATTTACAAATAGCTATAGTAGAATTTTGAAGTAGTCATTTTATTTTCACATACCTTTATTTTATTTTCACATACTTCATGGGAGTACATACAGTCTTACAAAGCTACTGTCCTCTATAATCTTTCCCTCAATTTTGCTCTCAAATAATAGACAAAAAATACCTGAACTTGTTCTGTTTCTGGTCTCTCAACTGTCTCTGCCAGTTTCTGTAGAATTAAGTATTTGTTATCACTCAGTGATGTAAACAGGAGTTTCAGATCACTCTATAGGAGAAAACAACAACAAAAACCCATTATATTAGTACACTGTATTATTTTAAAAATAACTTACAAAAAAAAGACAAACTCCAAAGTTATCTTTTCTCTTTGGAAAATCATAGTCAATCACTTCCATTCATTATAATGCTAACAGGTATAAGTTATGAATTAATGATGCTTTCTACAACACGAATAAGAATTATACAACTCTTCTGAGAGTGAGTTTAGGCTTTGGATAACGACTAGGATGCCAAGTTTTGGACAGCCTAAGAAATGGATTTATTTTCAGTAAGGAAATGTCTAAAAATTACCAAAATGTCTAAAAATTAAGAAAAATCCTCTCGGAGTAAAAGCTTTCATATCTCCATTCATCTCGCACCGTTAATTCCTTCAAATTGACACCATACCTTGAAAGTAACTATTTGCTGGAGCCTTTCTTTCATCTGACGGCATCTCTGGTCTACTACTGATTCCAGTAAGGCCAGTCTTCTGAGAAGACAATCCAAAGTGTCTTCTATAACATCTCTATTATCACCATTCTCAGGAAATGTCTTACTAAATAAATTCTTGTTCTTATCCATTTCTTCGGTTATCTCTTTGATTTCTTTGGCAAGAAACTGATTTTGTGGAAAGCAAAACAGAGTGACAATTAGAAATTACAGAAAACATATTTTCATAACAAACACCCACCTTCCAATAAGGTACTGACTTTTTTACACTGTTGATCTGTATGTTAGAGAGTTGTACAACTACAGCATTTCTGACAAAAGTAAAAATAGTTGCTCTAAGAAAAACAAATGCTGAAACAAAATTAATCGCTGTAGATGAACTTTTACTCTGAATAAAGGCTTTGGGAAACATGAATGTATGTTGCTGCCTTATGTCAACTGCTGCCAGAAAAAGCTTTTTTCTCTTTCTCAACCCCATTTCATGACAATGAGTTTGTACTGCTTCAGTACCCCAGAGATGTCTCTGTTGTTCGCTTCAATTTTAACAGGGTGATGTCTGTTAATACTGAGAAAAGAAATTAAACAGGAGGGCCCTCCAAACACTATGCTCAGTTCTCTTCTGCTTAGGCAAAATTTGGGTCAGATATTTTTTGAAGCATTATTTATGCGAGCAATAAAGTTACTTGCGCCAATGTCAGCAGGCAGCAAGTACATTGAGATTATGACAGACACAGGTCACTTATACAAGATTTTAAAATTTCCTTGCTGGAGTAGCTTTTGGCAGTTCATAAAGCATTCTATTCATGGATTCCTTACTTCTTGCTTGTAGAGGTATGTTTCGGTTTCCTCTGGCAGCAAAGCTGTAGCAACAAACATGTTTTCCTCTACACCATCTAACCACAAAGAGGTAGCTGAGACGCCATCATACAACTTCTGTTCTAGATGCAGACTCTCCTTCTCTGCACGTCCAGCCTGGGCAAAAAGAAGCAAAAAAGGTTCAGAGCAGAAGTACAAGATACTCTAACATCTAATATTTGGGAAGTTCTAGGGGAGTTTTTGATGAAAACGGATATTGTACATGATTTGCTTCACAACAGTTGTAAATACAAATGAAATGTTACCTCAGACGACACATCTTCAAAGGCCTGATTCAATTCAACCAGTACTGGGGAAACTAATGATCCTTGATCCTGTCCTTCTTCTTTATGCAAAGCTACTCCAGATATCAGTCTGCTTGGTCTGTTATAAAGCTGTTGAGAAGGAAGTTAAAAATATTTCTATCACAAACAGAACACGATATTGAACCATACGGATTTTGCTGCCTAATGAGGATACTACCAAATAATGCTTGTGGTCCTTCCACAACTGTTCTGTATTCATGTTGTATAAAAGATTGTATGACAGGAGGTTCACCACAAGTGAAGAATAAATACCTGTGGCAAAAATTAGTAATGACTTGTCTTGCTAAAATAATAACTTCTGAATTAATATAAGATCTTTGGAAGAAGCTTTCAAGATTGTATTTTGGCAAAAATAGCTGGTCTCATTTTAATAAATATAAAACAGAGGATGCATTTAAATACAGATCTTGGATTGTCCCAGATTTAGCTGAGTAATGTTTGTTTCTTTCAGGAAACATTCAGAGACTGAGATCACTCAGTTCTTTGCCACATACTAAGACCAGGAATTTAATGAATAGTCTTAGACACAGAATGGCAGAGCACTGATCAGCTTGAGGCACAATTTGTTGCAGCATTACCCTTGTCTTTTGTCCAAGACACTTTTTCCCTTTGCAGTTTATTCACATGAATGGAAGTGTGCAATTCAGATGAATTTGAATAAGAGCAACAGGAGTGCCAATACTGTTTTATAAATATGTCACAAAAATAAATTATTCTTTAATCTCTGTATTAACTTAATGCAGTTGCTGTAATATACAGCTCCTTATGTTGTGACATAGAGAAAATGTGCAGAGAAATTAAAAATAGCTACCAGCTGTTCTTGTTCCAAAGCTTTCTGGAGAAGTCTCTGCTTAGTATTGAATTCCTGATTCAGGCTTTCCCATTTCATCTTCATCTGTTCTTCAGCTGATGGCTTCTCACCTTCCAAGCCTAATTCCTCAGAGAGGGTATCAGGCTTCTCACTGTAATGAAGAAAATGCAGAAAAGGTTTAACAAATACAAAAGTTTCAAAAGTGTAAGAAATTCCTTTCCTCCTTCAGTTAGGAAATTCTAGCATTTAGACTAAATGCTACTTCTTAAATCTTTTACATAGTATTTCAGGTAGTAAGATAGGAACTGGTTTGAAACAAGAAGTATTTGGCTGATGGTTTCTATAATGCAGCATCATGTGCACAGAGGTGCTCACTAAGATATGTCAATAAAGTATTTTAACAGAAGGGTTAACTATTCCTTGCTTCTCAAGCTGTTTATCCTGTTTCCTCCTCCCCAGAACTTGCCCTTTCCACTCTCTCTCAAGGCCTGCATGGGCAGGATGCAGCTTTTCTCTTGTTTTCTATACAGCACAACTCTCTCTCAGCCAGATCTGAGGCTTTTTGAGCTACCTACTTTCCTAAAACAGGCAAAAGGGCAAGAAGCTACAGACCACAGACAAAATTTAGAACTCTTGAGCTCCCAAAATAAAAATACTCACTAACTGCAGGAAAAATAAAATTATACAATGAGCACCTCCGCTGGGAAAACATTTTAAAAAATGATTAGCCATGATTCACATCACAAGATTAGATGCTTGTATGGGAGAGGGGGACGTAAATGAGACAAAGCATACTGCTGCAGAAATTTACTTTGCAGAAGAACACAACAAAACACACCTTAGATGCAGGCCTTCTGGAACACCTTGCTGTGTTAGGATTTCTTCTCCACGGCTTGCTACGGATCGAAGCAGATTTTTCTGCTCTTCTAACTCTTGTTCCAGCTCCTAACATAGCAAGTTACAAAACACAACAGAACAAACCTTAAACAGACGGTTTTTGCCTTGAAAGAATATGCCTACATTGCTTAACTGTCAAGCAGAGATAGCTGAGCTATTTCTGATATGGCCTCTTTGAACACCAAAAGCAGCGAAAGTCTCCACTTAGGCGCACATAAACTGGGATGAATTGTTCGACCATTGCAGGCATTTTATGGAACCTAAACTAGAGATGATGTGAGGTGTATCAAGCAACATAATATACCTTGTAACATGCTTTAGATTCTGTAAAGACAGTATTGATGGTATTTATTCAAAAGTATGGATCATCTCCTTAAAGGAACTTTGAGAGATTAGTCAGTTTAATTTTACTGTTGGGAATCAGTAGTACAAAGCTGGGAGGTGGCTTAGTAACAGCCACCCAGGAAGTCTAGTCTAACTGGTCATCACAGACAGAAAATTGGGACCTGAAGTTCATCATTACAAGAGCATTGAGTAGGGAGCTGTGTAAAAATGAAGACTTCAGTTGAAATATTAATAAGAATGGCTCAGGTGCAGTGTTAAATGTAATATAAAAATAAAAAAATACCAACTTTTTGCTGCTGCAGACTGCTCTGCTGCTGCTGTGAGCGAGTTGTTCTCGCCTGTGCCAGCCATTCTTGGACAGTGGGAGTTTGTGAGGAAACCAAGTCCAGAGCACTCTCCTCTTTCTCTTGTAAAAATCCCTGTTAAAGGAAGGAAACAATGACATTCATTTCATAAAATCTCCTATATTGCCAGATAGTTGGCAAGTGCAACCATTCAATTGAAGATCACACGTAGTACAGTTTTCCATCTCCTAAGCTATTGGCTCACACAAATTCTGAAGTCAGCTAAGACTTAAGGTTATTGATGTTTACTGGTCTTTTGTGGTTAGCAGGAAACATATAGAAATGAATGCACACACAGCACCACACTTAGCAAAATGAGAGACCATAGATGGATGAATTCCTGAGGACTGTTCTGCCCCTCCAAGGAAACAGCATCACTCTGTAATGGAGGGTTCTGTGCTAATTGGCAGTGTGGGGAATCAACGGATCATTTTTGCCAGGCTTTTGCCTAACAAGAGACATGCTTTTATCTAGCCAAAAATAGAAACATGTTGCTTGTCATTCCCATCAAACCTATTTATCATTAAGTACATGACTCTATCTGTGGTTGGCAGGAGAAGAAAGAGATAATAAAGAGCAAATTATATGATAACAAGCAAAAAGACAAGACACATAAACAGATATTAGAGCAGCAGTAGCAACCATCTCTTTGCTTTCTATTTCTACTGCTATGCTCTTCCAATATGACTGATTAGTGTCTTGTGTAAGCAAACTGAAAAACAGTAAATAGCATAGTAACTACAAAAAATGTATCTACCTAGTTCTTTACTGTCTGAAATCCATGTTCTTTGTAAGTTTAAATCCTTCGAATGAGAAACATACTTGAATGTATGCATTTTTAACATACTAGGCCCAATGTTAAGGACAGAATTGTAGCTCTGGCTGCCCATCTCTCTGGGTTTATTTAGTGCTACTTGCAGGCACACAACCACTGTAAAGCTGGCACTGGTTTTACTAAAGTTCTGGGAGCTGATGCTGGGGCTTAATTCCTCTTCTGCTTTTCTACGTATTTCATTTTTTGCAGGATTCATGTACTGACTCAGCTCTTGTTGTGAGCCTAGCCAGACCACTCAGCAGGTCAGACAAGTGGAGGGCGCTCAGGTGGGGACAGGCTGCTCATGTCCCCGGCTGCCTTTGTCTCTCGTTGAGGAACCAGCTCAGCCAAAGTGATGGCACTAACCCCTCTTGCCTCAACTCCTTCCTGCAACAGCCCAGCCAACCTCTGCCACTGAGTGTAGAAATAATCCAGTTTTGCTCTGATTAGGTGTCAGATTTTGATTCTGGGGCAGCAAGGGGAGTACTGGAGTTGACAGGACTGATGAGTATTAAAGGATAAAAACTGTAAGAGGACCAAAACAAACTAAGCAGGTTTCCTGAGCTGAAAGGAACCATTAGCCCTTGCTCTGTGAGATAGTTTTGTTCCTCTCTGGATGAGATCTGTGCAGATACTTTACTTCAGGGAACAACTTTCTAGCAAAGCTAGAAATTGGCTAGAAATCCTTATGTTACTGGAGTGTGAACCATGGCATTTATGGGATTTCAGAATGGTTAAAAAATGTCTTTTTTGTTTTCTTTAATATTTGGTCGCAGTTAGCATTAAATATTCCTGGAAAATATCATATTCTTGTTTATATTTTATAATATTTTTAAAAGAAACTTACAAAGTATCTGGAATATTTACATTATTAATTGTAGATCTAATGTGAAGGGAAAAAAAGGTAGACAATTTTAATTTCTATTTCAAAATGAGAAAAAAATGCAACCTTTTTTAAGTTGTAAAACCATTTGTTTCATTTTATATGTAACAATAGTTCAACATGTAGATCCCACTAGAGAATGATCATTTCATTTGGATAGGTTGAATGATTTTAGTTAGATTTTTAGTGTCATAGTAACTAAGATAAATACCAGTCCCTTGGTTCCTACAATAGGAAGGAATGCTAAAGGTTGTGGGTGCAAGGATGCTATAACAGTAAATATTATATTGCACCTACTTTTTAGAACAAAAAAATCGTCAATCAGATTTTATCATTTTCAAATCACAAAATGTAAGTCTGAAAAACACACAGGCATTTTCATTCCAATAATATCTGACAGAACTTTATTAATTTTCCTTTAAATAACGGAGAAAACAATGCTTGAAGTTTTCGCTCCTGGTAACATGTAATAATGGGAAAATCCTTGAAGAACCTGATGATAAAATTGATCTCTTAAAGGAACTCCAAATCTTATAAAACCTATACCAGGGAATGCAACTACAGAACTTTTCCATCAAAACAAAGCAACAACATTACCTTTTTAATGCAAAATCCATTCTACTTTTTTTGCTTCATAAAAAGTCATTCTTCTTATCCCTAAGTCAGGGATATTCAAAGATAATTGTACAAGATAATATTTTGTATACTTCAAAGTACTTGTAAAATGCTACATTTTGTACAGATATAGCTTGGAAATTCTAACCTTTATCTTGAGCATCTTGCTCATGAATCAAGAAGAATTTTATTAAATCAAGGAGACGTTCTCCAAATAATTCACTTTTTTCAGATCTTTAATGGAAGGCACAGTTAGATAGAAAGATGCTGGAAGGGAGGCAGATAATCTACCACTGGCTCCTAAAAAAAAGCCTTGTACCATAGTGATAACCATCAGCCTGTAAGAAATCCTATACCTGTGAATATTTAAAAAAAGATACTGGATACTGCACTGCAATAAGAGGGATATGAATTCAGAAAGGAAGAAGTTGCATTAGATCTTCTAGCTATCCAGAACAGGAAATTATTATAAATTTTAGTAAAATATCCTTTTCTGATCTGATGATCGCTTTGAATTTCTATATAAAAAATGCAGATGTTACATACCTAAGTCTATTTTCTTTCATGAACTGAAAGTGAAGTCCAAAATATACTTGCAATTTCTAAAGACACGTTCACCTCAGAATAAATTTAAATTTTGCATGCATGTAGTATCTTAACAAGCCATATTCTACGTACAAATGTTGTTATTTTAGATATTAGAAAAGCATATCAAAATCTATTCTAAAAGTTTCAGCAAATTAGATAGCACCATTGTATTTTAAAATGCAGAATGCAGCAAGTCTGTCATGCCATTGCACTTTGTGCATAGCATACCCCCATAAAGCGTTATTTGTCTGCATGTTGTTGACAATACTTTTCACTTGCCTAAATCATGAGGCTTAATACGCAAGATAAATTGAGACAAGCAACTTATTTCCTCTCCAAATCTGGTATTTTTCTTTGGCCAAAATAGTAAGCACATTGGTGCTTAGCTGCAATAGTTATAAATACCTGTTACTTATTTAATTTTATTTTTTTGTGTGTGAATCTATGTTCTGTTGTCCTATGATCATTGAACTAAAAATAGTTCTTAGTATGCTAAGTGACTTTTCATGGTAACCTCTTGGCAGGCTTTAATCTGCATTACAAGCTAGAAATCTTTGAAGCTTATCATGTTTAATTTACACAGTAAAGCCCAGAGAAGAGGTAAAAGAAAAGAGAGGGTGGAGGAGAATTTCAGCAGAATAGGCAAATTCAAAGGCAGTCAGTCACATTACATGGTTAGGGTCTTGTGTGTATTCAGCTCTCCATATGTTAGTTTAGGCTAAAGAATGAATAAAACAACCGCTAAGCAAAATTAACTAGCGGCAATAAGTAATGATGCCAGGAAAAGAATCCTGGAGATTAAATCTGTGTCTTTGTTTATAGAGTATTTTATTTATTTTAAGGATACCACTGCTTATTTGTCATATTTTAAAATACTATCCATTAGCTATGGTTGTGCCTGATGTATATGAGGAGATACATACATATATCTATATCTATATGTATATATAGATAGAAAGATATTTAGGATTGTTATCTTTTTTGGGTGGAAGGGGTGACATGCACTAGACTATATCAAACTATGAGGATTGGGAACAAGAATACATTATATTCTGACCAAACTGTGCATCTTGATCCTTTCAATAAAGATAGTGAGGTGAAGATAGTGTTAGCACAAAGTAGTACAGTTAACCTTGAAAGCAATAATCTAAAGCTTGCTATGCAACTCAGTATTTTGGAATGCAATTCCATTTACTAATTAAATACAAACAGGTTCAGTTATTAAAGCAAAACATTTTTAATTCCTTTTTTGAGTTTGCCCACTATGAAGTCAATTGCAAAGAGGCACTTACTTGAATGTTGATCTGTTTGTCGTGGAGCACTCTCTGCAGCTCCAGAAGGCTGCCCTTCAGAGTCCTGAGCTTCGCTGCCAGCTGCTCTGCCTCATCCTTGGTGTGAGCTTTACCCTCCATAAGCAAGTTCTCGTTGTGCACAGACAGCTCAGACAAGGCCACAACCTTCTGCTCTATTTCAACCAGCATGTTCTGCAGCAGCAAAAACAAAGATGCAAATTCATACATTTTCCAGCATCTGCCACACTTTCTCGCAAGGAGACTTTTGGCCTACGTCACCCTCCGTCAAGCTAAAGGCAAGATAGATTTTCATTGCTTTGCTTTCCAGTCCCTTCCAAAGTCATTAGGAATAATATGCTTGCAAACCTTTGCATTTGTCAGCTTTGTCTGTAATATTTTTCAAAAAAAGAAATTGAAAAGTTTAGCTGCTGGAAACAAAGAATTTGTTGTAGAGAAGATGTTCTTTATTTGCACATTAATGGTAACTGTGGCTAAGATGCTAGACTGACATCCAAAATGACAAGAAAGAGAGAGCAGAGAGTAAGAGTTACTTCTTTCCTCTTCTTCCATGTATATTCAGTGAAGTCCTTCCCACCTCCTCCTATGTGTTGCTCTGGCTGCACTGATAAGCTTCTCTTTAACTATTTGCTCTTTCTGATTGGTGCGTGATGGACTTAAGGATTTCTGTATAATCCTCTTTAGTCTAAAGAGAGACTTACATGGCAAATCTCTGGCATGTTTATTTTCAAAAGCTACTGTCTTGATGTTCTATTAATTGTCTATGTATTACAGACATGAGGCATATTCTCATCTTAGAAATTACAAGTTCATGCTATTCTTATACAGAAATTTGTCCTGATATCACTTGTTTTGGTTTCCATAGCATCTGTCAAGTATAAACTTAGAAATGTTGCCCTTTAAAGAATGTGTGCATGATAAGATGGGTAGAGCCACTACAAGAGTGGAAAAAAACCCCCAAACATACTGTATTAGGATTTTAAGAACCAGAAAATTAATTGCTTGAATAGCATTACCTCTAATATTGAGATTTTAATATTGAGATTCCTACAGGTTATATTTAAAAAATACTGATTTCAGTTCACAGGGTTTATCTATATGAAACAAACAGCTTTCAAGGACATGCAATGAAAGAATATTTGAGAATATTTGAGTTAGTTGAGATAGTCCATAGCTTGAGAAGAGAGGAAACTTCTGTTCATTTCTTCTCTTCTTTTTTTTTTTTTTTTTTTTTTGAATTGTGATCATGCATAATTCTAGATCCTTTTAAAAGTGGGAACCTTGCAAGTAATTTGGGAATCTGGATGTTATAGGTGATCTTGCTAGTAAAAGTATATGCAATTACTGCTATTGCTGCAAAATTGTCTTGTAGTCTGATAATAATAAATGCTGGTTATTAGACTTTACTTTAGAATCTGGGAAGGGATTGCTTGTGAAAAAGATATACTACTGTCCCAATTATCACTGCTTAACAGGAGTGTGTACTTTAGCTGGAAAATTAGGAGTAAAAAAGGAACATTTGCAGGTGTTCTTATTTTTGTAAGTCAGGTGTTCAACAACAGGGCATCTCCAGGTTGGGTGGAGCTAAAACAGTATGTGAGGCAAATATGCTGCCTTTAAAACAAAACAGACAGCCACCTTAAAGATTGTAGAACTTTGAATATCTGTGTGATCAGGGTATCCGGTTTTCCTACTGTTATGCTTTCCTCCTCTTTTTAAAGCCCTGTCTGTAGTCTTTCAATAACAACTGAAGAATAGGCCTTTATTTCAGTCATTGCTGATTAAGCTAACTGAACATATGTAGCATGCTTAGGAGATGAGAAACCTCCTGATGAGGAGATGAGCCACTAAGAAGCCGGCCCACCCAACTCATTAATGTTCTTAACATTAATGTTCCATATTTGCTCCATTTTTATCTTTGCATTCAGACAAATCTATGCCTATCCTGTTCATCTAAACACTATGTGGTTAACAATTTTACCTGACAGTCTACTAGCTGAGCTTCCATGTCCATAGGTTCCTCAGCAGTAACCAAGGATGTGTCCAGTGTAGCTCTGGTATTGAGCAGCCAGTGATCAAGCTCATCAGCTTCTGAGCGGTATCTTTGAAGGGCCTGCTCTTGTCGCTGCTCTTCCAGCTGCTCATTCAGTTTCTCCTAGAGGTACAAATTATGACCTGTTTATTTTTTTAAAGAAATACTCAATAAAACACCTTTTTCCCTATTTCCAGCATTTTTAAGACAAAATACACTTCTTTCATAAGTTAGAAAGTTTTACAAAAATGTTCTTTCTGATTACTTACCATCTGGTAATTACAAGTGAGGCTGACTAAAACTGAAGAATATTATATCGTTAAGAGGGATTATGAGAAGTTAGCAGAACTTTAAATTACTTATTTTTATTAGAAGCAAGCAAGACTGACTGGCTAAGGACTTGCTGAAAGTGGCTCTCAATCTCAAGTCTGGTTCAAAAATCCACTTCTGTGGTTTTTTACTGTACCTCTAATAGCTGTCGTTTTCCATGTGCTTTCATTCGAATCGTGGCCATCCGCTCTGCTAAGACTGTGAGAGTGGACTGCAGTGCCAGCTGATCAGCGACTTCTGCATCCAATGACTCTAAAATTAGCTCATTTGCTAATGTTTCTTGAAGTTCACCAATTTCTTCTTGTAGCATTATCATTTCATCCATCAACGCCTATTTCATAATGACAGCAGAAAAATTCATTGTTTTCTACATTCATGAGAAGATAAGAAGCTATATTTGTAATACAAAAGTGAAGATGACAGTGCTCCAAGGGAACTTAAATACAATACACAGTGCAACATGTCCATATCATAGAATCATAGAATGCTTAACACAGGAAGGGACCTCAGACGTCATCTAGTCCAACCCCCCTGCACATGCAGGGTCATCAGTGTTTCATAGTCCTAGGATTCAGAAGACTTGAATTGTGCCTTTAGATACTTAGGCTCAGAACATACATCTACTAATTGAAGTATGAATTTCATTTTTCAACTTGAATTTCAAACTTTCATCAAAATAAATCTGTTAAAAAATTATACATACCAGCTTCCAATGAACTTCCATGTCTTTTCTGGAGGACATCCTCCAGCATATATCCAGAAGATATCAGTATAAAACACGGCAATGACTCAGAAATAACAACTAGATGGGGAAAACCCAGCAGTACACACAGACATGTGGACACTAACTGGAAGACAAGTTCCTGTGAAAATTCTTAATCTAGAATTTTTAAAACAGTTTCCAAGATACCGAGGAAGAGCTGTTACATAACTGATCTCTTAGAGCAGATCCTTTCATGACAGTTGCAGGCAGTACATGTACACATGTACAAGTATATGTGACTTCACACATTACTACAAAAGTCATGCTACATCATGCTTGAAGCATTTTCCATTACAATGCACTATATTGGGGAGTGTTCTATAATATGCTTTTTGGTTTTGTTTTGTTGTTGTTGTTGTTAGAAGAATGTGTAGATCAACAGCAAAACCAGCATCCAACATTAGGTCTTTAACTTTTCCTAAATATATTTTGCTGAAAACTGCAAAACATATCAAAGAAAAGATCTGAGCCTACAGTTTCTGTGCAAGTATAATGAAAAGGAAACCAAATTAAACCAAGGTGAAAATCCTATTTCATACCTTTTCCTATTTAATGAAATGATGATATGAAAACAATTTTGAAATAAAATAATGGCTCATTGTTTCATCTACACATAGAATAATGATGGAGACCTATGGTGGTTGTATCTTTATACATCTTGCCTACATAGATTACAGAAAGATAGTACTGCCTCTCTGAAATACTCCCTGTGAGTTCTTCTGAGGATGAATATCTGCTAGTGAAATATCTATTTTTACTTTAGTGAATGCAGGTCTTTTTTTAGCTTGAAACTGTGAATATCCAGGAAAGAAGCCTTGAAAATTGAAACAGACATGGAAAAACCATCATCTTATATTCTAGGTTGATACAGTATGTTTGAATCCCACATTCTCCTTTCTTTATTTGTCAGAAATATTGATATGAAAAATCTGAAGAGGGAAATCTGCTTTATGAATACAACAACAGCATTTTACCATGAATAGATATTACATTCTCGTTATGAAAATATAGTGAAAAATATTCAAAGCATGATTTTGCAAGAATTTTCTTTGCAGGGCATTTTATTGTGTTTTTTTTTTTTTTTTTTTTTTTTTTTTTTTTTTTTTTTTTGCTTAAAGCAGCTAAGATTGAATTTACAACCTTTTAAAATGTCTAAGTAGTAGTTATAGTAAATTTGGACACACAAAAAATAGACAAAGGCTGATAGCAATGATGCTGCACAGGGTCACTAAGGGTCACTGAGCAGAAACTTTGACAAAACATTTTGCTGAAAATCTTGTTTGGACAAACTGCCTTACTAGTTTAGCTCTCCTAAAATGCTACTCTTTCAAATTCAAAGGAATCCCTATTATACCAACTCTAAAAGAGCAGGATGTCCAAAAGGAAACACACACAGCTAAAGGAAAAAGTTCAGGTGGCTTCTGCATAACTTTGGGGCAGCCAATGTTGAAGACTGCCATTATGTAACAAAAAAAGGATCAGTAAAGTACAAGCTCTCCCTCGCGCACATGTAAGTTTTTACCTGATGTTCAGCCATCTGGCTCTCCGGGCTCTTGCCTGGCTCCAGACTCTCATTTAGTTTCATCTCAATGCTCTCCATTTTTGTGGATATAGACTGGAGTGTGTCTTGGTATTTCTGCTGACGTTCAAGAGCCTCATAGAGGGTGCGCTGCTTTTCACTGATCTGAAGAGAAATGGAAGCCATAAATTCTATTTTCTGATAGAGGATTTGCTCTTTCTTCTTTCCTTCACACATCGCTAGGCTTTTGGAACTAAAACCAAAAACTATTCACTTAATTTTTGAAAAGGATAAATTAAAATAGTTGCACAAAAATATTTCTCCGTTTAAAGACCCTCAATCAGATTCTAGATTCCATGACTGAAAAAAAGCCATTTGAATAAGCAGGGGAAAAAATCATGTACATTCTCACAACTTGTTTTATATACTCATACACATATGTGCATGCACATAATTTGCTAGAGGCATAGTTCCTGACACAGTAACTATGGAGTAACTGATACTGTGTCTCTGCAAAGAATTACAATTAATGTCATAAAATCTAAACTTTGGTCATTGTCATACATCACTGAATGATTATGCTGCAGTAATACACAAACATGTGCCAAGTATATCCTGTATTTCCCAGAAACTGGATTCTTCACTGTTTCTGCCAACTTATTCAGTTGGCAAAACACGTTGATTTGTGTGTTAGGCTGTGGAATATAGTCTGACAACAGTCAACATTTTTGAAAGCAACTATCAGAATAAATGATTCTTACTTTTTATTTATGGGAGTCCAAGGCTATCCATACTTTCAAAAAACAAAAGCCTCTATTTTGTAATATTGTCATATAATATTGTAACTGACAAACGCTGTTGCCCACAGCACACAAAGAAGTGCACACAGTGCCAAGAAGTGCAAAGAATATTAGTTGAGCAGGGTTTTTACATTTTATTCCTTACAACCTAGCCAATCATTTTTCTCTCTTCCAATGCAGACTTACCACATTCTTCAGTGTTTCCCAGGAACGCTGCAAGTCATCCAGCTTGGCACTAGCAGCTGATTCTAAGCCTGGCTCATAGAACTCCTGGGTAGCTGAAGTGCTGGGCTGAATTTTAGCAGCTTCTGTCTGCAACTGTTCAGCAGATAAGGCTTGGTAATAAGCAATGTCCTACAAGCATGAAGCACATTATTGCACTTTAACAATCAAGGATACTACATAAGAAATTTCCCCTACACAGTACTCCACTGCATATATCCATATCTATACAAGGCTTTGACTACTTATACTTGTTCTTGCCTTACCAATAAATAAATAACGACACCTCCAAACATCACAGTTAACAAATATTTACAAGTAGTTTAGACTCAGTATGGATTGCAGTGAGTATTAGCAGGGACGCTCAGGAGGCAACTGTGGCCAGATATGGAAAGGTTGGTTGGAAGAGCACAAACTGGGAGGTCTTACCTCTAAATGGGTTAAACTCATCACATACGGGGTATATGTTACGATTGGTGGAAAAGTATATAGCTGTAATGCCTCTATCAGAGAGAGGGCAAAAGAAGAACCAAAGACGATGATTGTGAAGAGCCAGTTAAAGAGCAGCAAAGAGAATTAAACACTGGCTTATGATAATCCTCTAAAGGAGTATTTTTGATAGTTTTACAAGTAAAAGAGTGGGCATGGGAACCAAAAGCAGCTAGGAAAACAGGCACATAATCAAAATGGCCCTCGAATAAGCTAGTGTGCAAACTCTTTCTTACCAAATTTGTTTATTTAGTGCATGGGACAGTTTAGCGGCTGCCAAAACATGTTGTCTTGTAAGATGAGTTAGTCCTATTAATTTTAATTTTCTTGTAAGATGAGTTAGTCCTATTAATTTTAAAGAAAACATTTTATTGGAATACGAATGCAGCTTCTTTCTTTAACGTGAGTTTAGACTACCTGCAAAAGAGGCTTTGCTCATTTTCAGCTTACAAGACTGTAGCTCAAACTTGGAAAACTAGATTACAGTGAAAATTCATTTCTGAATCTGAAAAGAAGGGTTTAAATGTTGAAGCATTTTGTAAGTAAACCACTTGATTATGGAATGTTCTTCCGCTTATTGTTTAGCAAGTGAAGCTCATTTCAACACTAACCACACTGAATAAACTTTTATCTGCTTGTGCTCTAAATCATTGTAACACTAGCAACCTTCTTTCTTTCAACTATTTCTAAATGAAAGACATATCTTTTTGTTGAATTTCTGCACACTAAATTAGAGCTAAAACGTGCTTATGGTACAACAGCCTCTTCATTGAAAATATGTAAGTTACTTAAGTCATTAACCTGATTTTTCATTCCTGGAGGAACTTAATGAACTGACCCTACATCCAACTTGTTTATTAGGAAGCAGGTTATTCTTGTTTCTTTTCATTCTTTTTGAACAGTTATTTAATTACTAACAATGTCATAAGATTTTTGTGCTGAAATATGTAGCTGCTCCTCTACTGTAAGTACACTTTACTAGGAAATATCTGATTACCTGAAAACAGGCCATTAGAAAGATCTTCATAGATTCATTATATAATATTCTATTTTTGCAGTCATGGAATTATGTCAGCTCACAGAAAAGAATCAGCTTATATTTAGCAACTTCTACAGCACCTCATGCATCTTTGAAAGAATTAGTTGAAAGCTTGCCAGAACTTCCCTAATTCTACTCAGTCACGTAAAACACCACCACTGTGCTTTTTAAGTCTGCAGTGCTCAATTTTGGAAACAGTCATAAATGCAGGAGCAAATAAACACACCATCCAAATCCCACAACATGAAGAACTCAGTGAAGTGGTGGCTGCTCAGAAGGCCAATTTCTGAATTTCAGCACATTACATGTGTCCCTTTATGTGCATGATGCTCCCAGTGCTGGTTCACTGCTCACAGCTTAACTGGTGATGGTGCACATGTGTTCCTACAAGAAGTGTTGCAGCTCTCAGCTTTAGACTTAAATTGGAACGTAAGTGATTTCCTTGATCTGTCTCATTACCTCTTAAAATGGACCATCATTGAAAGTAAGGAACAAACACTGTTCCTACACAACGCATGAAAGTTAATATATGTAATGGTATTAAGCAGAAGCCATCACACTGTGGCTTTAATGCGACAATGAGGATGGTATCGCAGGATACACGCACATGGACAAAATGCAGTGTTTTGTCATAGAAACTCCAAAATTGCCTTTTCTCTCAGGATGCATGATGTCATTGAGAATTACTATGAAAACGGAAATTAGACTATAAATACAACAGAGTAGTTACATGGAAGACTTTTGTAATGGTCACTTTAAACTTATTTTTAGAAATAGTGCTTTCTTAATGACAAATTTACACATTTCAGACTCATTAGCCAACATTTGTATTCACTCTGAATTAGAAGGATCTTAAGGATCTGACTGAATCTGAGTATTCAATTAGACTCGAGCTTGAGCCTCAGTTCCTTGGAGCTGTAGATAAATATTATTTCAAAGGATGAAAGAAACCCCATATGGAATGGAGCTGCGCATGTCTCTGAGAAAGAAAGCTGAACGAATGCCAAGAGGAAGGTACCTGGTTAACGGAAGCATCCGCATTAGCCACAGGTGACGGGGAGCGACAGGCAGGTGGAGAAGAAATTTCGCTGTTGGTTCCCTCCTCCCCAGACTCCTCGGTGACAGGGGAGAGCAGTGTGTGACAGCGACCAGCAGTCATCTGCCACAGGAAGAGCAACCAGAGCACAGGAAGATCAGTCAGTTACCTCACTTAGGCTGGACTTAGGCTGAAATCAACTGAAAAAATTAACACGTGGCCACCTGATATTATTTAGTCATTCTTCATGCTCTTTTATTTAACAGCTTATAAACCTGATGAATTAATAGTTGTATTTCCTTTTCATACTTCAGTATGATCACTCTGATACTCCTAAGGATACTCTTGTATCCTAAGGAATTAAAATACATAGGTGTCAGGTCAGTAATAGTAAGTTAGAGTGTCACCTGGTACAATCTGCATTTAAAAACACTCTGGAGGGTGACAGAATGGTGCAGTATTAGCCTTGGTGTCCAGGCACAGTTAGGAAACATGTAGCTTCATGTTTTGAATCAATTTCAGTCACCTAGCATCAGCATATACTTTTTGCTTCCCCAATGCTGTGATACAGTGATAACCCCTGAAATCCCCCCTCCATTTCTATTCAGGCAAACACCCCAATGACATCGGGACCTCAGCAGTATGTTTGTAATAAGGTCCAGTTAGAGGAAGAAAAAAAAAAAAAAAAAGCTAGATTAAATCAAACATAAGGTAAGTACTTTTGCTGCCTTCATTTCCACATACCGTGTACATTGTCAATTATTATATCAGCTTTTAAAAAAACAAGTTTTAAAAAGCCTAAAACCTAAACCCTATCCATGGCTACATATCATGAAATAATATTTATTTTGTTTTTCTCTTACTCCTGCCACTCAGTAGTTTCTCAGTGTTTGCTGTGGTATATGTAGGAGTAAAAAAAATAATAATAATAAAGCAGGTAGTATCAGCATGTGTGCTGACTTCTGCATGCAAAAGCACTGTATTTGTATCTTATTACAGACAACTTTGAGGAGTATTTGTTAAATAAATTCATCCTATACCATTGAGCCTCGAAAAGCCATATAAAGCAAAATACTGCAGTAAGGGGAAGTTGTAGCTTGTTTGGTTCGCCACACTCCAGCCATTTCAAAAGCAAAATACAAACACAAGCTGTGGCAACTCCCTGCGCGGGCGTGTTGCAATGATGCAGAAGCAAGCAGCCCCGATAAGGAGCCCTGAGAGCAACGCAGCGCTTACCATGACCACTGAGGGGTGAGCAGCGTGTGCGGGGAGGAGCTCCGAATCCAGCTCCTCCATCCCTTCTGAAAGCCCTTCTACTTCGGTCACCGTCAGCAGCATCGTGGCATGCTTTGCTTTCATCGTGAGCATCTTGCACTTTGAGTTCAAAGAGGCAATTTGCTCCTGGTATCCTTTGATCTTCTGTGCCAGCTCCTGAGGAAACATTTTTTTTCCCTACTGCAGAGGTAGCAAATAAAGGCCATAGGACTAGTGGCATTTCAGCTTCCGTGGAAAAGCCAGCGCTCTCCTCCAAGACCAGCCAATAAAATCATCGCGCTGCCTCTCGGAAACCCTCCACACGCTGCAGCGCTAGCTGCAAAGCAGGATGTTGACTGTGGAAGGAACAAGTCAGGCTGCATCTCACTGCACTGCGAAACCACAGAGCCCAGAGCACTGAAGTGAAACCGGAAAAGTGCTGTGAAAGCCTCGGTCTGACTATCACAGCAGAGAAAAATAAATCCTTGCATTCAAGCCTGAACCTCACACAGATTCTATGAGCTCCACATTACAGCAAAAGGGAATGTCTCTGGCTCTTTTTCATTCTCTTTTCGTCTTTTTTTCCATTTTTTTAAGAAAGACAAACTCTCCCAGATGGTGCATGCCATGAAAATGAGGTCATGTGATTATCGGAAGTGTGAAAAATGCATCATTCAGCCCTCATGACAGACAATACAATGAACAGTTCAAACAATAACTCACAGTGGTTTAATAAAGACAAATGTAATATGGACAATAACCCACATAAAAGAATAAACGCAGGCTGGGATTGCTCTTTGCAAGTGTTTGGAAAGTGTTAAAGGTCTCCAGAGCTAAAAGCATTAAAAACCTCCAGAGTTAAAACTCAATACAATATTTCCACTTCTTCAAAAAGAATTGGCAGATGTGGACAAAAGCAGGATAAATTTTAAAAAACTGAGTTTTTTTATTCTTAAGAAATGGAAATGGTCTATCTACTTGGAGAACATCATCATCAATTTAAGTTTAGTCAGAACAGAAATAGAAAAAAATAATAGTTTTAGAAATTGTTTCTTATTCTCAAATACTTTGTGCTGCTGCCTAGTTTAGCATCCAGCTTCAAAGCAACAAATTCATAAACTAAAAAAAAAAAGAAACAGTGGGAGGGCTTTCACATTTCTGACAGGGCTATTTTATTCTGTCCTCCTGGAGATTCAGTAACATGATAGATCTTTGATTTACAAAGTGAAAACAGTGCTTGTAGAAGCCTGCCTGCCAACTCAGTGACTGTTCATTCAAACGTGTATTCCACTTTATTTCTGCTTTATTTCTTTTCTTCAAAATGCTCATTTTCACAGACAGGGAAAACAATAGCTGTTGCAAGAGTCATACACTACTTCTCAATGAATGATAATTCTCAAGGGCTAAGTGGGAAATCAATCATCATTCAATATAATTTCTTAACGCCATCAGTGTTACTGAGATCTAACATTAACTCCACTAAGTATCCAACGTTCTTCTCTCAATTAAAAACAAAGGAAAGAAGAAAAAAAAAACAAAAAATGGAAAAAATATATCAAGCTAAAAATGTAATGTAAGCTGACAACAGTCTGTGGTTGCATAGACATCTTCTAGTTAGTGTATGTTCATTAAAATGGTACAGAAGCATAGAAAGAGTTGACTACCTTCTCACATGAAAGTGTAAAGAAATAGGCTTCTGTACACACAATTCTAGATAGTAAATACTGCTGTATACATGCAGGGTACTACAAGATTTCTGCAAATCAGAGTGTACTTTCCTTCATTCTTCCTCCTACTGTCATTCTAAGCATAGATACTATATATATCCCTTGAAGTTCATGTGGGTTTCAGCAAGGAAACTGGTAACATCTTATCTTTAATTTAGAACACACGTAATAAGCATCTTGATAGACCTGCTTTTAAAAGATGTAACAACATAGCGTTCAATACATCCCCCTTATACACTTGCGACCTATTCTATAATTATTCAGCAAACAAAATAAAGGACAAAAGCATGGATATCTGAGTATTTACATTCAGTATTTTGAATTAGACTCTATATGGAAGATCAATTGTACATTATTTAATGCCATATTGAATTCATGCTTTTTTCACCAAATCCTTTGTAATATTTTCTTCTGATAGAAAACTAAATGCTGTCTGAGGAAAATTAACTCCTTATCCCTAAATGTGGGAAGCTCTCAAGTAGGAAACCCTGCCACTCTGTGGCTTATGCTGTCATGTGTAATAGAATAAAGCTGCAGTCTTCCTACAGATCTTTTAGAGGACTGCTAACTACTGGACTCATCCAAACGGGGGCAAGCTTTAAGATTCCCCATTTTTAACTCCTTCCTGTATGCAGCATTCTTACCATGTATTGCTGAAGCAACTTCCCTGCGTTAGCTGCTCCAGGACATTTGTTAACAGAATTCTTTCAATTCAATCCTAAAAAAGCAGAAGTGTTTTTAAGATACCCGCTCTGCACTTGTATGGTGTGCCTTTTGCAACAACTAGGTTGAAAATGAGCATAACAATACTGGCAATAGACTTTTAGGTTATATTACATAATGCAATATGTAACTTTGTGAATCAAAGATAAAGAAATGGTGCCACCTGGTGTCAGAATGGCACACCAGTGATTCTATTTTTTGATCCCAAAGCACACGGCAACAGACACTGGGAATGGTAAAAGGGTCCTTGCAATCCAGTGCCAGCACAGAAGAGGAGGTTTCACAGACAGGATCCTGACTCACAGGAGCTCTAGAAATCCATAAGTCTGAGGGCAGGACAGGAAAAATCTCTTCCTAGCAATGATGTGGCAGGAAGTCTTTGGAGTCATCCCTGCAGAATTTCCTCCTATCTTTCCTGTCTTCTTCTCCTACTCTCTTTCCTGTGATTTAATCCCTTGGTGTTTTCTAACAGAACATTAATGGAAAGGAAATAAAGACTTTGGGATGTAAATCACTACGTTGGCACTGAGCATCTGATTAAATGTTCAGTGTTGTCATTTGGAACCGTCCTTTGTCTGAGGTAAAAGATATAAAAATTGTATCTAGTTATGTCCATATAAAAATATTTTTCTTTTAGCTCTCCCTTAGTTATATATTGCTTTAGTCCATAATAATATTGACCTCAGATTGGAATACTTTTAACTGAGTGCAGAAAAGAATACTTTGAACTGTACTAACAGCATGAGTTTCCTCTATGATACTTGTTCATCTGCTCAACTAGTCTTGGAAGATACCTGAAAAACTGCTCAGCAAGCCTCTGAGACTTGCTGAGGAGAAACTTTCCTGGGCAATGAGCTGCCCATGAGCCCATGTTGTTGCACAGTGGTTCTCCTACCTCATGGTGTGAAATCTGGTCCTGGAGTTCCTGGATGTTACTGGTTGCTATTGGCTTGTCTTGGATCTCACGATGGGCGCTCTCTATCATTTGCTGTAAATGCTTCATCTCTTGCTCATACTGCTCATACTGCACCACCGCTTCCTAAAATAAACGAACAAACAAACATTTCACAGTCCAAGCATCCCTTCTGAAGGGATGCAAAGTTCCACCCTGTGTGTGTGCACGTGCCTGCATTATGTTGCACTGCTGGATGGCTGTGTGCTGCAGCCGGCTGGCCTCCTCCTGCAGCCTGAGAGCACTGTGACATATCGGCAGGCTGGTGACCACTTCTTCAGGAATCCTCAAGGCGCTCTGGCAGACCTGAACTGCGTGGACTTTCGGCTTTAATGATTCCATTTCAGACAAGAGATGCTAGAAACAAAGTCAACGGCGCAGTAGATCAGTTTTGCAGAGCTCACAAAGCACTCAGTGTAGCAAATGATAAATAAACAAGAGTTCAAGCAGTAAAGCAAACAATGAATTTGATTATTTGGCTGTTAAATGTAATGAAATCAAGACATGCTCTCTGGAGTTACCCACATATTCTTCAGTAAACACTACTTACAGTACTGCTTAAGCAAAAGGTCTACATAATAGGAAAAAAAAATCATAAAAAGACATAGTAAATGCTACTAAGTGTCTAAACATGAAGATACTTCTGTTAACTTATTTGAAAATAGCTTAAAAATCCACACAAAGCCATGTTAAAGTCATTTATGCACACATGTATTTTAATACTAAAAGCTGAGCTAAGCTCCCTGGTGAGACACAGAAGCACTCTTTTCAAAGCAGTGCATTAATACTGTTGTGTTCACAGTCTTCATCTGGAAATGTAAGCCATGTTTGAAAATGTTCTTTGAAATTCAAAAGGCAATCAAATGGAACAAAGCACAGCTACACAGAGCTCCTTCCCCTTGGATAATCATGCACCAGGTGCCATTGTTAGTAATATCTATCCTTTTCACAATATTCGCCCAAACTGTCTCTTCTTATGTATGAGAGAGGTATCTATGGAATGACCAGAGAATAGATGGGACCGGTGTTCTTTTTATCTTCACTGGAGAGTTTAATGCATTCACCATACGTAAAAGGAGGGAAAATAAGAAAAGAAAAAGTCAAGGTTGAAAGGAAGGACCTTAGAACACTAGAAAAAGCTTTTAAGTTCGAAAGAGTTAAATCAGCTAGACAACACGTGCCAAAAAAGGATGAAGAGCCCAGTTGTCTCCCTTCTGCTATATCATATTCAGAAAGGTATCTCAGTGTGTCTGACGTGTATGCTGATGAGAGGATTAGGGTTTGCTCTTTTTCTGAGCCTTTACGAAACAGGAAGGATGATCTAAACAGAGATTGGATATATTGATCTATTCTTTTGAGGCATCACTACTGAGGTTCTCCTCTGACAGGCCCCATACACCAGGGAAAAAAAAATGCTTAGCATGGAACAGACACTTCGCTGCACGCCAAGCCTGGAGCCAGGACCTCCTCTCTGGTGACACAGGTGGGTCGGGGTACAGCCCCTTTCCACCTGCACAAGGATAGTGACGCTCACAGAGACAAGATAAGGATGACACACAAACAATAGTTTCTAATTCATGTTGGAGAGTTTGATACTCTCCATATAGGTGCTGTGTTTCACTTATATTCTTCAGTGCCATGTACTGAGATTTGGCTGCAAGTCCCAAGCAGTACAAACACTGTATTTAAATCAAGGATCAAGGTTATAAAGATATGTAAGTTGGCATTTTACCTACACTTTTTTTTTCCAGATTTTAATCTTTTCCAAAGACAAAGTAGACATGTTGATATTCAGTTTGTAATAGAAAACGAGGGCAGTTAAGGGTATGTATTAGCTTGCTGCAAGAAACTTGTGAAGTTCTGTCTTAGGTTATTTTTTTCTTGTTGTGAAACTAACACCAAAAATAACAAATTAACGAATCTCTATAGTAGGTCAGGTTCAAAACAGAAAGCAGTAACAATTAATGTAGGCAATTCATCTATACTGAACTTCAGAAAATCTGAGTCTTTTTCTTATCCTTCTATTTGACTATTGGTAAACCTAGCAAGTCACACTTTCTTGCAGGTTTATCTGTAAAATGGTGAAAATAACCTATACTTCTTTTTAAAGTGCTTTGAGAAACTGCTGCCAGCAAGTACTGGGTAAGAGCTGGTCTGCATTACTAATAATTATACGTTATTTCATAATAAGATATTTTATTAAAAAACAGGATAGGTAATTGTATTAATACAGCATCATTATATAATAATTATATAATAATTATATAATAATTATATATTATTTATTGTAAAATAAACTAAGCTTAGCTTGTTAATATGGATTAGAGTTTGTTTGGAGGCACAAATCTCAGAAAAACGAGACTATCGTTACTAAATCAGCATAATAACAGACCCATAGAAGATTATGTTTCAAACATTCCCCTGAGGGAATAATTTATCCCATTCCATTCCTCATTCCCTTGGCAGTAACTTGTGGTTAGAGTCAGATATCATAGAATCACCTTAAGGAACACCATCAACATGGTCATACTAGCATTTGTAATTCTTTGTGTTTGCTCACACTGTTGCACAGTTCCAGCTTTGAGGTCTTGCCCTTTTACCTGTCTGTGAGAAAGCTGCTCTTTCAAGCTCAGTCGCCCAAGCTCTGGAGAGGTCATGGTGGCCTGGGCTTGCTCCAGAGCAGCCTGCAGAACTCGCAGTTCAACTTCAAATTTTTTCATATCCTGTAACAGATTTGATTTAGAGATGAAAATGCAAAAAAATAAAGCAGTATAAAAGTATCTGCCCAGGTGGTGTAACCGTGTCCTTTATTGCAATGACAAAACTAGCTGACAATTTTTAACAGTGAAAAGTAAATGTTTAAAATATTGGAAAATTTTCAGTAATAAAAGTGTCTGAAAAAGAGAGGTCTCCAAATCAGAGTTACTATTCTAATTGTCTCCTCCAGTTCAAATTCAGCATATACTTAATAAAATAATTGCATAGAATTATAGGCCTAGAAAGTACCTTAAGAAGTACCTTAGAAAGTACCTTAGGAAGTACCTCTATCTTCCCATTATGTAATAAGACTGGGCATAACTACCCATGTTATCTTTAGAGTGTGTTTTTAGAGATTGCGAGCAATGGAGCCCTTCTTATCTTATATCACATTGTTTCTGCATTATGACTTTGTTGAATTCTTTTTTTGGTAGGCTAAGCTGAACCTATTTTTTGTTGCAATGCAAACCCTCTACATACTAACCCACTAACAACACACATGAAGCACAAATTCACACATTAGAATAATCCTGTTTACCATCTTTTCTCATTAATTTAAATTAATGAGAATTTAAATTCACATAATTATTATCACTATTCTTGGATTTTTATTTCCCCCCTACTCTCTTTCCCCCTCTAGTTTGGCCCACATCTTTCTTCAAGTGCAAAGATGGCTACAATTGTAATCTTGAAACTATTGTACATAGGTTAAAAGCACATACTTTTATTTATTCCCAGCATTTTTTTTCTAACAATGACACATTGTTCTTTCGTTTTGTGTGGGACTGTGATGGGAATTACTAAATTCACATCTTTTCTACAGAGTGCCTCTGGTAGATCCTCATCATGTAGCTCCTCATCATGTAGATCCTCATCTACGTGTAGAGCGTTGTTCTATCTAAATGCAGCAATTTGTGCTTGTTCCTATTGAATACCAGACCTTTAGCTGTCAGACAGCATTAAAAAAAGTTTTTTCCACACACCTTGGCAGCATCTTGGAGATTTGGCAGCCTCATTTTGATAACTTGCTGTAACTCCTCTGTGCGCCGCCCCAGTTCCAACACTTGCTGAGACATTCCTTCCGTACAGTATACACTTGCCAGATACTCAATCCTCTTGCTCATGGCCTCAAGATCATCATGAATCTCTCCAGACTCTTCAAGCATAGCCTAGAGAGATAAGAATATAATCAAACGCCACTGCTGAGGTTCAAAATAAACTCATTTTTAAGTAAACTTTGAGCAGCAAACCTCAATTCACACACATTTGTAAACATGTGATTGAGTTCTGCTGATTTCCTGTAAGGAATCACCTTAAGCAATATATTTAATAACAGGTGCATGCTGAAGTGCTTCAGCTTACAGAGATGGGGAATAATCATGAACTTTTGACAGCTGCATTCCTCAGCACATTTACTGATTTGCTATAGCTACTGCCCTGTAGCATTACAATCTACACAGTTTATAGATAACGTCAGGGACAACAATCATTAATACTGCCTAAAAAGTGGCTAGCAAAATGTTCTTTGGGATAGCATTGGGTACTCCACCTGCTATCAATTCTTAAAGTTAGGGAAAAGCTGTAACAAAAACAAATGCAACTTCCAGCTTTCCTCAGGATAAATCTGCTGGAGGGTCCTACTCAGAAAAAAATGTGATTATACTATCCTGTCCTAATATAAGCGAAGTTGACACATAATAAACATATGTGTATACATATGCATATATCAATCATAATTCATGGTATTTTATTTGGCCATTAGTGAGACATGAGCATTCTTTCATTTAATGTCAAAGAAAGATATCAGATGAAAACAGAAACTATATTAACTTTAATTTAAACCACATAATTACTTTGAGAAAAAAAAATAAGCCTGAAAACTGTGTTTGGTCAAAACTGAATGATTTTGAACTGAACGTTCATAATCTAATATTGAAGACGGATAATCTAGTGCCAGAAAAAAAGAATTAGCATGACTGCTTTCTAGAGCAGTACTAGCTGCAATGTGGTCCTCAGCATCATGCTATCTAGTCTGATCACACTGCTCAAAAGTTCCTATGAAGCCAGTGAAGCCAAGGAAGCATGGAGATTAAGCTTGAATAATTTTAGTTAATAATACATTGGCATTGTTATTTCAGTCTTCAAAACAAAAGTCTAAAGCAAATCAATAATTTTAAGACCTAGAATACAGTAATACAGTCATAGAAACCCTTTTTTTTTTTTTTAAGACTTTTTCTTTTCCTTGAGGAAACAGGACCAAAATTTGAATTTTGCAGCTTATATAATCACCTGGTAGGACTTAAACTGATCACGAAGCTGAGAAGAGGTATTCCATGTTATATTACCATGCACCAGGATATTTGCTTTCTCAATCCATTTCAGTATGAACTCCAGCATCTCATTGTACTCTTCCAAATGTGAGGTTGCCTAGACATAAAAGAACTTGTTAAATGTAGGGTTGAATTCTGTACATTTCTGAGTACGACAAAACTACTTTTACTTTATTTATTGTTTTTAATTTTGGGGATCATTTTAATACCTTTTCTTTATTGCTCAATTTAGTCTAACCAATTCTGTATTTCTAAAGTTAAAATACACCTGCTTCCAGTAATAAACACGTCTATTTCAGAGGAAAAAAAAAGGCATCAAAAGAATGTAGGTCATACTAGGGGAGTGTACTGGTGATCCTTCATATCCGTATAGTATGGAGACACTTGCAGCAGGTATTTGAGCCTCACACAAGTTCCAAATACCTTCTTTCTCAACTTATAGTTCATTAGAAGTCTTTTTTTTTATGTCACTCCTTATGTTTATTTGTATCTTGTTATGGCATTCCCCAAATAACTTCTATTTATAACTTGTTTTGTGTCCTGGGCCTATCATTTTTTCCAAAAGTAACACTTTTTTTTTTCTTTTTGAAACACAACTCAAAGGAATGCTCAGCTTTTTGATATATCCAGTTTTTAGTTAGCAAGTACCTATTAGTTCCAATTCTGCTCTCACTTTCCAGAAGAAACTTAACTGATTTTCCTTAGTCATTTCTATGAAGGCTGGATCAAATCCTAGAATTTGGTATTTCACTCTAGTCTCTGCCTCTCTCTGAGATATAAGTCCAGCCTGTGATTATGAATATTCATATATGCATATGAATAGGCAGATATGCCAAAGAATATCTCTTCATACATAACTGCTCAGAAGACAAAAAGTTTTCCTGTTCCTTCTGCTTCTGAAAGGAAACGACAAGGAGGATGTGGGACTGTACCTGGCCGAGCTTGGCTGCCCGGTACTCAGCCTGCCGCACGGTCTGCTGCTGCAGTGCAGTGAGTTTCCCTATTCTGTTACTCAGCTGCTTTGCCAGAGGGACATTCTGCTCTGAGAAGTCCTGGACCAATGCATCTAATTCCACCAACTTAACATTGCAGCTGTCCAATTCTTCACCCAGCATCTAGGCGGAAAACAAGAAAATCAGTGAGTCAGATGTGTCATGTCAGCCTTCTGGCTGGTTACTTCTATTCTGATTTACAACTTCTAAACCCTGTCCAAAGACTCCAGAGTTTATTCAACTTTTTATTTCAGTTGTGAACCAACAACATTGTTTAAGCAGGAAGGCAGAACAGAGAGATGTTTGGTCATCTCTTGTATGTGTGCCATTACTTTTCTGACTTCCTGGCTTAATTGGATAACATTTTCCCTATCGTACCAAAAGACCAAGTCATTTTAGGGTGATATTCACTGTTCTTCCCCATCTTTCTGCTTGTCTTCAAACTGAATGGTCAAAACACATTGCCATGAGAAAGGATTTTTTTTATGTGAAATGTTCTCTTGTTTTGTTTTGTTTTTTAAATAAAATATAACTTAACTAACTGAAAACTGCCTAATTACTCATGGAAGATTAACAAAGAATTTGGGTTTTCACAGCTCAGTCTGGGCATAGGAACAATATGGATGATGCTAGATTGTTTCAATGGAAAAATATTTTTTTTTTTTCTAAAACCATATTTACAATAAGTTTAAAAAAGAAATCTAGAATGTTAGACATAGACTGATAACACATTTAATGACTACAGTTTTTTGGATCAATGGTTTAGGATTTGGTTTTGTAATATAAAATGAAAGAAACTTCAGCAAACACTTAAGATTAAGAATTGATAAAAATGCAGTTTTACTAGATTTTGAGTGACATGGAGGTCTCCTCTATGCAACATGAGCATGTGCCGTCCTTCTACTTCACTGTCCTTCTACTTAATTACTGGAGTCAGGGGGATGCACAAATTGCAATGGAATATATTTCAGTGGTACCTGAGTCCTCTCCTACTTGCTGTACTTTGCTTACTTTAAAACAGTAAGCAGGCCAAGTTTATCTTTGACTGATAAAAAAAACTTCCCACCTTCATATGATAAACGCTATTTGCCCATCATGCCTCAGCACAGACAAGAATTTCTGAGTGTGGTAAACACTAATAGCTTCAAAAATCCCACAAAAGTATCAAGAGAATGTCTGCATTACCCTTAACCACACTAGTAATACTTCTCTACTATTGGATCAAATGATATTAAACTATTGACTAAGCAAAATTATATCTACCATAAGTATAGCTGGATTGTAATGAATGGTCTTTTAAGTACAGACTGAAACAAGGAACAATTTGGAAGCCTCTTGGTCTACTCCCCTTGAAACTGCAATCAGAGTTATTATTTAGAGGCAACAGCATGCTTTTGGCCGTCTGACTTGCTTTCGCTCTCAGGTCCTCCCTCCCGGTTCAGGTAAAGACCTGTGCACAATGAATATGATTCTAAAAATCTCAGCCCATTTTGTGCCCATTCTTCTATCAGCCTACCTTGAAAAGAAATGTCTCATGTGACTTTTTGTCTCATGTGACAAATATATCTTTGATATGAAGGCTAAGTCCCTGTTCAGAAGAGTTTATGGTGTAATCAAACAAAGAAAGCCTTTTCTTACCTTTTGCTCAAGTTTGGCTTGTGCTATATCATTAGTTTTCTTTTTCAGTTTAGAAAGAATAGAATTTAATTCATTAGCTATCCCTTGGATTTTCTGACCAAAATCTTGATTTAAGTTTTTGATCTGTTGAGTTTCTTTCTCTTTGCTTTGAATCTGTCAACAATAAGAATTCAATTCAGTAATCAGAAATCTTTTCTCCTGATAGGAAGCCAACTTAAATTTTCATTTAACTCACTTCAAACTTTCTGTGTTAGCTAAAGTAGGTATTAAGACTACTAAACGTAGTCACAGTTTGACCACAGCTTGATATTTTGTTTTACCAGGTTATGAAGTCTAAAAAAGGACCATAGACTTGTCATGCATTTATTGACTATCTTTTACCTGATCTTGTACAGTTACAAGGGCCAGCCCAACTTCTGCTAAGTGAAGAGACAGTTCAGAAGGCAGAATGGTATAGAGACCCAAATACTTATTCTGCTGTTGTTCAGCCATTTTTTCAACAGCCTGGCGATGTAAAGTTACTGCATCGAGGAGAGACTAAATGACAGAAAAACAATATTGTTAAGAAACTATGGGAAAAAGGTTACATTTGTGTAAACTTAGCAAAAGGAGACATGGATCACAGCTTGCAACAATCACAGGTGCTTTCACAGTTCCATTTAATCAATTCTTTAAAAGAGATGAGATCTTGAGGTTGCCTGGATTCTCATTTAAGGGTGTCCGTCCAGTTTTGTATTCCTGTGTGACCGCATGCACATGGAAAATTTTGAGGTTTTAGCATGTCCATTTAAAGGCATTTAATTTTTTTTTGTATTATTTATTTATGTATTTTGTCCAAGAAAGTTGAGACAGACACATCACAAAGCATAACTCCCCATATTTTAGACGGGAAGAAAACTACTAAACAGTATGCTAGGTATGTAAATGCATATAAATGCATTTGCAAATGAAAACCTTAAATGTATTTAAGCTAAAGCTAATATGTTCCATAAATTTACATGTCTAATTTAAATCTGCTGTGGTTTTGAACTGATTAATACTCAGAATTAATCTATCAGATACATTAGAAACATTATATTTTGGAAGATGAGAAATTTGATATACCTGCAATTCCTGAAGTTGAGTATCCACTTCCACATCAGGATTTAGCAAATATTCTTTTGTTTCCTGGATCCAGGACTTCACAGCATTAATCTCAATTTCAACCTCCTCACGTTCCTTCAGCTCCTGTTTCACCAGCTTCATGCCTTTTTTCACTTTCTGTTGCAGACTTCAGACACAAAAATAGTAACTAGTTGTGAAGGATATTCTTCATTTTTTTTTGTAAAGCTCACCTATTTATTATGACATATATTATTCAATATTTTTAATATTTGTTTCTAAAAACATTGCTTTGTCAAAAACTGTTGAATAATAAAGAGAATGATGAATACCTACATGTCCAGAGTAATTCCTACATGTCCGGAGTGTTGCAAAAGGCCACTAAAGCAGTAGGCATTCTAAGTCTCTCATGTTCATTCTCCAGTACTGGAGAATGGCAGTAAAACTGCCATTTAACTAGCAGTTTTACACATTTTGATATCTAGTGCACAATTCATCTGAACAAATGCAACTGTTAAAAATACTGACAACTCATCCCCACAGGCTGTTCTTAATGGAAAGAAAAGACCATTCTAAGGCATGACTTTGGATGATTTATCATTATCCTAAAGAGAAACTTTTACAATATATTAGAAACACTGCATAACCCCTAATTTAATGCAGTTCATACTCTTACATAAGCTTCTATTTTAATGCAAGACAGAATTAGCACAGAAGGTTTATGTGCTAAAATAAATACACCTGCTTAATGATAGTAAAAATAATAGCAAAAATTAATGTTTTCAAATTAATAAAAGCTCCTTTAAAATTTAATGGATATTTAAGTATCATTGTCATTACTAATGATAATAAAAATAATGAACAAACATTTACTAATGAATTAATTGTAAGATGCAATTTTCTAGCGAATCTCTTTAAGTACTGTCTTACTTGTGGCACCGATCTTGCATTGCTTTGATTTCTTGCATGACTGGTAGCTCTTCCTGAGAAGGAGGATGCAATTCCACATCTTGAAGCAAGCTCACAGCATGCTGCTTGACCAGGCCCAAAGATGACAGCTGGTGTTCCACCTCCAGAAGGAAACTGCTGTGGTAATCCAGGAGATCCAGGAGCTCTGTCTTAGATGCCTTTTCTACTGAACTTTCAGGTAAGCGACCTTGTAGCTCATCTATTGCTATGGTTCCTTTCTGAATCTAAGGAAAGAGATGCAATCTTGACAAAAATTAAACTAAAAAATAAGGTAGTCCACTGATTCCAAAAATACTAAATCCACTGCTGAAAATTTAGACTCTGTAAAGTAGCTGTATAAGGTTACTGTAACAGTTTCTGTAGCAGAAATAAATGTGCACTCTAATGCTGATAAATGTAGCTAGCTAGCTAGTCTCAGCTCTTGAGAGTAGACTAGAACATGCTAAGTATTTTTTTTTGAGTGATGAACAGTTCCTTCATTTTAGCATCTACTGTTTTTATTGACATAGGAGGGAGAGTTCTAACCGAGGGCAGACACCTATTTGGCATGAGTGACATCTAATCAAAAACTTATTTAATTCCCAGAGAATCTGCAATCTGAACATGAAATAGTGGACGATGACAGAAAGAAGAAGACATGATCAGTGAGCAGTGAGAGGCAATGATATCAATGCACAAACTTAGAAATAACATCGTACTCTTCAGAAAAAAAACAGAGATTAATTTAATATATGCTGAGGAAAGGAAACAAATATAAGATCCTCAAGAATCAGCAAGTTCTCAAGTGCAAGCTTTGGAGGAAGTAGTTCTAAACTAGGATCTCTCTTACGTGGTTGTGATCTGAGACATATTACTGCCCTTGCAATGCTCAGCTTTCGCTACCAAAAACGATTATTAATAAAACTGATTAATTTGCTTCACAAGACTTATAGTATGTACTCAAATTTTATACCAGGTTGTGTTAAGTAGTGAAACCCTATATACAGCTATAAAAGAAGTTAACAAGACAGTTACCTTATCATTAAAACCCTTCCATCCCTGCACTGCATCTTCCAAAATTTTTTCTTGCTCTTGGGCTACATTTCGGAGCCGTGTCCAACGTTGCCAAACTGTTGTCATTGATCTGCTTATAGTTGCCTTACTGGCATCATTGCTAACTTTTTCCAGCTGTGAAGCCTTCTCTTCTAGGGCTGTGATCTTCTCATGGAAAGAATTCACCACAGATACCAGGGTCTGAAAAAGTAAAACAAGCACTAACATTTCATTTTTACTGTAATTCTTTGATACACCTATGGGCAGCTAAGCCATTTCCATCCATTTCTGGCAAAAAAAAAAGGAGGAGGAGACTTGGTTAGATCTCACTTTGCTTTGCCTATGCAGTATGTTAACTACAGGTATCTGAGGGACTTTGTCCAGAGTGCAATTCTCCTAAAGCAGTGGAAATGCAGTCCATGCATACACAATTTTCTCTTCCTTGCTATCCAGCCCTTGTTGAAAAGAGAATGAGATGACTATTTAGTAAACTTCTCATAGCAAATATTCCAATTTATAGGAGAATCTAAAAAATGAAGAAAGCCATCCAGGTCCTTAAATATATATTTATGTCATGTTTTTTTCTAGTGCTTTTTAGATGTCCTAGGCTATAAATATAGCCTCATGAAACTGAAAGACTTCATGAGGAGTGAAATGAATCTTCTTCAAGGAGATTTGAAGGACTGAAAGTTTCCGAAGTAAAACTTTTGATATGAAACAAAAAGAGACAAAACTCTATGATCTGAATTTTGCCTCAGGTAGTCAAGGGACACCAGGTTGTTACAAATCTCTTTGCTTCTTCAGTCCTCTACAGTCATAATATACTTTACAAGATACCTGTCCATATCTCTTGATATGCCATGATATATTTAAGAGCAACTTCAGATTGCCACAAGTAGGAGGAGAGAGAAAGAAATTTATTTTCACTAATGGGAAAAGGAGTTCATATCTTTTTTTCAGATTACCTTACCTTATGTGTTAACAATTTCTCTTCAGCTTCATGAGAAGAAGCTGCTTTAGCAACTGAGAATTCAGATAATTTTTTCTCAGCCTCATTCATCACTTCAATAACCCTCTGTCTTGCTGTCTGATACTCCTGCCACTCAGAAGCACACCTTAAACAAATGGAACATCAAAAACAATGATTTAATGTGATGCAAAACCATTTTAAATCAGGAGTATTGTTTCCAATTTAACTACTTTTGTTATGCTTTTATACAATATTTTCCAAGAAAGGAAAAGATTATTAGTGAAGAGCACACATACAGAAATTTATCCCAATCACCAACTGTGCCTTAGAAACCTATCAGAAACTGTAGTCACAAAGTCAAACTTTGTACTTAATAGCCCTTGATGGACTTTTCTTCGGTGAATTTGTCTAAGCTGCATTTAAAACTCATTTAAAATTTTGGCTTCCAAAACATTCTGCGATAAAAAGTTACATAGTTATGTTGAGTAGAAAGGTATTTTCTTTTCTTTTAAAAGAAATTGCTTCAATTTCCTTTGTTAATCTGTATTTCCTGTACAACATGGAAAAATAGACAACCATTTCCTATTTATTTTTTCTTTACTGTTCAAAATTTCAGATAACTTTATCATAGGTTCCCTAAGGTCATACAGTTAGTGTCAGTACCACTTGTCATCAGTAGCACACAGATTTTACAGAACTCCCACTCCAAAATTAGATTACACGACAAATGTGCAATTTCTTTATTTCATCCCCAAAATGTTTTGAAGGAAAGAGAAGGAAATAAAAGACAAAAGAGAGAAAGAAGGAAATACCTTTGCAATTGTTCTTTCTGGGTGTCAGCTTCTTGCTTTGCCCCTTTGCCCTTTTCCTCCAATGCAGCTACATCCTGCACCAGTTGCTCTCTTGCTGTAGCTTGGATAAATGGTTCTATCTCAGACACCAGCCCCTGTAACTCCTTCAAGTGATTACTGAATTGTTTTTCTGTGCTGAAAAATTCAATGTGGTTTCTTAGGTTCTCCTCAGAGTTTTCAACATCAAGACCATTCCTTGCTAATTGTAGAAATTCCTGAGCATCCTCAAGCCAGTCATTTGCTATCTGCATCACTTGGTAGTATCTTTGGCACAGGCTATATAGTTTATTCAAGGTAGCCTGAAATAAAAGTGAAAATTATATAGAGGATCACGGACATAACAAGCCAGAAGAGCAACAAATATATCCTCAGCAAACGTTATGGACTTTGCCTATACTTGCATTCTCTTCCCTTTACTAGATCTAAAATACAGGTCCCAAAAGGTCACATGGAAGTGGGTTTTCAGTAATCTTGCATTTCTTCACGCATGTATATATGCATATCAAGGAACTCTTACTCTCCCTACAGTCACCCATGGCAACAAATTATAACCTAAGATGTTTAAAAACAAATAAATAAAGAGTATTAAAATATTTTTTTCATACTAATTACATGTATCACGTCACAAAGCTTTTTTTTTTTGCAGTCTGATGAGCAAGAAATTAACAACAAAAAGGATGTACAAACCTGTCTCATGTTTATAGCCTCTTGAACTTCACCATCGAGTTCTGTCAGCTCAGCCAGGGTGTTTTCCAGGTCAGCAGGTATAAGCTCTTTGGCCTTCATATATTTCTCTTTCTCTTTACTGCTTAGTGCATTCATTATTCTCAGGCTTGACTGTACTTCTTCCTGATGTATCTGAACCTTTCGGATTTCTTCTTGGATATTTTGCAGTTTGAGGTCCAGACTTAATGCTCCACTAAGTTCTGCTTTCACCCACCTCAACCAGTCAAGTGAGCGACAGATTTCAGTCTGAAAGTCTATACTTTGCACAAGTCTGTTCTCACACTCCATAACTGTGTCACCAATGGCAGCTTGCAATGCCTTTAGTGTCTCTTGCCATGACTGCACCTGGTGATTGGTCGTCTCGCAAGCAGATGGGTCAAGCTGAGGAGAAAGGCCTTCTAGATGTTCCGTTATCCGCTTCAAAAGGATCCCCGAGTCTTGCAAGCTGCCTGCCAGAGAGTGGTATATTTTCAGCTTTTCTTCTATTGGGAGCGTTTCCTCATTCACCTTACTTTGTTCTTTCTGCACTGTCTCTAGTTGTGCCTTGAGCTGCACACACATTTTCTCATGTTCCTGGCATGCCTCTATTGTGTCCTCCAAAAGGTTGATTTTCTGTTCTATTTGCCTTTTCAGCTTGTGATACAGTGTGAAAAGTTTCAGTATCTCATCTGGTTGCCACGGCTGGCCAGTGCTTCGAAAGGCCTCCTTCTTCTGGTTTAGTTCATCCACCGCTGCACCAAGGCCCACCAGTTCACCTAAGAGATCTCTGTAAGCCTGCTGGAGTGACACAACTTCTTTGGCTGAAACAGCAGCAGGAGCTTTATCCATGCTAATAAATTGATCTTCTAGTTCACTCAGAGCTTTTGTGGTCAACTCAATCAAAGAGGCATATTCTTTCCGGGCATAAATTGCTTCCTGAACCTTGTAGAATTTATCTTTTGCCAGGGTGATGACAATATTGAACTGCTGAGGAAGCATGTTAAGCTTTTCCTCCAGATAGGAATAATCCACATCATTAAGTGATGGTAGGATTTCTTGGCCATCTCTTTGCAGTGCAAGAAGCAGATTTTCATATTCTGGAGATTGCTCAAGAATCTGTTGATATTTTGCAAGCTGAGTGTATAGTTCACGGTTACTATTCATTACATTGACTTCTGGGAATGTGACAATATCAGCTTGTTTTAGCCAATGGCAGGCTTTATCCAGATCTTCTTTGAAATATTTCCTGGAAACCATATTTTTCTCAAGTTCTAACAATCTCTGGTTACACTTTTGTAAAACAGTGTCATATACATTCTGTAGTTCTTGCAGTTTACCTAACACTTCATTCTTTTCTTGTTCAGTTGCATCTTTCATTAAATCCCTGCCCTGAGCCCACAGCCCTGTGACTTCGTTTTGACAGGTCTTCAGGTTAGCTTGGGCACTCTTACAAGTCCTGATCTGTTTGTTCACATCTTCAGGCAACAGAGAGATATGTTCTGGAAACGTTACCTTCTTCTCATGTTGGTGAATTTGGTTTGTAGCCTGAAATACTGACATGAAAAACTGAGTCTTTTCAGACAGTGCTTTATTCAGGTGCTTTCTCCTCTGGCCCACCAGATCGCTGAGACAATCTACATGGTGCTGTGCATCAGAAAGTGCTTTTTGCAGCTGCTGCCTTTCATTGAGCCCTAAATTGGTCATCACCCTGTCAGCATCCTTCACGAGAGTTTTCAGAGCAAGCTGCTTGGCTTCAAGCTCACTACAAACTGTAAGGTGATCCATGAGAAGACTCTGAGCCATATCTGCTGGAGGGCTCTGTTTAAGAGCCTCTGAGATACTAGGTTGCTGCTCCTCTGCCCATTCCATTAACTCCTGAAATTTGGAATGCACCAAACTGAGCTCTTCTAAGGTTGCTACAGAAACCTGAATTTTTCTCTTCACAAGGTCCTCCAACTGAGTCCAGCGTTGCTCAAAATGACCAAATTGCTCTTTTACTAATTCTCTGTCATCAAGATTCAAATGTTCTATCATTTTCTGTTTCTGATCTTTCAATTCTTCAAGAGCAAATCTCCTCTCCTGCAGAGCCAGTGCCAAGTTTTGCAAAGCTTCAAGATGCACATTTGTGCTCTCAGCATCAGATCTGTTATCAAAATGCACAAAAGAGAAAAGAATGACTGGATGACCTCAGGAAATAATTTAAAAGTGAATTATAAATGTATTTTATACTGAAATCAATACAATTCTAAAGTCCAAGAGAATATTGTCCAATGACTACAATAACAGCCATAGTAGACTCCAAATTTTTGCACACATAGCCTCTGTGTTTATGCTATATATGAATGGAAAGCAATTGCAAAAATTTGTAGTGGTAAATGAGCTATAAAGGTCTAATAAATAAAACACTCACAATGAGCAAAAAATGAAAAAGATTGAGCAAAATGGTCTAAGTACTATAAAGAGCAACATATGTTACAGCCACAGATAAGACCAGTTAGTACTTGTCTTTAAGGCAAGTACGGAGGAACTGTCTTCTTAACTCTATTTCAGTATAAGTAATTTTTTATAAAAGTTAACATATAATATGTAAGTTATAATTAATAAAGGAGGCTTGCTTTTAATTAAGTACAGGATAAAGTATTTTTTTTTTTAAAGTTCCAAATAAGAGAGACTCTGTAAATAGCTCTTTCATTGTGTATGTGGCACGTAAGCTTTTGTGTGCTATTCCTTTTTTACCTAGCCAAGTTGTCCCACTCTTTTGTAAACTTTTCCAAGAAAACTTCTACTACATTCATGCGATCATGGTAATCCCCAGTCCTCCGCAGATCCTCCTCCCTCTGTATAAGCAAACTGTGTGCCTGAAGGCAGAGGTCCAGCCACTGGTTGCTAAACTGTGCTATTTCCTTGTGCTCGGGTGATTCCTGGCCTTGGGTTAGTTTGCTCATCTTCTCAGTCACGGCAGTAAGCGCTGACTGTTTGGACTGCAACTTCTGACTGAATTCCTGAAAGAGACAAAAGGCAAAACCTATATGGGATGCATATTTGAAAATGCGAATTTAAATAACAACTCCGAAACAAATATACTGTGTGGGAACAGTATCTGCTCAGGCTTGTGTACCAGCGCAAATGTAAGTTCTCCCTTTCTCCTCTCCCTGAACTTTCTCTCCAGCCTTCTCATGGCAGGAGGAGGATATAAAAGCAAACCAGGGCAGTTTTCTTGTGCTGGGGATAGAGAGAAAGCACCACCATGCACATCCTGTTCCCTCAGCTCCTGGGCTAGCACAGCTTCCCTCCATATCTCATAGAATGTAGGATAAAGGTCTCAGGAGAATTCATTCTACTAAAACTGTCTCCACTTTTACTTCTTTTGTAAAGGAGATTAAAAATAGAAGCCAGAACCCATGAGTCAGTCAGCCCACACCTTTGCTTTGTTTTGTTCCTACTCCAATAGCGATCATTATCACTGTAATTACTGAAACAAAGACAATGATTATTCAGGTATCATTGCTATATGAGTTAATAAACTCCAGTAGATAAATGATCTCATCTGCATACAAATCTCTTGCTGAAGTCTCACAGAATCCAAAAATAAAATATACAATGCACTGACAACTAACATTCACCATTGTTTTTTCTTGTATTTACACAGTACAGAATAAATATGATTGTTTCTCAAATTCTAGTTCAAATAACTAACTAAACAACCATGTCCAGCTCCAGCATTTTGCTAGGAGGGTGTCTTTTTACCGAGGTCTCATAGAAGTTCTGGATGAGAGGTATTACTGCATAAGCTCTGTGTCCTCCCTCTTTCAGACTGCCTCAGAAGGAGCTCTCTGAAGGTGCAAGGAAAAACTTGGAGAAAAAATACAAGTTGTGTCATATCTGATGGTACAGAAGGTGCCTGTCATTCATAATAAACCTGACTAGAATAGTAAGCAAGCAGACTTCTATCTCTTTAGGGATCCTTCTATCTCTTTAGGGATCCTATCATAGGTCAATGATAATAGGTCTTAGCCCAGCACTGTGACTATGTTCATCGGACAGAGCACAAAAATGAAGAGGCAAGTGGTTTGTACCTGACACTTAACTCCAAACATGACAGAAAAAAAATACAAGCAAACAATCCAGCAAAGTCTAACCTCAAAAATGTAAAACCAAAGCATTTCTTCATTTAACAAAGAAATTAATTTTTCTGTTTCTTCTTGTTACTATATTGGTGTGTCCTAGTTACCTACAGAATGGAAGCGGAAATTCTCTCTTCTTTAAATGAGCATGAATAAAAGAAGATCTTGCTATTTAAGGCAAAGTAGATTAGCTTTTTATCATACCTAGCCCCTCCATTTCTTTTTAGAATTTGCCAACATCGACTAGTTGCCCAGACTTATTTTGAAATAAATCTAAATAATTTACAAGTATTGGAAATGAAAATCTCAGGGAACATAAGCTGCAGATCTTCTCTTTAAATCCAGTGCAATAAGCAAGAAGCAAATTAAAAGTGAAAGCAAAACAGAACAGTAAATGGCCAACTGTTTCGTATTAAAAAATAGAAAAGTATTAACATACAAAGTTTTGCTTTCCTACAGCATCAACATGAAGTCTTACCTTCCCCTGCCTTCTCTGTTCTTACTCTTGCAGCATTAGAACATAGCAGTGATTACATGCAATACTTGCACACAGTGATTATTGGGAAGAAAAAAAAAAAAAAAAAAGAAAACAACTGCAGGATGAACTGCTTTGTGTTCTGTCCTTAACCCATAGACTCCTTACCTTAACCTGGAGTACCATATTCTGGGCAATATTAATTTCCAGTTCTGCCCGTCTCCTTTTCAAATTCTGGAGCTGCTGGTCTGCATCCTGGAAATATAACCAGAGCTCAGCCTTCATTTGCTTGATCTCTTCCCAACCTTGCGCCAAATACTGTGAGTGCATTATCTGTTGCTCAATCTAGAAAAAGAGAAATGAGAAAGAGTAGGAATGCTTTAATGCAGCTATTTTTGGAGTGTGGAAGATGAATACCATTCTTTCTGAGAGCACAATACTGTACTCACAGCAAATTCCTGTACTAGATTGTGGAGAGACTAATACTATCCTCAAGGGAAAAAAAAAAAAAAAAACTTTCAAAAAGTCATAAAAATCAGACCTATCCAAGGAAATCTGTGAAAAAAAGAAAGAATTAGGATTCATTCTTGAGAGAAGCAAGTATATTTATATGTATGTGTATTTCAAAGTGCTCTAAGTTTGCTGTTAAAGATCAAGTTAACTGCATAATTAACTTCACCTATTTCACTATTTCATGCCAAGAATGCTACTGAACTGTGCTCTACATGCCTTCTCAATGACCAAGAGGAATACACTTTTGCTTAATTTGCCTACATTGGTTCTTTTGCCTCTATATCTTTCGTAAAATGCCAGTAAGAAGAATGCTTACCCGTTCTGAGCCCATCAATCACCTTAAACCAATAATAACAGAGCTTCATTTGCTCCAATTATAGCAGTAGGGTGCCTTTAAGGTTTAGACTCTCAAGTAACAGCTTAATACATCTCAGTACTATCCTATTTGTGACTCTCTAATGTTTCACTCCTTCATATATAAAAGGAAGAACTTGCTCTGATGTTTGGGATGCCATTTAGCCATTCAATAGTTGGATTGCATCTTTTTACGGATTAAATTGTTTTGTACAATTTATTTTTCTGCTATGGAATATGGTTACCGTATGTATTAGATTTTTACTTTCAGTAGAAGTAGTTTAAAAAGTTGAGCTAAACACTAAAATTTCCATGTTTACAAGGAAAATTACAATGCTATTAATATTTATTTCCTAATAACTCATATGCTTGTGTTTTTGTTTTAAAACTCAACTACTTAAAAATTTAAAAAAAAAATGAGATTCACTCCCATAAATTCATATAATCAACTAGATTTACTCTGTGAGTAAATTAAACAGGTCTATGAATTGAACTACCCCAGAATATTTTATTATAATGACTGACTAGATTAGAATTTACTACTAATATCATCCTACTGTTAAATAAACAACTATAAAATATGTTCAAATTTTAATAAACAGAAGGATAGGCTGATTTTCTCTGTGTAAACAAATACATCAGATCAGGATTTTCTTCTACACAAACTTATTCTGTATGGTTTTAGGCAAATATCTCATTACCTAAGTAACTTTGTCCTTAGCAACCTTCCTCAGATATCTTTGTATTCTTATCAGGATAGCAACATGTCAATTTAATACAAATAGTAAAAATAGGGAAACTATTTCTAAATGAAGTACTTAAGATGAAAGTATGAAGACATTCCTTTAAACCGTTACCCAATATGACCTTTTTAAAAAAAGACAGATCAAGGCAATTAAAGCTCTAAATAGGATTAAAGCCTGGCTGTTGTGGTTATCTTGTACCGTTTGTTTTGTTTGTTGGATGTCTGTTGCTGTATTCTTCACTGTGGCATCTGACAGATCACACATGGAGCACAAAAGATCCAAATATGTATTGGCCTGCTCCTGCAGAGCTCGGAAATGCTTCACCTGAGAGAAGACAAACCCCAAATAATCTCTGAGACTGTGGAAATAATGTCTTATTGTATTAAAACCATGCATTTTAGTATTTTTAATTTAGCTCATTATTTTCAGAAAAAAAAATGGAATGCAGACATATGCTATTTTATCAGATAAAGCTGTTCTGTCATAGTCATGGAAAAGAATAATTAAAAAATGGATTATTACCATGCAATTATCAGAGCAGTCAGTGTCTTTCCATCACACAGCCTATTTCTTTATAATGAGAAGCCGTTATACAGAAAAACACACATTTCAAGAAGGTCACTTAGTTTTCCAACATGAACTGAAGACAGGGTGTATCCCATTACTGAACTGCCACTTTGTCTAGATGCCTTCAGTGTTTGAATAGGTCTTGTAGTATCCAGTCCAGCAGCACAACGCACCCTCTTTCACACACCCTTTGCAATCCTCCTGATTGTTCCCAGCATCTCTGATTGCTAAGATCTGACACTATCACGCCACTGTTGTGTTTTCCTTTCAGCATTGCCAACAGGAGTCCAGTTCTGACTAAAAATTTCCTCCCACAAAAAAATGGGGATACTTGTGTTGACAAGCAGGGTAACACCATCCATATCCCTTGATGTCCTGGGGAGAAGGGAAAGCGACTCTGTAGCCTGAAAAGTACGTTGCAGGGAGAGCATCCTTGAATGCAAGACAGCAGTGTGCCCTTGTGGCAGCCAAGACTTACTGCATTAGCAGTTAGTCAACACAGAAGTGCATTAGCAGTAAGTACATTAGCATATTAGTACTGCCCTGCTGTCGCATTGCTAAGGCTGCACATTGAGCACTGGGTCTGGTTTAGGTACCTCTTCCCCACCCTCAACAGCAGGGAGGTTGGCACATTGCAGTGCGTCCAGGAAAGGGCTGGGGGTGAGGAGCTGCAGTGCAGCATTGCAGGAGGGCTGAAGGAGCTGGGATTGTTCAGCCTGGAGAAGAGAGGCTAATTGCTGTCTCTACTACTTGAAAAGGTGTGGGAGGGGAACAGCGAGAGGGTGCAGAGAAGACAGAGCCAAATTCTGCGTAGATATATGCAGAGACAAAAAAAAAAAAAAAAAAGAAAAAAAAAAGAAAAAAAAAAGAGAGAAAAAACGTGACAGGTTGAAGCAAGGAAAGCAAGGAAACCACATGGATACAAAGGGAAAAAAGTGTTCGCAGGGAGTGCAGCTGAACACCAGATCAGGGTCCTAATTCTTAGAGATCCTGAGATGCGGTTTAGTCCTTTAGACTTGGCTGGTGGCCACTGGGCTAGGGCCAGCTTTGGTAAGCCCTGCTCTGCTTGCCCAGCCTTGGTGCCAGCCCCAATCCACAGCTCCCCAACCCTGGCAGAGCCGCCAGCCCCCACAGCTCCATAACACAGAGTTTCAAACCTCAAATGAAAAACGTTCTAAGCAACCTGATTTAATTTTGAGCTTGACCCTACCTTAAACATGGAGTTGGACTAGATGACCTCCAGAAGTCCCTGCCAACCTAAATTATTGTTTCTGCTCCTCATTAATCCATAAAGCTCTCTATATGAAATCCACTCCATACAGACTTCCTTTAAGGAGACTTTACATCCTCTTCTTCTGTACTTTACCTAGTCAAAACCTGTAGCATTCGAAGGTCTCTATTAAATAACATGGTGGATTAGACAGACCCAAATTCTATCTTTTTTCAGAACTGAAATAGTTTAGTTTGAAAAGAAGGTAGAAATCTGATTAAAACATATTAAGTTATTTAAAAATAATCAGAAGGAACCATATAACTAAGGTAGACAGGGGACAATTCAATATTTTTATGATGAAATATATTTTAATTGCTGGAGAACAGGCCATGTGTCCTTGCTTAATAGGGAATAAAGTCTTCTGTATGAATATAAATTTACAGACAGAGGGGCAATTAGCCAATCAAAAACAGAAAAAAATACAACCTCTCTGCAAATACAGTTGTAGAACACTGAGCAGGATTATCTAACCAGAAAATTGTTTTTAAGGAACATATTTCTAAGCAATAAGCAGAGCTAGTAAAAGCCCTGTGTGATTTCTCACCTAAAATTTTGCTTTGGTCCAGCTCTTACCTGGACTCACTTCATTAAGGATAACTGAGAGTTTTACCTGTTTAACTGCATCTGCCAGGCTGAAAGGTGGCCAAGCACTTGGCTTTAGTTCCAACTGCACTGTAGACAGCCAAGTCTGACACTGTTGTAGGGTATCCTGATGGTTAACGTGTTTCTGCAGTTCATGTTCCAAGCTCTGGTACACCTAAAATAAGCATTTTGTAATGTCATTAAATTAAAAAAAAAAAAAACACTACTAGCTCTCTTCCTTGAAAACCCTTTTTTCTCTTGAAAACTGTGAGAAAAAAAGAAACAACATCAAATCAAGTCTAAAACAAAAACCCACACAGCTGTTAATTTACACAATTTATACAATTTTACACAATTCATAATTCAGAATTAGCATATGAATATTGCAGATATTTTAGCCCCTGTACCTAAAGATACCAAGCTAGGAAAGCTCCTTAAGCTCTCAGTGTCCCTTGCTCATTTGTAGAGGAGATGGCTGATACCTAGTTCACTGTTTTGGGAAAGAAAAAACAAACTTGAAAACACAGACCACTTTCTCTTATTTCTGTATTTTTATTCATCATTTTGGCATTGATCTAGTATAAAGCTTTACCTATCTCTATGAATGCTGCTGACTATGAAGTAAATCTTTTCATTATTATTATTACTTTTTTAATTTAGCTGGCCTGATCTCTTAATTGGATTACCAGAATGACCCAGCTAGCCATTCTTAACCATATATTCTAGTTTTACCAATAGAAACATTATTTCTTAGCACATAATTAAGACTAGTGGTGCATGTATACAAACTCCTAGTATTAACAGAGTAATTTTCTCCCTAGATTTTCTATCAGGAATAGTTCTATTTACTTCATTGTTACTGCTCAGAAGCTTGTATAATGGGAAGCTTGTCATGGAGTAGAGTTTAAGTAGAAACTTTGGATTGCTACATAGTTTGTCGCTCTGGGTGTAAGACAATAGTTAGAAGGGATTCATCTGCAGTATAATAATGATAAAATATTACCTTAATACCTGGTAGGCTCAAGTGTACTATTCCTAAATCGTATAAAACTATTTTTAAACAAGACTTACTCTTTGGGCTGTGCTACATATAGCAGAATAGCTGTCCCTTGTTCCCTGAAGATGGCTTTGTATATTTTGCTTAAATTTTGCTTGAAGATGTTCTGTACATTGATCAATCAAATAATCGCCTTTACTCTTAAGGTCGTTCAAACGTTCTTCAAATCCAGCAATTTCTTCCATGACGGCCTAATAAATACATAAAATACATTGAATAAATATTTTAAATTTAAAACAGGATTCAAATCACAGTTTCTTAAATGACCTTATGTGATTAATGCTTTTCTTCTCAAATACTCTTTATCTTCATATTTGGAATGAAAAAAAATTTGCAAAAAATATTTACTATTATGGTTAAGCTATGAGAGAATAGATTTGTTCTAAAATTAAATATCTGCTCACAGATATCCCACAGAAATACTAGTAGTATTTTCTTAATGTGTAAACACTATGATTATGTCCCAAAATAGAATGTTTTTAATCTTTCTTTGTTGCATGCTTTCCAGGGCTCCACCAACCTCTCTTGCATCTAGTATTGAGAAGCAAATAAAAAACTGCATCATATCTTCTGCTATAAGTTCTTCTACTAAAGACAGATCATTCCACTGACTGCGGTGGAGTAACTTCCTTTACCCAAGGAAGTTACTTAAAGAATAAATTAATTACAATGAGTTAATAGTTTTCAGTATTTGCTCTTGGAATTACACTTTGGGGCGGGGGGTGATTTTACTTTGTTATTTTCTTTTAAAGCATCATTATCAACGTAGAGAACGATTATCATTAATAATCACGATCTCATCTCTAAAAGCCTCCTGAATGGAGAAATGATACAATCTATTAGAGGGAAAAAAAAAAAGAATTTAAGTTTTAAAATATTTTTTCCTTACAAGTATATGAATCAAAATTGCTTCAGAAGAAAGATAAGCCTAATCCACTTATTGTGGTCTGTTTTCTGGAATATCTCAGCAAAAAGCTAGTAACATACATACTAAAAGCTAGTAACAAATATACAACAAAGTTCTTGTGCTTGTGCGACCCAGTCAAAGGAACAGTGCTTCAACAAGGCGTGTTTGTTAACTGCCTTAATGACATCGATGCTCATTTAAACAGTCAATTAGCAGAAATAAAACAAATGAAAAACAAATAACTTAAGCTCTGGAGAAAAAAAAAAAGTAGAGAAGAAAATATATATTTTACTAGACAAGGTAACTTAGTTTATCTAAGCAGCACACCCACCTTGTGGTTGGCTAGTTGCTGAGTAATCATTTCGAGATTATTACTCTCCATGAAGTCAGGGCTGACAATCCTGCTGGACATGTGTAGCAACCATTTCTCCCCTTCTTGCAAGTCACTGTTGTAATCCTCATGTTCTTTTACTCTTAGCTCTAAGGTTTCAACGCATACCTGTAGGTCCACATGAACCAAATTTAAACATTAAGGTGATTATAAGAATAAGAAAGTAAAGCCTGGTGAGCTATCTTCCAAATTCATATTCCTGTGGTTTATTCTCATGTGATCAAAGGGATTACTTGAATAAAATGAATGAATAAAATCTGTTCATCTGAAGACTGAGGGAAACAATGAGAAACCCTTCCCGCAGGAAAAGAAACACTGTGAACTCAACATTAAGTCTTTCAGTATTGCACAGTCCTTTAGAGACTTCACATGCATTATAAAATATCATAACTTGGCCCCTACTTCTTACAACGATCATATATATTACCTATTACCACATATTACCTGTGATTCTATTAGGCAAACTAAGGATGAACTCATTGCTTATTTCTTAAAAAACAAAACAAAACAAAACAAAAAAAACCCAAACTTCTGAGAGTTATCTATATTTATATATTTAAATCATCAAAATTACAGCTAGTGCAATGAAAATTCATTTTTTTATATGAATCAAGTAAATATCAATTAAAAGATCATCAGCTATTGATGAATGGATTGGCACCAAAGGGACTTATATTCAAATACATGTACTAACATGGTTTTACAAAGCTTATGCCTATTAGGAGTGTAAGCTTTAAAAAGCTTTAGTTATAGTTATTCCTTACAATGTATTTAGAAGTATTAGATCTTTCAAAGAACTATATACATGCTGATGAATGAATCAATGTTAATTAATATTCTCACTGCTAAAATAAAGCATTTCCTTTGCATTTCACTTTCTCCACTGCCTTTCATTCAATAACAAATCTAGACTAAATAGGTTTTGTATGAGATTTAGCAGAAAAAAGACACAATATGGCATGACTTAAGGGCATCTGTCCATAGGTATTTATTTAGAAGTCTGTTCAAAGCAATCAAAAGAGTAACAAAAGTACAAACTGGTCACTGATGTATTTCTCCTTGGTTCTACACCTGCCACACCTAAACTTCAGTTCTGCACGTTAGATCTACTCAGGAATAAGTTCATTCCATATCAAAGAGGCAAAAAAAAAAACAACAAAAAAAAAAAACCTATAATAAAATCTGATTGGTTTTGTATACAACGTTTGAAATGACAATCTGAAACGAATATGCAGCTTCTCAAATAGTGAAAAGATAGAACCGAGGAAAGCATCTAGAGTTTCCTTGCATTTTCTTTTACCTTTGTTGTGCTGCAGAGTTCCTGGTAACTGCTCTGAAGGTCTTGAATGTTGTTCTTTAGAGCTGTATCATTCACCAGCTCAAAAAGTGCTTCTCCTTTCTCAATCACTGATTTTATTGATGGCTCATGGGACAGAATAGTCTGTTGTATGGACTGCAATACAAGCAAGAATGGTAAAATATATACTGAACACAGAAGAGCTATTTCATTCACTACCTTTTGGTCCAAAACAGCCTCTATCATGCTGTCTATCACCCTTTGCCATCAATAGTAGACTATGTTTCTCAGCCATATCCTGAGACTTCTTAGCAATTTAAGAGCCATCACCTCTTTCACAAGTCTCTAACAGCATGGCTGATAAACTGGAGAGAGTAAAGGACAGGGAATATACGCAAATGCATGGGAAAAACCTGTTCAGAGGACTCGATACTCTGAACAGATGGGGAATTATGATCAAAGCTATATTCTCATGAGAGGATGTGCAGCTGAGTGCATGACACTGCACTCCCAAGAATGTGAAATCTGACTGCTTGTTACTTCATTGTTCTATTGGTACTTCTGGTATAAGTTAAGTAGTCCATCAGCTTTCATTACTGCTTCCTGATCATTTAAATATATATATATATACACATATATGTATGTATTGTTGTGTCATTGCAATAGACAGCACTGCATCCATGAGAAGACAGTAAGATAGGAGTTCCCTGAAGACACACAGTTTTGAGTCAGGACTGAGTATTTAAGTCATGTCATCTTCCGAAACAATGGGAAATGCACTTCACAAAAACACTGTAAAGACAGACAACTAATTTTGTTGGAAAGATACAAATTTGTTAAGATCCTAATTAAAGACAGGGAAGGTTGTAATCTCTAACCAGCTTGGATGTCGGCTCAGCTGGGGTGTTGAACTTTAACCAGAAAGCTGGCTAAGCCAACATAGACAAAAGCAGCATTTGCAGTGAAGAAAGACTATGATCAATCACTACCCTTGCTTAAGCTGCCATTACTGTGTTAATTAGCAATGGACTTACTCTTATCTTACTCATAAGAACAGATTGGCCTCTATAACAGGAAACTTTCAAACACAGAAGCTTTAAGATGTGCATACCAAATCCAGACACTCACTCTGGTTTGCAGGTGCAAGTATCATGCAGCTTTTCATCCTAATGCTGAATCAGATATCCAGATAAGGATTTCTCAAAAATCTATTCAGGACTCTTGAAAAGACACTTGGACTTATTGTGATTCTTCCAGGTCAAAAATCATTTATATAAAAAAAATGACACAAAATTTATTACCTTGTATTTGGACAACTGGGCCTTCTTCTCATAGAGTTCACTTTTTGGCTCTACTGGAGTATGTAAGATATCTTGGTACTCTGTTAGCCACTGAGTTTGTGCTTTGTATTTGTCCGAGAACTCCTTGGCCAGCTGTAGGCACTTCTCTGAGGTAATGTGTTCTTTCCTGATTGAGCCAGCCAATTCTTCAAGCTGTTCAACGTAATCACTGATTTCCTTCCTTAACTGGGAAACTTCCTTTTCTTCAATGTACTTTATGGCTCGCTCCCCCTTCTCTCGGGCAGATTTCAGTAAACTATGGCCTATGTCCATATCACTCAAAAGGAGCTGCAAAGAAAGTATCAGTTAACAGAAAATGTAATTAATTTCTTGCTTATTTCATTTTGATCTTTTGTAGTACTAGTATTAATGAGATGCTAATTATTATTTTGCTAAGTACAGAAAAGGAATTGTTAGGCAAACTGAGTGGACTTCCCATTACTAACATGCTTGGAGTTAAAGCGTGCAGAACTAGAAGGAAGCAGAAAGAGGAAAGACTGTTTTACTGCAGTGCTATTGCAGTGAGAAGAAACAAAGCCTTTCTTGGTCAGCATCTACTGTGATGAAGTGCATATGACAGCATGACCAGGGAGAGGAACTTATTTTAGATTTTAGGCTAAAACAAAATATGCATAAACATATTTTATTGAAAAAAAAGGTGCTCTTTATCTTTTTAACTTCTCTATGTAGGTTGAACTTCAAAAAATGGTTTATGGATTCTTTTTTTTCTGAATAGAAACTGAAGAGGTAATCAACTGCATTCAAATAGTACCTCTAACTTTTGCATTTTTTTCTCCATTGTCGTTTTATCAACAACATCAAACTTGGTGATTACATTTCTGAAGTTCTTGTTGGTAGCTCCATACCAATTTGTGTAAGCACTAAAAGCTAATTCTGACTCCTCTATACTTCGAATCTCTTCTTCCAGAAACTTTATTTGTTCCTACAAACAAATAAGGGGACAGGGTGAAAAAAGAAAAAAATTTAAGATGCTGTTTGCAATAAAATGCTATATATTAACAAAAAATTCTATACTAAGTTTAAATGCATTGTTTCTGAGTCCTTCCATATCTAGTGGATAATTCTTACAAGAGCCTTTGTAAGGTATACATATATTACTGATATCATAAATGTTAGTGATACAGCAATTAGTAATGTTAAAATAAATATAATACTGAATACTCAAAATATAGATATATTTTTAAATTTGAATTCCGATTAGTGGTCATGGTACTATCAGAAACTTAACATTTAAAGTGACCTGAAGAACTTATCTATTCAAATCTCCCCATATCTATGTATTTCAGTGATAACCTGAAAACTTTTCTCTAGATGTCAGTTAATATTCAATGAATTGAATACTGAATGCTGAATTTCTTTTCCGAAACTTCTGAAAAAGACTGCAACAACATCTTCTTAATACTGAACATTTTGAAAAGGACTTTGTCCTGCTAATAGTTCTCCAATCAATCTAGTCCAATGAAATCTAGTGTATATATAAATATACATACATAAATGTTATAGTATCGAGTCTACTATAATGTACAAGGTCTGACATCTAATTTAGGAACAGTTAGCTGAATCCTCTCCTGAGCTGACAATTATCATGTTTATAATGTTTATAATAACAAACTGTTTTTCATTGCTTACCAACATATGAAGAAGAAGAGTTTGATATCGAGAAGTAAGTTGTGTGGCTTGGCTTCCCATTCTACTTGTAGTGAGATTTTCTTCTAGTATTTGCTGAGCCAGTACCCCAACTTCCTCCACATCATCTTTGTAGACTACAATTTCTTCATGCCACTTCTATAACAAAGACATTTTCCAGTTTATATGATTAGTATATGATTATTAGGCACACTAAGGAAGAAGGGGGTAAGAGAGTGCTACATGGACAGGCATGAAGCTGAAGTCAGAAGGCATCCAGCAAGAGCATAGAAGTGGGGAAGTGAACATAAGATACGATTATAGGGAGCCTTCTTTCACCCCTCCTGGGAAACCTTCATTACTTCCCTGACATGCCTCTATACCAATGCTTGCAGCATGGGGAATAAACAGGAGAAACTGGAGATCTGTGTGCCTGTACCCAGGAGTTAGGAATCATTCTTGGATTCTCTTTCTCAGCATTGCCTCAGAATGATTACTCATGTTTCCTGACAGTTCCAGTATGAAACTAAACACTGATGTAGAAACTTCGTGCAATACTTTGTTTAAATTATTCCTTGAAGGTTATTGCTTACCTTCATTTGTTGTAGCTGCATCTCCTTTGTTGCTCTATCAGACTGTCTCCCAGTCCTGATAGTAACTTTCTCCTCCAGATCTGTTAGCCAGTCATTTACTTTCTGAAATTTTTTCTCCATTAACCTCAATCTGCTCACGGTTGCATTCAATTGTGTTCTTGCTTCAGAAAGCCTGTGCTGATAAACTTGCCAATCCTGCCGTAGGGATTCAAGGGCTCGGTCCTCTACCTGAGGCATGCCCCAAGGAATCACCTCCTCTCTGGCATGGACAGCGGCATTCAGTAGTGCTTGTCCCTCTGCACAGTGGACCTGCAACTCCTGTAAATGCAGTTATAGGTACAGATCCCATATTAACAGGTTTTATACACACACAACAGACTTTATTCAGCTTAAGAAAGAGCAGTCAAAAAATTATCTAGATCTTCCCTGTAAGCATTTATGGTTGAACACATGTTATGCTACCTTTATGAACACTTTATGCTGACATGTTCATTTACAAAACAAACCCACTATCATATTAGTGACCAGTGAATTAGAGAGAATTACTGATGCTTTATATTCCTTCCTCTCCTTCTAAACTTATCATAACTTCTGAAACAGTTGCTATCTGAGCTGTCATGGGAGCCTGGAATCCATTCAGCACAAACTTAAATTCTGAATTTTCCAGCTATGGCAAACACACTGTAACACTGACTCTAAAATCAAATCCGTGTAAAACAAGCTGAGTAACAAGCTGAAGCTTGAGATTTACAACTCAGTTTCTTTAATATTAAGCATGCCTGATTATTTCTATGTTTTTTACACACCTTAACAAAATACTAGATACCCTCTCCCATGTAAATGTGGCATTTTCATCATTATTAGAATTTGCTTTAGGAAGTATGCAGGGAATTAGCTTAATTAGCAAAATACAAACAGGAAATCACCTAAGTAACGTACTCTGTGTTTTTTATAGTTGAGATACGTATTCAGACTTTTTTAATGGTTTCTGATTTTTAAAAATAAACTCCTATAGAAAGACATATGCAGAATTTCTAATCACACAAAGGTCTTCACAAAATCCTGGAAAGGCTATGACATATTTCATAACTTATGAGCTCAAGTATAGTATAACACCTTCTGTTTTACTGCTAGTTTCAAGAACAGGGACATAAATATTCTAAATTGACTTCATCTCCTTCTCTGGAGATCTTTAAAACCCACTTGGATGCAGCCTTGTGCCACGTGCTCTAGGTGACCCTGCATGAGCAGGGGGGTTGGATTAGATGACCTCTGAGGTCCCTTCCTACCTTAAGCATTCTACGATTCTATGAGCTTAAGATCATAACTGAGAGATTACTGAAAGACTAAGGGTTCACCTTTCACCATCACCTGCAGGATTCACTCGTAGTCTTCCCACCTCACCTGAGAGGGGAGATTGGGTGCTTAGAATCTCATATCTGCCTTATGGAACAATTCAAATAATGACTTATTCCATCAATATGGAACTGGAATAATTCAAACAATGACTTATTCCATCAAATATAGCTGTCTAACAAATGTGGGAGTTGGCTGTCATTCTCTGCCTTGTCCACGAAGGAAGCCCAGCTTAGGCTACACATTGTCATTGTCATGTCCCAAAGATGCATCTGCACTGTAAGCAGTGGAAAATGAAAACTCAGTGAAAGATTATTTTTGATTTTCTGTGAAAGAGAAAGAAGAGGTAGCATCCTCAGCACAGGCAAGGACTCAAAACAAACTCAAATATTTGCAAGAACTCAATACTTGCAAGAAAGCATTACTATGCCTGGAGATTGCCTACAAAGCCTGACCCTTCTTCCTGGAAATAAGTGACAATGTTTTCACTGACTTTACTGGAAGCACTTTTGAGTAGCAAAAGGTTTAAATTTCTGTAAGTCAAAACTGTTCTCAGTCAAAAAAAAGAGAGATGAAATTTCTGTCCAGCACTTAATATTACTCTGTTATTTTACAAGTAGGACATTTTGACTAGAGATATTCCAAATTTTCCTGTACCTGTAGATCTTGGAGTGTTGCTTCTTGTTTCTGGGTATCACCTTCTAGATGTGATAAGCAGTCAAGTTTTTCCTGCTCCTTCTCCAGCCAGACTTCAAAGGCCTTCAAATTTGTTTGGTACTCCTGATGTAAGTTAAGTAGTCCTTCAGCTTTAGTTACGGCTTCCTATTAAAAAAATTTTATATATATATATATATATATATATATATATATATATATATATATATGCATATATATGTATTAATTTTCATCAAACCAAGAAATTTTAAATCTGCATGCGACATCAAGGAAAACACTTGTCTATGATGCTGGCTGTTCCTAAAATTCAAGAATTTGAATCCTGGGGACAACTTGATCAGTTATAGAGAAACAGGGGTCGACTGCGAGGATACTTAGATAAGTTCTGTGGCTTTGGGGATTTGGAGTTTTGATATTGCATCAATTTTAAATACAATCTTAATGTTTAATAGCAAAAGACCTATTTTGCTTTATTTTTAAATCAGTTTAAATTTATTAGCTTTATTGAAGTGATCAACAAGAGGATGAGGGAACAGAGGTCCAAATTGAACTGAGGGCAAAACTCTGTATCTCAGGGCAGTAGATCACAATTACAGAAAAACATTCCCATTAATGTTAACAAAGAATTTACTGCCTGCTTTACCTAGTCGTAAATAATTTGTGTAATGAGAGGAAAGAAAGAGAGGTATTATCCATCATTTACATGGCCTTCCCACACCCATGAGTGAGAAGAGAAAAACAGCAGTTTTCTGGTACCAGATGAAGAGAGTTGAAGGCCATGGTCTGCTCTGTCTTTGGTCCTAGACCCTCGCAGAAAATTTTGTACTTTCCCTCCTGCCTATTTTTCTCATGGAGTACATTTCAAGTGGCAAATCCACTTGAAATCCACTTGATCAAGTGGCAAATCCACTTGATCCACATTCCAGGAGCTACCGAACTGTAAATTTTTTTCCCCACTCATTTTGGCCAATCTCTGCGTTCCAGCTACTGGCTTTGGACTCTGAATTTTGTGCAGCTCCCAAGGATTGAATGTAGGCTGAACGCTTAACATCAGCTACACAGTTGTAGGGGGGAAGAAAAGTCACCTGGAATGACTTATCAGATGGGAAGGACAAAAGTCATGCTTCTTGTTACATTAGGGAAGAGCTACAGAGCTGTTGCCTTGGTGAACTAAATCCCAGTTCTCCCAAACTACGCTGTTGCTCAAGCTGAGGAAATAGAAGCAGCCTATGACACCATACATATGTGCAGAAGAAAAATGTTCAAACAAAAACAAAGATGAGAGGATCACTGTGTGATCCACTCATACTTTCCAGGACTGACCTTTCATCTCCCTATCAACCCTGAATTCACTCAGACAAAGGAGGTCCAAATAAAGACAGCTTTGTGCTTGTGGAATAGAGTACCACACAACAACAACAACAACAAAACACTTATGTATCCCACAAAACTGATCTTTGGCACTCTCCACAAGATAAAGACATCTCTGAGAGAGCAAAATAACTGTAAAGCAATTCATCAGAGTAAAGACTTTCTCTGCCTGCTTCCTATATGTCAGCAAAATTCGATTCAACATTCAAGGATCAAGGAAACCATACCCTTGTTTTGTCTTTGAGGAACTTGTATCGCTCCTGAAGGTCCTGGAGTTCGAGCTGGGTTACATAATGTTCTGTCATTCCATTGCCTTTCATTTCAATAGTCCCTAACAGGCTGCTGTGACTCAACACTTCTTCACTGAGTAGCTGAAAACAGACAGCAGAATGGATTTATGAATCAGTAACACTAAAACAAGACGAATGATTAATCTTACAGTTATTCAGCTGTTTTTGTTTTTTATAAAGTAATTTGGATTTATCTTTGATTTGTTGTAAAGCAAACATACCTTTGCTTTGCTGAGGGCAGCTGCTTTTTCCCTCAGTTCTGCATATTGCCTTTCAGAAGCATTCATGCTTGCTTCTACTCTATCCATCCAGCTGGAAAACTGGCGAACATCATCCTGGTAACTTGTCCATTTGGAGAGAGCTCCTTCCAGCTGACTGTAATTTAAAAATATGTATATTTTGTAATAGTGCAGTTTCTCCTGCTATTTAAGCAGTCAGATCAAATCCCATGTAATCACTCTACACTCTGATTATACAACAGGTATATTTCAAGCTAAACAACCCCAGACAGAATTGTTAAGACCCCTAAAGGCTGAATAGGAGCATGTATGGCTGATACAGAGCGATTAAGTTTTCTAAACTTGGAAGGTTTGGAATTTGCATATCTAGCTGATGTGTACTAGCTTTACTAAACAAAGCACAATTGAAAGCATAAGTCCCTGAATCAGAATTTTTTTGGCCTTTTTCATATACTAGTCAGCTCCTGGCTTCTGATGGTTAATTGTCTTGATTGTTTCAAAATGAAATGTTTGCACTATAAAAGAATGCTTTTTTTTCTTTTAGTTTTTAGTTTTAATATAATTGTATTCTATCCTTTTGAGCAACATTGTTAGAACTAAAATCACGTTCTTTTATTTATCAGTGCTTTGCTATCCAAGCATCATCCTCCACCTGATACCCTTTATACCTCTTGCACTGGATACAAGCAGACAGAAGAGAGGCCCAGCTATCCTTCAGGGTCTGCAACTGCTGTTCAATCACTGGCACTCCCTCCAGAGAAGTGTTTTGCAGAACAGATTCTCCTCTTGTCAGAACCATTTTCATCTGGATTTCTTTTTCCTGCTTCACTGCTAGGAGTCCCTAAAAATTGGACAGATATTCCAATAAGTAGATGTTCATTTTTATCATAAACTGGGCATAAATACACTACGTAGTTTCACTAGAAAATGAATTGATCAAATTTACCATTTTGTAGAAAAATTCATTTGAAAAAGGGGAATGGGGTTCACAACTGGGTTTCATAAGGAAGAGATATAGTTAAAATGGTAGGTTTGGAATATAAATCTTAAGTTAACAGAGAACCTTGCACTGAATCTACAAGTGCAGGCACTTGTACTGCAACAGAGAAGGTATTTCTGGGGTAGAAAAGGAGAAAAATGAAAATAACATCTGAAAACAACATGATTTAGATGGAGACCGGGAATATTTATTTTAAGAAAAAACAAGCTGTGATGAAAAGCGCGTTGTTACACCAGTAAGTAATTCACATAAAGGATGGAATATTTGCGTTCCTCTTACAGATTTTAAAGGAGTTGGTTCCAGAATCCTGTTTTCCTACCTCCAGCTTTAGCATCCGGCTGTCCAGCACGCTCTTGTCTGCAGTGGGATGACAGTAGGACTCAAGCATGTGAACGGCATCATCCACCCAGTCCTGGAGGTCCTTGACACTGTGAGAGAACTGCTGGTGCTCTGCAACGACCCTGTCCATCCTGGAAACCTTCTCCTGAAAGTCATCAGCAATTAGCACTAGCATCTACTCAAATGATCATTTTTCCCCATGACTACTATAGTGTTAGAACAAGTTTCCTAAACGATACCAACCAATTGTTTTCATAAATTCATTCCATGTTCAAGTAAATGTGCTTGTGGCTGTCAGTTTCACACACAGATGAGTTGTTCAAACAAAACGTATGAGTGAAGCTGTCAGGAGTGTCCACTTTTATTTCTAAATGCAGTTTCATCTCTCTCTGACTCGTTTAAATTAGACACACGTTTTCTTTTTGTATTTCTTTTTTCCCTATATCCCTATATTCCCTATACCTAATTGAACATCATAACAATGCTGCAAATGAAGAAATCCTGCCAACACAGAAGACAGATATAAGCCCGATAAGCTACACCACTGTAGGAACATTACTTTGTTGATAATTGGGATAAGAAAGCCTATTTACAGGTACTGCTGGTATACCCCTTTTCTGGGAAATCAGTAATACCCACATTAGAGAGAAAAAAATGCTCAAGTGTACCAGATTTTTCACTGCTACAAGGCCTGAGTTTAACAAGAAGCCAGAGCTTGATTGTTCTTGAGAAACAAGAGCACAGTATGTTTTACATAGTGACTGAGAATTAAAGCCAACTCAGTGAAACTTGCTGAGAAAGCAACAGAGATGAATCTGTCTTAAACTTCCATAGCTGCCCAAAGAATATGGGAATTTCTCATGCATATTGATTGCCTCAGGTGCCATCCTCTCCTGACATCTTTTTAAAATTCTGCCCTCACAAGCTAATGTTAGTTACTCATCTATCTTTCCTTCTAATCATGATTTTTTATGGCTACACATTCAATAATTTTCAGTAAGTCATACTCATATATACACTCATATATACATAGCTCAGATATGCTTTATAATTTTATTTCCACAGAAAAGATAGTAATTAAAAAAACAGTAGTTAATCATGTATAAATATTTTATGACTTGAGTTATTATCACATAACATATTTCCAAAATCTTAAAATTATCCTCATTACAATAGTAACCATAAACCTGATTCAACACCAAGCGCCCTTCATCACTGACACTTAGATACAAATACTTTTTTAATCTGCTTGCACAACAGAAAGACTATCAGGTGGTGAAGCATCCTGTCAAGTACCACTCAGCAGAACAAACAGAATTTAACCTAACTCCCTCAGTTTCTAGCACAATACTAGGAACATTTTTTTTCCATCATCATCATCACCATCACCACCACCACCACAACTAATATTACTATTATTATATTTTCAAAATAATGCTGAAAACCAATTTATTGACCTTAACAAAAGACACATTTGCTTAAAAAAGCAATAATGAATTATGATTATAGAATGTCATGAAGCAACAATATTTCCTTATAAAGCTTATGTATTTTAAAGAAAAAAACCAAAATCCTAAAGTTTTGGAAAATTCCTCTCTCAAGTGTCCTGATTACTTAATTAGATTATTGTATAACCAGGTAATTAATTAAAGTAGTTCTCAATCAAAACACATTAAAAAAAAATATCCATGACTGTCTTGTCAACTGCTCCTGGAATCATTCCTTATATGGTCCTTACTCCCCACTCTTTACACCCCATGCGAAAGCCAAGATAGTTCAGACATGCCACACAGCAGGTAAGCAAGACAGCTGCAGCATTTCACATTTCCTTTTCTTCTCCACATACATCAAACCAACTGCTTAAAGCACATATATAGGGTGCATTACCTTTGTCAGATTGCTTAGGGTAAGGTATTGAGAAGACAGCTGAGACACTCTGCGCATAAAGCTTTTGCTGACAGCTTGCTCCTCCCACAGTTGCTGAGCTTTCTCTTTTAGCCTGTTGAGCTGATGCTCGTGGCAGCTTATTTCCTCAAGGACAGACTGTAAAGCACAAGCGTGTTAACATTAAGAGTGGACGCAAAAAAAGCAGACAACACAGATGTATGAAGGCCCCATAAAAACAACCACCACACACAAATGACAAGTGGCAAGCATGCTGAGAAAGGCACACCACACACCATACGGCTACAGCAGTGAAGCAGTATGTCAGGAGGAACGTGGAAAAGCAACACCTGCTTGTAAAGCACTGCCAAGAGCAATGCTTGAAACCAGATTTCATCTTTTTGGAGTCCAAGATGTCAGTATGATGGAGGATTTTCATGGAATAAATGAGACTGGATGGGAGAAGAAGGGCTGGCTGTACTAAAAAAGGCTCAGAAGTCACCTGTAGCTTTTGCTGTTCTCTCCTCTTGGAAGGAAGATCATGGAGTCGACTACTGCTTCCTTGTACCATCTTCTCAGTCATGCTCAGCCACTCCTGCAGAGGCTCAGCACTTACTTCAAAATCCTTCATCTGGATCTTTAAGTTCTGGAACACACGTAATGCACAGATTTATTAACAGTCCCACTGCACAGCATGCAACTAATGCACAACCTGCGGCCCAAGCGCATATGAAGGACATACTACCGAGGTGAAGTATTACAGCATCTTTTCAGGATAAGCAACATGACTGTTCCTTCCTGTCTCACAGAAGAGCTGTGAGAATTCTTTTTTTAGGAGATAAGGATAAGTCCGCACAGCTAAGGGGAGGCCAATGAAAATTTTCTCTAAACTAAAAGCTTTATGGACTTTATTACCTTCAACTCAACCTATGTCCGACTCACATAGCTAAGGCAGCCTGAATCTTGTTTGAAATGAGAGTTACTTAACATCTGCCTACAGTCATGCACAATGAGCCCCATCTATAGAGTTGCTATAATTCCAACAGCTGTATGGCTACATTCAGCAAAGTCATGAGAATTGTTTCTGATTATATTTTTAGTGTAAAAAATTGTTTATAAAAATGTGTGCATAGTGCATATGCAGGCATTTCCTCGATGCATGTTTCTATTACAGGATTCTTCTGCCTGCTCAAAAAAAGTTATCTGAAATAATTCATACTGAATAGAAATACATAGTTCCCGTGCCATAGCTATTCCTGTATTTTAGACTAATTTTGCTCTCTTTTTTAGCGATAGCCTTATCACAGTTGGAGCCAGCAGACATGCTAATGTAAGCAAAAGAGTTACTTTCAGTTGAAAATAGGCACAAATTGTACATTTTTGCACTTTTGTGTGACAAAATGTAGAGACCCAGATTCACTTCTTTAAGTAACTAGTTAAGGCCACATACCTTGGGATCACAGAATCAACTATATTAATTATTTATTATTACTTATATTAAGTATCTAAAAAAATAGAATCGGCTTATGAGAACGAATAATGCTGGGCTCAGAAAAATTAACTTTTTAGGATATGTTCCCATGGCCACTCTGAGACAAAGAAAGGTAAGTCCTTGCTACCTGAGAAGTTTCTGCAAAAGAATTTACTACATGACCTATTAAATCCATCAGAAATTTTTCTCAGCTAGCTAGACAGCATTGGTTTGAACCAGGAATGGCTAGGTGAACTTTATCTCTCTTATGTTATGCACGGAATTCCAACTAAGATCTTTTGACCTTAAAATCAATGACCTTGAAAGAGATTATGTTTTGAGCATATTTATTTTCTATGCTTGTTAAATTGCAAGTTGTGAATAGAGAAGGACACTGAGGCTTATTAAAAAAGGTGCTTGTTACAACTGTTCCCCAAAAAAGAGACAAGATTTATCTACTGGGATCCTACGCACTTACCCTACCCACTAGGATAGGACAAGTCTCTGCTTTCTGTCATTTTCAGTTACTCTGAACAATCCCCTTCTACTTTAAATACCATTGTTGCCAACACCATTTACATCAAAGTTCAATAACATGGTAACCATGTAATTAAATTAAGTAACATGGAAGAACCAAACTTCCGGAAGGAAGCTATGTGTTAGCTGTGTCACATCATACAAACAGCTATATGGGAGACCTAAATTGTAAAAAGCTCTACCGAGATGAGTGCGGTTTGAATCAAAAAGCAGAGATTTAGACTCAATCTTTTCCTGCTGTGACAAGTTCAATACCTCCAATGCAGATTCCTTCTGGTGAAGGCTGGTGATAAGTTTTTTCCAGTCTTCCTTAGCAGTAGCAGCTTTATCACGGATAACTTGAGCTTTTTCTTTTGGTAAAATAGAGCATAGCAGTTCTCCTTTGGATACTACCAGGTTTAGCTTATGTTGCCCATTCTCACTTTCTGATAAGAATTCCTAAAAATAATAGTGAGATAATCAGTTAGATTTAGTAAAAGCTTTTCTTTGGTGAACTACAAGTACCAGGAAAGTTCAATGGCAAACCTCTCAGAGATTTCAACAGACACAGAAGTTTTTCTGCAAATTAACATATTAGTTCATATTTGGATGCATTTCATCTTAAAAGATTTATTGACATCAGATGTCTAGACCAGATATGTTATGTGTCTAAACAACGTATATACTAAAATTCTAGAACTATCTGAGAGTATATACTGCATTTCATGAGATGATGACCTCTCCTTTATTTGGGCATTATATTTCTTTAAATGCTCAGGGTACAGCAAGTGGTAACCCTTTTGTGTCAGAGAACCAGTATCCAGGCAGAGTGTGGTTGGTGGCTGGTAAATGCTAGGGCAATGGCCAAATTTGAGGTGACATACAAAATAAAAGCCACTTGAGATAACCACACTGTCCTTTCAACAAACATGTAGGGCTATGAAATAATTGGTGGAGTCCGAGCTTTGTCTAAACTGTATGGCTTATCCTCTGTATCCTTAACTTACCCTTGCACAATGTTGGCATGCAAGAAGGGTATGGAAATATTTATGTGCAAGAATTACATGAAAATATATGACAATTAACAGATTTTTACATTTCATTTTATTGGTGCAATGTTTTTATAACTTGCAATTATTAATAGCACTTGGTAAGCACTGAGGAATAAAACTAATTTAGCAGCACTAAATATGAGTGAAGATATCTGAAAACTTCATTAGCACATTCAAATCATTTAACATTCATAACCATCAAGTTACCTCCAAATTCCACAGGAATTTTGCATTGACTGCTTTATCTTGTTGCTTTAGAGTTACCTGTATTTTCTGCAGACTCGCTGAAGCTTCAGTGATGCTCTGAGGCACATCAAAGCACTTGGCTGTGGTGATTTTTGCGTTGACCAGCCACTGCTGGAAGTCCCTGAAGGCCGTCCGAAATCTTTGCTGCAGGATCTGCTCTTTACTCTGACATCCTTTTGAAGCTTGCAGGCAGAGGCTGCGTTTATCACATTAGAGATGAAAAAAGAGAGTGGAGGGAAGCAGAGAGGAAAGGTAGGATTGTGTTAAATGACTGCAGTTATACAGTTATCTGAGACAAAATTTTGAGGTTAGGTTAATTTGGAATCCTTTTACTAACTTCAAGCCATTAGAAGCTTTCAGTACCTTAAATGTGCAGGAAGTAAACTGGGACACAGTTGTCATAGATATGACAGAGGTAAAAGTTTCCAGAGAGTGATTTGGATCACTTAACTGTGAAATGTTTCCACAAGCCCCTTTCTCTCCCTAGGGACTGGACAGGCAACTCACAGCAATTGCATTTCTGATTTACGTGATTCCTTTAGATTTGTAATATTGTAAGTGACTAAAAGCCTTCTTGTGGCCAAAAGCCACAAGAATACAGAACAAGAGTTAACAGAATCTGGTGCTTCAAATGTCAACATCACACAACAAAGGAAATCAGCTGCAGGGACCTGAGAAAGCAAAAGAGTAAGTAAACTTTGGCTCCACGAGAAAGCCAAAGAGTAAGTAAACATTGGCTCCACTATTTCAATGTCCCAGTTAGTAGAACAGGAGTGAAATGAGGGGACAAAAAAATAGAAAAATAATTTAAATAGCTGTTACAACTTGTTCTTCTTTCAAGCAAAAGAGTTGTGGCTCTAATTCAGTTTCTTATATGGACTTCTATTGTAGTAGACTGTTTGTGGACATATACAAGTTTCAGCTGCATCTAGTGACAGTTTCGCTCTTAGAAAAAAAAACATATTGCTACTTATTGCCACTAAAATCAAGACAGTGACTCTAGTTATTGTCTAGTATGCTTCTGATTAATGAATCCTCAAAACAGAGTTCATACACATGGGATAGCTGAACCATAACAAGACAAAAGTGTACCTGTTATACTCCTTAATCAACCCTGAAACTTTTGAAGAATGATCACTCAGATCTCTGGAAAATCTGCAAAGGTCATTCAATTGAGTCTTGATTTCATCTGTCATATGCTCAGACTTTGCTAAAGCATCCAAGGTTTCCTGTTAAAACAAAACAAACAGTAAACAAAAATAGCAGTATAAAAAGATATTTGTCTGCTAAACATTATCATTTAAACTGAACACAATTTAAATTCTTCATATTGTGTGGAAACATTACTCCTATATGTATGATTCAAGTGGTAAAACCTTTTAAATACATAATATTAAAAAATACTGTTAATGCCTTACACTATCTGTCACTTTTGACACAGACAATGTTGATGCTCTTTATACCAACATAGGGCTCCAAAATAAACATTTATAAATGTGTTCAGGCACTTCTTCCTCTGGTACTTCTTCAGACTCAAGCCACTTGTGATTAGCTGCAATAATGTACTGATTCCCACAGGCTGTGGTAGGAATCTAGTTTTGATTCAAATGTCAGAACTAGAAAGCTAAATTACTTGCACAATCAATGAGGGGAAAAAAAAAAAAAAAAAAAGACCCCTTTAGGGGTAATTCCTAGTATTGTAAACAACCTAGAACGTGAGCACAGTGATTAAGACCAAAACATATGGAATATTTTTAGTAAAGTAATTAAGAAGTCTGAATCCCACTTTCAATCCCACTTTCAAAAATGTTAAAAGTTACTGTTGAATATGGAATCACTGCTCATAAAATAGCTGGATATTTTTTGAACATTTCACTCTTTTTTTTTTTTTGTTTTATAATGAATAGGAATAAGAAATACCAGTCAAGAAATTAAAAATCATTTGAATGTCTATGCAAACTTAAGGTCAACTTAATTTGTGATCCCTGTATGTTAATTTTTGAGATTATTTCATCAGTCAAAGCTACAGAAGCACAGAAGTCATGTGAAATTATAAGCTTCTGGAGACCAAATTTCTGGAAGCTTCACATTTTTTAACTCAAAATGTTTACAAAGCGAAGCTTAAGGTTTTGATAAATGAGATATGTTAGCCATGTACATATGAAAATACCTAAAATGAGCAAATATCACACAGTTTATATAATTAGGCTGATTCCTTGAGTTTAATATTCTCAATAAAAACTATATTGAGCCAAAAAAAAAAAAAAAAAAAGGAGGGAGCAATTTATGCACAATGCTTCTAACAGCTTCAACGGTTCCCAGTCACACCATGCAGAAAGGACAACTTCTTATAATCCACTGAGAGTGAATGGGTTACTAGCTGTCACTGCTGCACTGGCAAGACTCTTAATTTGGAGAGAGCTAAGCCTACCAAAAATATATATATATATATATGTAAGAAGAAAGAAAAGAAAGGCATAAAAAGGCACTGTTGGTTTAGGTCGTGTCACCAGGAAAGGTGTGATAAGCCCTGCAACAGACCAGGGACCCGCACACGCAGAACTCACAGCGCAAGCTTTGCCCTTCATCTCACGAGGAGCTAAACTCTCCAGCCTTTACTCTTAAATTAACGGGGAGAAAAGACAACTTTACAGCTAGCTCCATTCTTCACCATGGATGTTGCACAGCACAGACAAGCCAGAGCTTTTGGCATACATATACTAATGTGTCTAAACCTAAGTGCCAAAGCAGAAGCCTGCTTATAAATGTAAGAATATCTGTCACATGTCCCCTTAAAGAAGCCAAAAGTAAGAACAAATATCAGCAAGAGTCTAGCAAGACAGTCAATGAGTTTAGTAAAAACAGAGGGACAAATGCCAGGCGGCTCAGCTAATGTGCTCACTGCCCACAAGCAACTTTGTGCTGTTTTCAAATCCCGTTTCCTGAAAAAAGGCCTGTGGTAGAGCTGTGGAATTATTTTTTTGAGACTACATCCTCTATTTCTGAGAAAGTAAAAAAATATATTGTATTGTGTATTTGTAGTATCTGAACTGCCAGACAAAAAGTCTGTTTTGAGAAAAAGAAAACTGCAACATATCTTGGATACAATTAGCTGTGGTTTAAGCCATAATCAGGACTTCATTATATTAAGGTTACTGAAATCTGTTTAGATTCATAGACTACAGGGAAGCGCAATGAAATTAAGTATTGAGACATTTTGGATGGATTCTGTGTATTAACTTCTGTGTGTTCTAATGGGTAGGAAATAAGAACTTGGCTTCAACAGACTTGTAGGACTCCTCAGAGTTATATTATTCATGCTGACGTTATTGACTTTATGTGCTTTGCATCACTCATACACTGCTGAATTCCTTCAGCCAGAATTAAAAGAAGTCTGAACCAGTCATACTGCTGGCTTGTTTCAATACCGTATAAATAGCATCCGAGTTAAGTAATTATGTAACAGCAATGATATTTAGAATCAACGTATAGATGTAATAAACCTAATAAATGTAAATACACTACTCTTACTATGCTAAACTAAATACAGGATCTTTTTTTATGGAAAGCATTAGAAATAAACAAACGTAAATGCACTACGCTTACTATGCTAAACTAAAATAGGAATTTTTTTTTTTTTTTTTTTTTGGAAAGTATTAGGAATGACAGCACAATGGCCACTAGTTAAACACATGCTGTCATGTATTTTTCATATCCATACCATTACTATAAGGTAATCTCTTATCTTTTTTCTCTTTTCATCTCTTTTTCTTTTTCTTTTTTTTTTTTTTTTTTTTGAAAAGGAAATGTGTCCTTTAAGTAATATAGAAGTTAGAATCACTTATTTTTAATTAAATCTTTCTGTTTCAGAAAACCTATCACAGGAACTACTAAAAGACTATTTTGATGATATATAATTTTTGCATAACCTATTCTTGAAAATAGCGCTATTTCTTGAAAAGCAGGGTACATTTAACTGTGGCATATTTTCATACAGAAACATTGAATCATTGATAGCACTGGTGCAGCAAGCTGGATTTACTTTTGAATCACACAGTTATCAAAATAATCTATCTCGACAACAGAGTCACTGTGAGACAACAGCAAGGAAACGCTGCAGATCTGTTGTGCATTCACAGTGAGACCTACCAGCAAATCCAGAAGTGGAAGGATTACTATCACAATTCCTTGAATCATAATTAAAATCATATAATAAGGCCGTGCATAGTAACTGTTGAGTTTCTTCCGCATTCTAAGATTCTACGATTCATTTCACCCACTCCCTGGAGCTTATATCTTTAAAATCTAAATAAAGTGTTGTCACATAGAGCTATAATATATACTACTAATAAGAAAAATCCTTAAGTCTCCTGGGAGTTCCATGAATTTACTACTTCTCTTTTTTTTTTTTTTTTTTTTTAAATAAAAACATATGACAACTGCAGTGATGTATTGATGATAATTTCAAGTCTTCCTTTACTTTAAGAAAATATCTAACCACAGAAGAGACTGCATATTTGTACCATGGCACTGGC